CACTGCATTTTAATCTATCCCTAAGGCTCTCTCTCTCTCTCTCTCTCTCTCTCTCTCTCTCTTCCCGCCCCAGAGCAGGCAGAAGTTATATCTTCAATACGAGGAACTACCGCTTCACTTCACTATAGTTTCAACCCATCCCATCGCAGACGGCGTATGTTCGATCTAACTCGGGAGAGCAACCGTATATATATCCGAAAGACCAGAGTCACGGACAAATAGACGGGGAGCTCACATAATAACACGGATGAGAGGACGGATTTGGGGCGTTCCTCTCAGTTTAGAGTTCTTTCAAACGATTGTGGGTTGCTAGCTTTACACTGGGATTAGGGGGCGCGTAACTATGACCCTCAGAACTGTGGTATTGTGCGGTTGGTTCTGATATTGACCTCATGTTGCCTTGGGGATTGGAGGCGCAGATGCGCGTTGATTATAGTAGAGGATGGGTGTGACTTGTTGAAGTTCTGTGTAGTGACTTGGTGATGATAGTAAAGCAACCATTGACGCTTCCCCGTGTGACCCAAGGTATGGCGAACCAATCTCACTGCGTCTCAATCTATTCCCCAGGCTTCAACTAAGCGCCACGAATACTAGTGGTACTTCCCAGTCAAGACGGTTGTACGACTTCATGCTCTCCAGAGCATGTAAGGTTGCTGGTACTGCCTAGGCATTCCCGTCCTAGACCCTGAACGTATACACGGAAGTATGTTACTGAGGCGAGAGGGCATTCGTCTTATTGTAATGATACAACAGATACGTCTTAGCAGTTGCTCTGTTAGAACAAGATTAGGGCCTACTACGAAACATATGAGACAGTGAAGCAACGCAGTAAATCAATGGGAGGACGGGCGAGCCTTAGTTCTGTATTTATAATGTGAGAGTCCTAAGCTACGCGATTTACAAAGCAATGGTGTATAACTAACTCCTATTGAGGAAACTTTTACAAGACATTATTACTAGCCCTATTTATTAATGAATTTCTATTTCTCTACATACCAAGCTATGAGGCTTCTAAAAATTTCCAAGCATTGAACTGGAAAACCTACAAATAATACACTTTCAAGTAATCGAGACTAAACTTGAGCCACTTTCCAGGTAATAACACACATATGAGCAGTGATACCGTTTTCATTATTGGTATAATTCATATTGAGCCTTTAATGGCTAGAGCTCTTGGTCAACTGAGCTGCACTCTGAATGAAGTGGTATGTATTTAGAACTATTAGCAACATTAAGCGTAACCAATGCTCTAGAGACTGGTAACCAAATCTACACCTGCAAACAGAGACTTTTCAGGCTAGAGCTGCTTTTAAGACATTGACTTGAGCTATTGTGAAGGGCTGGGTGATGCCTTTCTCTCATCGATTTCGTGGGTGCGAGAGATGCGTTGAGGATCTGGTTGGTAAAGCTCCCGTTGAGAAGGGAGTGGTGAGGGAGGGTTTGAGAGGCGTTTCGATCTGGAAGGGCGTGGTCTTGTATTTGGGTAGTACGCGTTTTGGTACGGAGGCTGTAGTGTGGTTGGGTTTGGGGGACTTTCCGGTCTGATTACGGCTGATCTGCGAGGATACTTCAAAGGGTTTGGGAGCCTTTCCGGTCCGGATGAGGCTGATCTGTGAAGATCGTTGAAAGAGTTTGGGGGACTTCCTTCCGGTATGGAAGAGGCTAACCTGTGAGGATTGTTGGAAGCGTTTGGGGGTCTTTCAGGTATGGGACAGGCTGATCTATGAAAATATGGGTTGGAAGGGTTTGGGGGACCTTTCTCTTTGAAAGTTGATCTGTAAGGATCTGGTAGGAAAGGGTTGGGCCCTTCCAATTGTCGTCTGATGTCGTCATTGAAAAAGGCTGAAAACGGAATATCCGTAACTCCGGGATCGTCATCAGGCGGTAGAGTAAGCTGGACGAGTGAAAAGTAATAGTCAAGCACTTTGGGGTGCTCTCGGACCGTCTCTTGCCATTGTTGATTCACCGCGGTCGGTGGCGATGTTGTGGTCTCTGAGACCGACGATGATGCAAAAGTCTCGACGTCACCCTTCGTTACTTCGTCTTCAGTCTTCTCCTCCTTAGTAGTGAACCGGAGAACCTGGCCCTGGTCGCGCGTCTTCGTTTCTTCCGTCGCATAAGCGTTGGAGTCGTTTCCAGCCACACATCTCTCATCGGATACGCCCAACTTCGCACCTTCCTGTTCCAGTCTGCAAATTTCGAGAACTGAGCCTCGTGAGTGGGTCAGCACCCAAGAACGAATTTCGTCATACACAGGCCCCATCATTCTGCTTTCCGCCTGAGCCACGGCGATATCCAGGGCCTCTGCCTCGCAATAACACATGATCGATGCTGATCTGAGACAGACAGAGCAATCTGGGTCAAGGCGAATTGTCCGTTCCCGGGGTTTGGGGGTTTCTGGCTCATGTTTAGACCCTTTCTCATAGGCTTTGCGGAATTCTTCCAGTATTGGATCATTCTCCGAGTTGATTGACGTGGCTTGGCTGGTATTCATGAATCCCCATTCATATCGATGTCGCTCTTCTAATGGAATTCCTGAGAATATTTCACGACATGCCGACTCAGAGATGATCCCATGTCCATGAATATCTGCTGGAAAGAATCGAGAGACTTGCTCTAAGTCAGGGTTTTGTTGAGATGTATGACCTTGAGACTCTGGGTCGTCGACGGTGTGGTCTAGTTCGTCCGGGCCGTGGACTGTATCGTATGAAGAGCATGTGGTGCAGGTTCCCGAGTGAAAGTAATCTTTCAAAGTACTCCTACTTTGTGCGCTTGCTGAAGAACCGCTGCCGGTCTGACTCGCCAAGTCGGTATATGCCCCTGTTTCTTCTTCATAGCTTGGAAGGGACTTGAGGGCAAGGAAACGCATGTGGCCAACGACGTGATCTTCCATACTGCCGTTGACATCAGCTTCTCCACAGAGAGGACAGGTCTGAAATAGTTGTCCTGCTGCTCGGGCGTTCTTATCCGCCAGAACTCCAAGTTGGGCATCATTGAATTTGCCGGAGTGAACTGTCCGCATGTGGTCGAGGTAGTCTTGCTTGGAAGAAGCCTCAAAGGGTGGGTGTAACTTTGACTTGCACTTCCACTTGAGCGTATGGTCGCGCATATGTTTCAGCCAACTATTGCTGTGGGTGTAGAGCTCCTCCCCATACTCGCAATCCTCGAACAAGCAAACGTAAGGGTCCAGATCGCCCTTCACATGTTCCCTGATAGTATCGAATTATCAGCATACGGCTCGTCGAAAAGGATAAGACGGCGGACAATCTAAATAGAATAGCATGTCCGTTTGCAAGCGTTTGGGGTTGTACATACTTCCATCTTTTGTCATTGACAACCTCTGCGACAGGCAGCGCGCAGAAACAAAACGGACAGATGATTTCTCCGACTGCCGCAACACATTCGTCCCATTCCTTTCGCAATATTTCATTATTTGTTACTTGAGCCCTAACAACGGAGGTGTCGAGTGTAATACTGCCGCTCTCGCCAGCCTCCACTGCCGTGAGATCGATGACAATTGGGCGAGCACTCTTGCTTCGGGCCTTCAATTTATTGTACTTCCGTAGAAGGCCGCCACACGGAGCAGGAGGGAAGCGCAAATTGTCATGGGAACTCAATGCCACAGTCTTTGACATGGAGACAACCGAAGGGGTTGAAGATTTCTTGAAATGATCTGGGGCAAGCGTAGTCGCAGTCATCGCCGTGGATCGTACAGCACTTCTGGCTGTGTCGTCGGCTGGTGCTTTCCCTTGCGCAGCCACGGCCTCTTGGCCCACTTCATGCGGTTGATTCTGCTCCTTCTTTACGCGGACTGCTGCTTTCGACGCAACCGGTTGTGCAGGCTGGGCCTGTGTCCGGGTAGGTTTGCTTCCATAGCGAGCCCTTCGATAGAGAATTCTTTTTCGTCTCAACAGCATGGTTTTTGCGAGGCGCTGCCGAATGCTCTCACTGACTTCCGGGAACTGGTCGCGAATGTGATGAACAAAGAGCTGTTCCAGGAAGTCTTCAACATCGTTGCCCTCGTCGTCTTGAATTTGGAAACACTTCGCAGCCTTTTGCTTGTGGACCTCTTTGCTGGCTCGGCGGATAGTGTTTGAAAATTTGTGCAGGAGGCTGATTTCCCCAGCGATCCCTGTGATTATCTGGTCAAGGCTGAAATCCATCTCTTCTGATGACTTCTCAGATACTTTCGGACCGAGGGCATCCAAGACTTCGAGGCCTAGAGAGGCACCAACGCTGCACCGTTAGCAAATTGTTCATTTTGGAGCCAAAATAGAATCCTTCCACATACACCTCTGGGCCTGTAGTTCCAGTGCTTCCAAAAGGCCACCAACGGTATCTTGAACATCAGGGGCTTCGCGCAATCGATGGTCTAAAGAACCTCGACCGGAGGCGAAAACCCCAATGTTTGCTGTCCAGACAGAGAACCTGGCGATTTGGTTCTCTACGAGCGTTACTTCTCGAGGATGGACGTCGACAGCCTTATCGAGGCATTTTTGAAATGCGTCCAGGCATGACCGAGCGAGCGCTGCAATTGTTGGATGCGGTGGTCCTCTTGTCTCCTTCAGCAGCGGATGCTCTCCGGCACGGAATTCCATCTCAACTAAACCTCACAATCAACCACCTTCATGGAGCAAAGCTGCAAAGGCGGGCGAGGATAAGAATCGAAGATGCTCATCCCAAAGACGTTTGCCGAAGCAAAGTTCCCCTCCCGGTTGAATGATTGGGTCACCTCCTACTTCATCGCTTTGTCAGCCGTCTTACTGCAGCAGGGGTTTGCGCCGAGAAGGCGAGTATTTTGAGTCTCTCATAGGTCACAAGAGCCACGCCACGACTGGTTTCCCCGCTCTCTCGCGCCGGCGCTATGTATCTTTCGCATCCATCCGTCGTACAGCCTGACTCTTTCCTGGAAAACTTCATGCGGTAACTCTCGTCCTCGACTTCGATGTAGGCGTGCGTACAAACTCGGCGTTTATTCATGGTTGTATCGCGAGCACAAGATGGCGCCAAACCGAACACTCGTTGAAGAGACTCTTACGGACGACATTCGTCTGGCCTCAGAAGCATACGCCACGTTCCAGGATATCACTCAAATTTTGAGAAGTGCTGAGCGAGACAATTCACTGAAGGTTTTCTACTTCAATCTCAGGGCTTATTGTTTCATGATACGAAGCCACTTGGACCGAATCAGCCAGGCAGTCATCAGAACCGATCATGAACACATTCGGCAGGCTTTGGGCCTTCTGGAGTCAACAATCGTACTCGACTCCTCAAGTGCCAAGTTCTCGACTGGCGCAAGGCTACGTGCATTTATGGGTCATTGGAACAGTGGCAGTCTCGACGACAAAAGCGTGAGCCTTCAACTCGTACGATCGAACTTAGACTTCGGCAAGACTGCCGGGGAGCGCGATGGCTTTCTCCTGTTGCTTGCCGCGTTCGAGGAGGAACTCGGAGCACGTTGGCCTGAGCAGACCACGTCGTGGACAGCAGAGGAGTTCGTTCCCCCCAAAAACACGAAAATAAGCGAGCCGTCATACGCAGTCTGGGAGGCCGCTCAATCGATGTTCAACGCTCTGGTGTCTTGTGGGCACTGCCCGTGCGAGCCCGCTCATGAGTTTGGAGCCCGGCTCTGTTTGGGAACCTACCGACGACCGCTCAAAACCGAATGCGAAATGGCCGTCGACTCGGAACATGGATTTGATATGTTTCTTTCGATGAAGCATGACTGGCACGAAGCCCGAGTTCATATGGCCAAGGAGCAAGTTGTTCGATTTGATGATGGACCACGTCAACCTCAGCAGAGAGCGAGACGACCCAAGGTCCAGCCATTGAAGGTGAAGAGCCTTTGCGAGCCAATCACCAAGATCAACGACATGAAGGCGTACCGACTTGAACTGAAAGTAATGCGGGAGAAGCTTTTTAGACTGAAGCCGGAGAGAAGTGAGTCTTTAGTTGACAGGACGAGGGACCCCGTTCCGTTGGATTACTTCCTGAAGAGAGGATCGCGATCTTTCACGGAAAGGACAAGACGAATCCTAGCCGTGATTCTAAGCTCAGCTGTCCTACACTTGCACGACACACCATGGCTCAAATCCACATGGAGCTCGTCAGATGTTTTGTTCTTCCGCACGGCGTCCTCGGCTGTACCCCTTCAACCCTTTCTCCAAACTAAGCTTTCGAGTCTCGACGCCTGTGCTCGGTCCGCCATCAAAGGCAGTGCATGCAACAGCGAGAATAGTCATGGATCAGGCATAGATGATCTCAACGAAGACGATTTCGACCCCGATGATCTGGATGGGTTGATACAACATCACTGCCCAACCCTTGTAACTTTGGCGATCATGCTAATGGAGGTTTACTTCGTCACCCCATTTGACGTCCTGGCAAGAAATCTCGGCGTGATGTTGGAAGAAGGCGACGAGCAAGCGACCGACACCAGGTACATCAACGCAGACCTGGTATTCCAAGCATGCAGAGGCGAGATCCCCGAAGATACTCAATTCTACCATGCAGTTGAAAAGTGTCTGGACCCGGAGATCTGGGAGGACGAGAACGGCGATAAGCTGGACAGTGAGACGCTGAGGAGCAGGATATACGAGGAGGTAGTCCGACCACTCGAAATCGAGTTGAGCCAGGCATACAGCTCCATATCAATCGAAGATCTTGACCGGTTTGCGCAAAGCCTGGACTTTGCGAGTTGGGACCAAAGTATTCAGAACTTCGGCCAGCAGACTGCCCCGGACACGTCTGTTGACGAACATACTCACGAACAGACCAACACGCCATCTCCGGGAGTGATGTACCCTTTCCGGACGCCAGATCTCCCCGATCCTCGATCTCACCTCTACAGCCCAGGGCCACCCGACTGGCCTCATCAGTATGGGAGACACGGCTTTGCATCCCCCTTCAATCTTTCACCTTACAGCCCGCCAATGGAGAGTGCCTATCAGTCTTTCAAATTCTTCGACGACGAAACAATCCCGTGGTCTTCGGCTGATAAGGCGTAAGTCCCTGACACCACGGCGCTCTTCATGAAATTGTAACTTCGTTATCATCGTAACACGGCTGACAAGATCATCTAACAGACACACTCGCTACGTAACGTGGAAGTCCGGCTACAGGGAGGTCTACGACAAGTTCATCCCCAGCGAGCTTGCCACCTTACCAGTCAGAGTCGCAGTACTAGACACCGGCATCGATTTGACGCATCCTGACGTGGAAGCCCGCATTGAAAACATCAAGGGAACTTACAACTGGCTTGCCGAGAAACATAAAAAGAAGGTACACGACCGCAATGGTCATGGTACCTTCACTGCGTGCCTCATACTCGATTACGCACCTGATGCAGAGTTATACGTAGCCAAAATTGCAGAGAAAGACCCTTCAAATCCGACCACCATCGCCAAAGTAAGCACTCATGGCTCCCTGTATTCCCCGCCGGAACCACGGAACAGCGGCTGACTGAAGGAAAAGGCAATCAACCACGCGGTCACCGAATGGAAGGTGGACATTATATCCATGTCCTTCGGGTTCCCAGACCGGGACATCGAAGGCTATGTTGACCTAGAAAACGCCCTCGGGAGAGCCTATGCAAACAACGTCGTTCTCCTAGCTGCTGCCTCAAATAGCGGAGGCAAACTTGGCCGGTCTTTCCCAGCCCGCGAGCCGACAGTCATTGCTGTACACGCAACCGACACTGACGGTAACCGGTCCAAGTTCAGCCCAACTGCCGCGGACTTCGACATCAACCTAGCCACGGTCGGAGAGGCAGTCGAGTCAGCATGGCCCGTTGTGCTGTGCGATGATGATACCGACTATGTCAGACTGAAATCTGGCACGTCTTACGCAACCCCCATCATGGCGGGTATCACGGCTTTTCTGATGCTGTATGCAAGGGTACATCTTCCTGAGCAGGCACATTATGTGAAGAAGCAAAAGGCCGTGAAGGCCTTATTGAGGAGACTAGCGGAAAAGGGACCAGGGTACAAGTCCCGAGATGATTATCATTTCGTCAACTTAAGCCTGTACTCGGACAATCTGTTTGGGAAAGGGAAGGACTTCATCGATGAAACCATTAAGGACATCCTTAGAAGTACATAATGATACCCAAGCTTTTTCAGCATTTTGTGCAGCGTTATTTCACCTGCTCATTTTTGTTCAAAGTCGAGCAAAATGTTTTGTGTGGCTTAAGAAGCTGTTTGACTTAAACACTGATACTTTTGGCGAAGGGTCGATCGTCGCTGCAAAGACTTCGAGATTGCGCAGGAAATCGCTCAACCGAACTCCTGAAATTCATTTCGGAGCATCCACTACATTGCACGCACAAACATACCATAGAATCTTATCAGAGTTGATCTGTGAGCTAGAAGATTAAAGCTGTAATGGAATACTTTGAGTCTTTCTTGTGTTCTTTTTATATGAACCTGGCTTTCTTGAGATCCATGAACTAGAAGGAACTTGAAGACACACACTAAGGTCACGCAACCTTGAATAAGTAGCTCGCAACAGAGAGGAGACTTATATGCAGCTATTGAATCAATACCATCAAACAAGATATCATGTTGCAGATGGTCTCGGTTTTAGACAACCCTGATCAGGTGTCACAATTCGTCTCCAGTGGTGCGGAGAACATCTACTAGCAGCTGGCACATGCAACCTGTTTTGATTCTTGTCTATGGACCATCAATAAAATTGCGCAAACGCAGGCGTGGAAGAAACTCATACTTCCGTGCAACTTGCTCTTTGCTTAGTGTTACATGGGTCACTTCCAGCTCATGTCGTGTGTGCGTTGCCCCTACCGTCCTCCACACCTCAAGCATATCCCTACTAGGTCTGAAATTCCACGACGACTCTATCATTAGCTTCGTCTGCCGTTCCGAAACCTCATATACGAACCGGAACCCGTCATCGGCCCTCCAGCTCCAGATCTCCAGCGTTCCCAGCTGAGGCATCCTCATGGCCGCTTGCCCCGCCGCGGAGAGAAGATCGTTGGCCAGGACGGAGCCACGAACGTCGAATAAGGCTTTCATTGATGTGAAAGCAAGGGTCTTGAGGTCTGGCCAGTATGGTGTCGTTGTCCGGCCGTGGGCGACCCGGAAAAAGTCCACCGCGTCAACGGCGTACGACGCGCTGAACGCCCGCAGGCGCTGGCTGGCGTCGACTGCGGCCGACACCAGGTCCATCGTCGGCTCGTCTAGCTTACGGAACCTGTGGTGGAACCGCGTACTGGCTTCTTCCCAAAGGGATAGCGAGCTGATAGCGGACGGCAGATTCTGGAGCAAGGCGGCGTTGCTGAGGTCTCGCAACATCTGGTCGTCCAAGTCGACACCGCGCCACGGCTGGTATCTGATGTGCTCGAGGCGTGTGAAACTTGGCAGGACCTTTTCCAGCGCCGCGGCGGACATACTGCGGTGGGAGGTTCTGCTCATGACGAATTCGGTGACGACTGGCGTTGCGGGTAGGCCACCTTGCGCTTGTCGTCGAAGTTTTGGAGTGAAGGCTTTGGTATCAAAATCAAGAAGGCTCCCGATTCTCCGCATCTTAGAGCCTTGTTTGCTGAATCTCAACCATTGGGCACGCACTTGATGGTTTCGGCCGTTAGCACCCCGCTCGGAAAAACGGTGCTCGACATCGCTGGGCGAGGCAGCGCTCAGCTTGAGCGTCAGACCAGTCCCCTCCCTCTCGGTCGTGTCCCATTGAGATAGCACAGTCAAAAGCGCGAGTATCCTTCGGCTGAATGTCTGGTTATTGGCAGTGATTGTTCTGGCGGCTTCCGGTATGTCGCACTGGCCGCACCCGTATCTTTGCAGCATTATGTGAAGCCAGACTTGCTTGACGAGCCGCTGTCTGTCCCGGACGAGGCGCTGGAAGCGTTGGATGTCTGCGAGCGTCATGAGTTTGAGGGATCTGAAGTTTTGCTTTTCGAAGAAGGCCTGCCATTCCGAGCTCACGGAACACCAAGACACGGTCCGCTGTTCTGGGAACTTCGTACGTTGAAGCTGCTCGAGAATCATGAGTCGGATCTCGGGTGGCAAAGACGTCCACCGTGACCGAGAGGAGGTGTTCGCTGGGCTCTCGCCCGCGGAAGGTATGTTTCGTGATCTCAACTGCATGTTTTTTCGGAAGGCTCGGTGATGGAACTGCAAGCCCTTGGTCAGATTTGTCAACTGGAAAAGAAATTTGCACTCATTTGCGAGTGATGTGGCGGTCACAACGGTGTAGAGAAACTACGCTATTCATTGGCCTTTTTTCATATTGGAGTTAAATTTCCGCCAAACCCATATACAACATGAAGTTTACTGACCCTTTTGGGTACCAGCACGAAAACTTCCTCTCCAGTGATTCTGATACTTGGACCAATTCAATTACATCTTATTATTTTCATCAGCCAGGTTTCCCTTGCCTTTCGTTAGAGACGTGTCATGCGAGGCCACGAATGTGCAGCTTGTGTCATTCTCAAACATGAGTAGATGCATCAGCATAGGCAGCGCCTTGTTGAAAGAGAAAGCTGATTTGAATGCCTGCTCTTTCAAGAAAGAACACCAAACACTACTTCAATTGGGTTGATGAGAGCTCCGTGAGGAAAAACCTTTTGTGCATGAGGTCTTACATATCTATCCGGAGTCGGTCATATTAAATGGAACATCGTATTGACGCATTCACATACCGAAGAGAAAAGGACTCAGGAGGAGAGGCGGAAATAGTGTTCTGCTCTCAACCGAGCGGCATGGGATATTTAAATAATTGATGATCATTCTGTTATCTGCTATCGCCAGAATCGTCGGCATCGTCTCTGTCGTCTTCATCTCTGTCATTGACGTCGTCGTCGTTGTCGTTGTCTCCGTAGTATTCGTCGTACCACCTTAGGGTAGTATTAGACGGAAAAGTGGAGCTGAACACCTAAAACTCTTATCGGTTCATCCCGCTTCTTATCGCACGACGCTAAGCCCAATCCGGATGGACGGTTTCGATAAGTTCCTGTCGTCACAGGAAATTTCTCTTCACAGCAACATCAGCGAGCCACGGTGCAAACTTTCGCAAAAGGCTCCGTCCCACATACTCTCAGCAAAATGGATCGTGGAAGAGGCTCAGGCCATCGTCGCCGTGACAATCGTCGCGATGGAAGACGCGACAACCGCCGCAACGGTCCCCCGAATGGCGACAGGTCGGGCGGCCAGCAGCAGCATCAGCAGCAGCCTCAGCAGCAAGCCCAACCTGCGGCGTCAGCGGTGGCATACGAGACTACCGCACCGCCCCTCACCGAGCCTGTCCCGCAGGACACACCGAGATTCGCCGATATGGTCGGCGTCCACCCGTCTCTGGTTCAGGCCATCACCGAGGATCTCAAGTTCGACCACATGATGCCCGTCCAGGCTGCCACTCTTGAGGAGCTCCTTCCCCCCAAGCGCAGCGACTGTCTCGTCCAGGCCAAGACCGGTACCGGCAAGACCATCGCCTTCCTGCTTCCCGCTATTCAGACTCTGCTCACCCAGAACCGCGGCCGTAATGGCGGCATCTCTCTGCTGGTCATCTCACCCACTCGCGAGCTGGCCATGCAAATCGCAAAGGAAGCCGAGGCGCTCCTCCAGCGTCTCAAGCAGTACCGCGTTTGCATCGCCATTGGAGGCACCAACAAGGACAAGGAGGAGAGGCAGATCCTCCAGGGCTGCGATATTCTCATCGCCACCCCCGGCCGTCTCATCGACCACATGGCCAACGAGTACATCCAGGACTCTTTCAGCAACCTCGACACCCTTGTTCTCGATGAGGCTGATCGTCTGCTCGACATGGGCTTCATGCCCGCCCTCAAGGACATCGTTCGCGCACTCCCGGATAAGTCCAAGACCAACCGCCAGGGCATGCTCTTCTCCGCCACCATTGCCTCCCACGTCCAGCAGGTCGCAGGTCTCGTCCTCTCCCCGGGTTACAAGTTCATCTCCACCATCCCCGCCGGCGAGGCCAACACCCACGAGCGTGTCCCTCAGCACCTCATCAAAGTACCCACCTTCGCCGCCGTCGCCCCGGCCATGGTCGGCGCTATCCGCGAGGAGGCAAACACCGTCGGCCCCGACAGCTTCAAGGCCATTGTGTTCGCACCCACCGCCGCCCTCGCAGACTTCTACGGCGACATCCTGACCAACATTCCCGGCCTGCCTCAAGCTTCCGTCCTTCACTCTCGCATCTCCCAGGGCCGACGCACCAAGATCACCAACGACTACCGTGACTCCAAGACTGGCGTTCTCGTCGCCACGGACGTCATCGCTCGCGGCATGGATTTCCCCGGCGTCACCACCGTCTTCCAGGTCGGCATCCCCGCCGACAAGGAGTCATACATCCACCGCCTTGGTCGTACTGCTCGCGCCGGCGCTGAGGGCCGTGGCATCTTCATCGTCACCGAGATGGAGGACTTCTTCCCCCGCTGGCAGCTCAAAGAGATCAAGTTCGAGCAGCGCGCCGCGGACACTTCTTCGGCGGAGCAGGTGTACGCCATCGCCGAGCAGCAGATCGACGAGGCGCAGAAGGCCAAGATTTACCAGGCCTGGCTGGGTTACTACAAGAACTGGATGAAGCCCCTCAAGTGGGAGAAGGAGGACCTCGTGGCGGAGGGCAACGTCTTCGCGCGCGAGGCTCTCGGATGCCCCGAGACGCCTCCTATTCAGAAGAGCACGGTTGGCAAGATGGGTCTGCGTGGTACCCGGGGCCTGGTCGTTGTTCCGGATGCGCCCAAGGGACGCCACGGACGCGGCGGAGGCGGCGGCGGTGGAGAGGGACGCAGCGCGGGCTCCGGCGGACAAGGAGGACGTGGCGGAGGAGGAGGAGGACGCGGAAGACGCGGTGGAAGATCTTGAGTTGCAGTCTCTTGCTGGCTTTGAGTTGTGATAACGTTAAATCTTGATACCCCTGGTATACATAGATAGGGTCGGGTCCTGGCGTTCGGCATAGACGGAATTTCTCATTAGGAATGATAAAAGTCAACACCCTACTTACTACTCGTCGATGTTGTTGTTATCGTTGTTTGTGGTTGTCGGTCATCGTCATCGGCCATCATCGTCATCATTCATCGTTGTTGTCGGTCTTCGTCATCGTCCGTCTCCATCGTCTGTCCTCGTCATCCGTATCTATCACTGTCGTCAGTCCCCATCACCGTCGTGATCATCATTTATTGGTGCCATTGTTTATCCTTGTTATCGGTCTCCATAATCGTCATCATCGTCATTAGTGATCGTCGTTGGCCTTCATCGGTCTTCGTCGGTGATCTCCATCGTGAGCTGTTGTCGCATGTCATCATCATCATCATCGGTCATCGTCATTTTGGTTTACCGTCAGTTGTCGTCGTTACTCTTCCTTGTTCTTCATCGTCGGCATTTATGGCTTGCCTCCGTCGTCCGTCTTCGTCTTTGACTTCGTTTGTCTTTCTCATCAGTTTTCATTGTTTCTAGTCTTCATTTTTGCTGGTCTTCATTATCAGTCTTCATCATCGTCAGTTCCTGTTGTCGTCTCCGTCGTCGATATCATCAGTCCTTCCGTCGTCCTTATTATTGTCGTCATGGTATGAGGCTTATATACAGCCTTCTAGGCACCTGAATCTCAAGAACGTCTCAGCGACTCGCAGCCAGAACTGAAATTGTGACAACTGTCCGTATGAATACTATATTCTTTCTTGCGATCTCTACTGTCACCTTGCTCTTATCCTTCATTGCAGCTGCGGATTCTTGCTTCTATCCTCATCATTACTGATCTTGCCAGTACCATTATTACTCCCGTCTTGGATATTCCCCGCGTCGTCGTTCACGTCATCTTCCAAGAGCATCATCAAAAACGACGAGAGAACAAAATCACCTCTCACAAAAAAAAAAGAAAAAAAAAAAAAAACACATCCCCCAACCCAACCCTCCCTCATCCGGGCCTCTCCAGCCGGAAAATCCTCGTCTTCACCTCAACCCCATGCGACACCGTCACCCCCTCCCCAACAACCTCAAACCCGCACTTCCTCAACACGCCCTCACTCCCTTTATTTCCGACATGAACACGCGCCTCAAGCACATCACCACCATCACCATCCTCATCCTCCCCATCCAACCCCCTCGGAAACCTTGCCCAATAAGCCCTCAGAAAAGCACCCAGCGCCTCCGTGGCGTACCCACGACCCCAAGACGACCGGGCAAAGATGTAGAAAATCTGCGGCGGGGACGTGATTCCCAAGAACCCGATAACATCTCCTTCTTCCTCGAGGTCGGAGGGAGCGAAGACTGCAAAGGAAAACATGCCCGCCTTCATCATCAACCTGATCCTCTCCACGCTGCGGCTCTTCTCCGCGACCGGCTCCGTCTCGACGGCAGGCCTTTGGCACGGTGATTAATCAGCGCGACCATTCTCTACCGTTCCGTCTGGACCAAAACCCCAACACCGGAAGCTGGTAGATGGAGAGGAAAGACGTACATATACCGCATCACATCCGGATCAAGCCTCATCCGATGCATAGCCCCCAAATCCGTCGCCCGCACCGGTCGGAGACGCAGGCGCCGAGTCGTGAGGATCACATCGTGCTGGGGCGGGATTGCCGCCAATTCTGTCGCCATTGCTTCGATGCCTCTTAACAACCAACGCCTTGAGGCAGGATCTCTCAAGAGCCAAAAACAGAGATTGCCGTCGCTCGGTTGCCTAATACTTATATCTCGTCTTACCATGGCCCTATCGATAGCGTATCACTGGCTGATCCTCCCGCGCTGTGCCGCACATCATGATGCGTGGGTGCCGAACATCCGGGCATCGTCGGCCGAAGCCGGCGCTCCACTCGGAGATATGGGTCACGGTCCCAGCCCACCCGAACTCCACCAACAACGGCGGGCGGCACCTTATTTTTAGTATATCACGCTTGCTCGTTCGTTGGCTTCACTGATACATTGATACAAACGCTTCGCTAACCTGTCCACGGCCGCTGATAGACCGAGATCACCGTGACACAATGCTCCTCCGGAAATGCTTTGAGAAAAACCCGTAAAGTTACCCCAAATGCCCATTTTCAGATGCTCTTCAGTCGCCCGCTCTACTCCCTTTTGCTCCCAAATATCAAGGTATGAATACAATCAACCGGCCAACCGCCTGTCCAGTCATGAGGGGATATTGAAACATCGACGAGTCCCTTTACCAAACACCGACCATGCCGCCGTTCCGGTATCCACCGCCCTTATCCCCCCTTTTCCTTCCATCATATGAGGTATTATCTCCTTGCCCCGGCTGTTGTTGCTGCTGTCGTTCACCCATGCCAGAATCGTCAGCACCGCTAGGCCCCGGAATGGGGCCTCCCACAGGACCCCCGCGGGTTGCCATGCGGTCATGCATCATCATTCCGTTGCCCATATCCGGGTATCCTTCTCGGTGAGGTACGAAAGATCCCGGCGGTCCCTGATCGGGATATCCGTCCCGAGGGCCGGTGCCGCCACTGCCAGGGCTCCAGGCTGTCTCAAAGCCCGGCATGCCCATGGTCGCCGTCATGTCAGAGTTGCTTCTGGTAAGGCCCAGCGGACTCATGAGGTCGACACTGCTGGCGTCCATATCAACTCCCATGTCTCCTCCGCTCAAGTCTATGCCAAGCCCCATTCCTTGCATATTAGGCTGGTGGTGATGCATCGAAGGGCCGCCGAGGTCGAGGACCGGCTGATTGCCGTTGTTTTCCTCGTTTTCGTCGAACACCTCTCCAACAACACTACCTCTCGGCTGGCCCCATCCGGAAGAGTCCATGACGCCATGCCCTTGCCCCTGAGCTTGGCTAGCGTGCATCATCGCGGCTGCAACAGAACCTGCCATTGACATGGCCGGACTGAGCTGGGTCCTCATGCTGCCCGGGTTCTCACCGGCGGCCGTTAGAAGCTTTTCAGCGAATTGCTTCCTAGAGTTGTCGCTGGCGCTGAGCGTTTTGATGAAGAACTCGATGGGGTCTAAACTCGCCCCTTTTCGCCCGCTACCCAGTACTCCCATCTCGCCCGAGGTGAAGTCCATTGCTGTTGTGAACCCTACGCTTTCGCACGCTCCTAGGACGTTGACACACCACGTTCCGATCTCGAAAATCTTCTCCATGATGCCCATGCCGTGCACTTCGACGGCCTTGCTTGGCAGACTCGCTAGGATTGACGCCGTGTCGCGAGCTACGGTAAGGGGGAAAGAAAAGCACATGCTGTTCCCTCCTCCAACGCCGCTTCCTGACGACACCCCGCCTCCTGAGTCGGCCGGGTTGGTCCAGCTCAACAAGCCCTGCCGCATTGAGGATTGCCATACAATCAGTCTTAACCATTGTTGCGTTATCAGAAGATCTGCTTTTTGAATGTCCGTCGGCTCCGGGCCGCCTGCATCTCGGCCGGCCGATGCCGCACCGAATGAGCCTACAAACTGCTGTTGACCAGACGGCGGAGACCCCCGCGCGTTCCGCGGTCGGAGGAAAGCGGGTGGGAGGGAGAGAAGGTTTTGCAACGCCAAAAAAGTTGTCGCGCTGACGCGGGGATCAGACCCCTCGTTCCACGCCGTCACGAACGATTCGTCGAGAGGAGTGTATGATGAAACGAGCTGCAGAAATCCAGCATGGATGTCTGGTCCCTCGTAAGGATGTCGAGTGGTAGGTAGGGAAGGCGTTCTTTTGAACGTGATCGGTTTGTTGCGTAGGATCGCAAAAGACCTAAAGCGGTCGCACAACGGCGGCGTGTTAGCAGTGACACGATAGTAGCGACGCAGTCAACAACGAAGTCGCCTCCGTGCTGGGCGGACTTACCTCTCTGTGACAAACAAAATCCAAAAGACCCTTTGCCGACATAATGTTTCCTCGCGGCTAAGCCCGTAGTACGTCGAATCATCCTGCAATCCTAGATCCTGTGCGTTCGTCAACGCCTCCCGCAAGTAGTACCATGATTTCCGCGATTGATTGATCTCAAAGAAGGATGTGCTTAAATAAAACGACGAAATCACGGCGGATAGTGACAGGTCTTCGAGGAAGTCGTAAGACTGCCTCGTGGATATGGTCTCGTCCAGAAAGAACCGACCTACAACCTCCCACGATGTTGGGCCTGGTGCGCCTATGCTCTTGCCGGACATGTGCATCGAGGTGAGGGCACACATCGCATAGATGAGGTTTCTCTCGCTCGGCGTCATGTTTGGTCGGCTGATCGTCTCGCGAATCGCGGGCATGTAGATGAGCGGCATGATCGGGTATATGTGCTCATAATACAGTTCAACCAGCTGAGGGATCATCTGAAAATAGTTGCGGGTTCTTGGCCGTAGTTCATCGCTCGAGAAAATACCCCTGGGTTCCGGTACGTTGCTATGCGCGGGATTCGAAGTGACGGCGGCCCAGAAGCTCGGCGGAGTCGATGCCGCCGACGCGTTTGAGGAGTGCTGTGAGGCGGCTTCACCCAAATCGCTTCCGCTCATTCCAATGTCGACGCTGTCCACGTTCAGCGGCGGGCAGGCTGCTGATAAGCGACGCCGCACATACTCTGTAGGGCTCTCGAGCGCATTTTCTGCGTTGAAAGGTCTCTGGACTTGTTGCTGATTTTGGTGCTGCTGCTTTTGTGACGACTCCTTGGCGCGCAGCTCATTGATTACCCTCCCGTGTCCCCGTTTCGGACCCCTCTTCTTGGGGACATGATCGCGCTTGCAGGTGAGAGACGCGTGAACGCATTGCTCACAGGGAAACTTGCCATCGCATCGTATTCCTGTACGCCGTTAGTAGCTGTCGCATCAGGCGAAAAGTTGAGAGCGTGGCGGGAGAAAGACATGAGAATCGTATCAGTGACAGTGGTGATGGACGATGATGACGTGCAACAACAGCAGCAGCTAAGGCGGGTTGATACCATGAAACCGACAAATAGACTGGCCTGGAGGCAGACTGCTGGGAAGAGGAAGAATCGCACGGAAATTCATGAACGCGACGGCCGAGAAAAAGCAAATCGAAGCTCGACGATGACAACAATATGGAGATGAAGTGGAACATCATACTTCTCCTTCGACAGTGGTCGCATACTGTTCTCTTTGGCGGCGCTGACTGTTGCTCGTGCTGCTGTCGGCTGCTGCTCGCGCCAGGTGACTCGGCCTTGACCTCTGCAGAGCCCGCTCTGCTCGCAGCATTTCTCGCGGTATCTGTGTCGTCCATCACTTGAACATGACGCAATGAGAAAAAGAAGGGTCGAAGAAAAGTTGCCAGAGACAAGTAAACTGTCACAGGGGTGCCGGACGTCAAAAGATTTGAGCGAGGAATTTCGCGGTGGAGTCGAGGATTTGGTAGTGGAAGCAGAGCTGAGAGCAGAGCACGCACCGCACTACAAATCTCAACTCGACAACCCAGGCCCAGCCTCCCCCCGGTCAAGACCAGTCCACTCGCCTTCTCCTCAGCCCCTCACCGGCAAGGGGAAGCTAAGGTAGGGTTGGTATGGTGCGGTGCCAAAGGTTCGGAGGCACGGAGTCACGGAGGCTTGGTGGTGGTGTCGTCGTCTGCACGTATTTCTTCTGCCCGTTCTGCCCGTTGCGCGCGGCGTGCGTTGTGAAATGCGGGGGAGAGAGACAATCGAGGCCAAGAGAAGGCGTAAAGAGGGTGCCGGCGAGTCAGCTGCTGAGCTCCGCGCCGTGGCTTTGTTGGAGTATTCCGGCTTGTTTCTGGAGTCTCTCGAGATCGTTGGAGATGGTGTCCAATGCGGGGGAAGACATTCCAAGACCAATCAACTTCGGACGAGCTGCACGGCGCCTTAAAGGAGGAACGAGTAGGTCTCCGGCGATGTAGGGAAGACTGGTGCAGCGAGTCGAACACTGCTATTTTGGATGATCCGAATGATTTGCGGCGGTATTCCGGCCCCTCTGGAAACGGCGCCATTCGCCTGGTCGAGGGCGCTGTGTGGACAAGTTGCTCAGTGCCCCGGCATCCGCCCGTTGATGCCAAGATCCATCAATCCATCGCAGGGCATCCACTGAATACCGCCGAACGGATCCAACCGCAGGCAGAATCCCCGCCGTTTTGGGCCACACGTGCGAGCTTTTGCTTCTGACTGTGAACAGGGTGCCCGGCCGAGCCTCCTTTCCGTGTTACGGCTTCGTCAACCGAAAGACTGAGAGTCTGAACTCTGCTGAGATGCCACGTTTCGACCCTTAATCCGGCAACGTACCCGAATCTGTTGAATCGGCCGATGATGCGTCTGGCCTGATGGCCATCTCATGCCACGATCTGCAAAGCATCTGCGTCAATCTTCGAGAGCGAGTTTGCTGTTCTGTGCGCTGTGGCACAGGTTTGTCGAATCGCCAACGTCGGTCACGCGTTCCGATCCCGATGATGGGTCTGAGCCAGCTCCCGTAACCACCAGCGTCATTCGAGTCGCGTCCCATACCAAAGGGCCACAAGTCAGCTTTCAAACCGTCCGCGCGTTTGTCGACGGGCGCCGCCCCATGAAAGATATCGGAAAGCCCGGCGCTAAGATTTTGATCGCTGGTATTCTGATGTGCTATGTTCCCCGGTTTTTGCGTGATATAATATCAAACGACAGGGCGTTCAACGTATCGGACACGGTAGGATTCGATATCGAGGGTTCGTAACAGTCTGCAGTGGTCTGCCCTGGTGTGTTGGTGTGATGAGGGGTCGATTTGAGTTTGATATACGACGGGGGCTGGGCGTCCGAGCACGATCGAGACGGGTGTGATCGCTCTGTGACAGATTGGTGCCTGATCACCTACCCCAGCTCCATGATTCCCGCGATGGAGACATTCGGCAAACGCCGCATTCCTACTAAGGCGCTCGATATTGACAGCGCCAATATGCGGGGTCGGGAAGGTGCTCATGACAGGCCAAGCCTGTGTTGGTATTGAGATCGGCCGAGAGATTCAGCATTGTATATTGGCCGTGGCGGTCCAGAACGCGACGCCGGCCACGATGCAACGGCGAGGGTTGCCTGTGATCTGATAAAAGGCGTCACTAACCGCAACGACCACATCTGCCTGTGAGGGTATTCGTAGTTGCCCCTGGTGTTGCGCAGATGCCTCCATGGTTCGTGGGGCCCCTTCCGAATGCCTTCAATAGTCGATGAGCGATGGATCTGCGAGATTCCCTGACACGTGATAGCATCTAGCACTTTGGATCCCGCGAGTCAGGCTTAGATTGTGTAATGTGGATGTGGTCTCGTGTCTTCGTCGACTCTGGAGTAGTCCTTCGGCATTGTGGCGTAGGTAGAGTGGGAGTGAGAGAGGGATCTTCTCGAGAGAAAATTCGTATCCGTGGGCATTTCTTTCTTTATTGGGAAAATTCTTCCGGGAAAGCACGGTCTTGGTTCCTGCCTGCCTCCCGCCTGCCAAAGCAGCCAGCGACGACTTGCCGAAATCATTTTCAAAGAAATGGCAACGAAATGGCAAGAGGTGATTAGAAACACTGTCTCTTGATATCGTGACTTTCGCGCTGCAAAACCAGTCCATGGTAGTAGAGGCAATCCCGTCATACTCGTTCAAGGCTTACATGCGTCAAGCCTTCCATCACCAATTTTTCATCACCTGTACGAAATAGCAAGGTAAAGCAGGTCAGGATCATGCTTAAAGTGAGTTCCTTCGTCATGTTCTAGTGGTGTATCAATAAAGGAATACATCCCAAACGCCAATACTGAAGAAAAGCGACGATGTGCTTCTCAGAGCTCCTCTTTGAAGAACTGTTCCTCGCTACCCTCCTGCTTCTCGTCGTCCAACGCGTCCTCACTCTTTCCCTCACCCTTCCCCTCGCCCGTATGATCGACGATTCCGCGTATCTCTCGCGGGTCGCCCGGTTGCTCAACGACTTCGAGCTTCCAACCCTTGTCACCAGCGATCCGCTCCAGCTCGGCCTTCATCTCCTCCACCAGCTCAGGGCTCAGATCCATTTTCTCGAGCTCCTCCTTGTCCAGCAGCTTCACCTCGCCACCGTCAGCCTTGCTCTTCGCGCTAGCAATGATCTCGACCAGAGGCCCGTGACCACGACCGGGGAGGTAGCTGCGCGGCGGCGCAAGCTTGGCAGGGGGTTTGCCGTCTTCGTCGGCAGCAGCAAGGACGTTGCGGGCGCCGACGATGACGCCGCCCACATTCACACCCTTCTGTGCTCTATCCCTCGCATTCGGGTCCTGCTGGCCCTGCTTCTGCAGCGACTCCTCACCCTCGGCGGCGGGGTCTTCCGGCAGCTTTTGCCCCGCCATCGCCTCCTGCGCCTCGAGCGTCTTCAAGCGGTGCCATTCCGCCTGTGCTGTGGGATTGTCTGCGGGAATGATGAGTTGGCAGCTGATAGGGTTCGCACTTGTGGCCCTGGGCGGGAGGAATGCAACGTCGTCGCAGAGCCGCGGGGTGTTGACCACCATGAGATAGGCGCACGTAGTGACCTCCTTGATCCAACCGATGCGGTCCCCCTTCATGCCTGGCACGCAATGGTACTGCACCTCGATGGTGCGCTCGCGGCCCGTCAGGTCGCAGATCGTTCCGCCGTCCATCCTTTGAACGAGGTATCGCTGGTCCCCCTTGATCTGCAAATCCGTGTTCGCCGGTGGATCCCCAGACTTGGTCACAGGCTTCTGCTGCTGCTGCTGCTGCTGTTGCTGCTGCTGTTGCTGGTTCTGTGCTTGCTGGCGCTGGCTAGGCGACTTGCCCGCCCTGCCCAGGACGTACTCGGCGGTATGCGGGTCGCGAACCGGGGGCTGTCCGTTCGGGACGGTGGGCAGCGCGTGGAATTGGACAACATCGCGGTTGTAGCAGAAGCTGTAGCTCCACCATCCGGACATGAAGTACAGACAATTTCCGTCGAGCTCGTTCAACAGCTCCCAGCCGTGGGCGGAGGCCTTGGCCAGCTCCCGCGCCTCCTCTTGTTTCGCAAGCTCCGTCGCCGTATGATTCTCTGGCGTTTGTGGCTCTAGGATGGGTATCGAGCAAAGGTACTTTGTCGGGTGCATATTCATGACCTCGTAGCGCTCGAAGATCTCGGGCGCGACACCGCCGTCGGCGCCGGTGGATTCGCGGACATTCTGGGAGACGTCGGAGGCTGTCGAGAATTCGGCGGAGTACGTGGAATGGGAATTCCCACGGTCGAGGAGGGCTTGCGCTTCGTGTTCTGAAATGAAGGATTCGGAAAAGACTATCTCGTACTGCGCACACGCTGGTTAGAGACTTGCTCCGTAAGCTCTCCTGGGCCTCTCTGTGCGTACCTGGGGATATGCCACGAGGTCATCGTGAATGCTGAAGCCAGGATGGCGGGCCCCGCAGAGCCCTGCCATCAAGATCAGATTAAGACGGCGCATGGTGCCGCGTTTGCGAAGCTGCCTCACATGTAGAGAACAGGTTGAAGTTGGGGGTGGTTTCGTTCAGCTTGAGGGCGACGGGTAGATCGTCACAACGGCGCATTGGCCCGTAGCTTACAGGTGTCATCAACGTGCGGCAGGTGCGGCAGGGGTCCCGCCAAAATAGGCAAGACAAGGGGCTTTGCCGAGGTTCTCCCGACAGAACAGAGAGATGCGGAAGGTGACATCCATAACTTACAAAACACCAGATGCAGCTTTCGCAAGGTATATTCTGTCGTCGCGCAGAATTTATGCCTTACGATACAATGGAAGCAGCATGATAAGCCAGTGTCAATTGCGAATTGCCAATATGACAACGATGACGATGATAACAGCCATAGTAACGGGAATAACAATACTGATAACATTATAAGAACGTGTTAAGCTATATCTAAGTGAATTTCAGTAATTCCGCTCTCTATGTGACAGTAAGCTGCGCTTGTTTTCATCTAATTATAAAGTGAGGTACATATTAGAGAAGGTCGGGTGTTGGCCGGATAGTTGGCCCCGCTTCAACCTCCGGGCCGCTGTGGGGCCACCCGGCATTCGTCCGATAACTGCCGCCGACCTTCGCATTTACTGCTACCCGAATTTGCCTCTGACGAGATAATTCCCCAGAGTCTGTCGCTTTCGTGTGTCTCATGTCGGCATAATTGCGCTCTCCAGCAGAGATTGGCCAGCTAGGCCAGGTACCTCGACCTAGACCTCTGTTTCTGGACTCTAAAGGCCTCGAGACCCGCTTTTGAAATCCGAGGCGAGGGTCGCAATGACTTGAGTCCAGTCGTGGATGATAGCGACAAGAACGACAATAATGATGATGCCGGGATGTTAACTTCCAACTTCGACGATTGAATCTCTACCTAAGCAAATGCTTCAAAGCGACAAGGCCTCAAACTTTTGCTTCGATCCAGGCTTCCCAAAGTGCGGTTCAAACTACGATCTTATCTCTTTGAGAAGAATCGCAAGCCTGCCGAACAGTTTATTGGACGTCTCTACAGGCTGAAATTTGACTGATAGTCTTATAACAACTTTATGCGATCGCTTTAAATAACGATATTCAGTGCACCAATTATTTCTACCTCTCACACTTCGCTACAATGTCGCAAGTAGTGCCCTAAAAGGACTGTTCAAACATCTAAACGCACGTCAGGAACTACGCATGCAGGGGTGCAGGGTAGCATTCAGGCACTGCGGCCACGGCCAAGCTCGCCACCAGGCAAGACAAGCCACATCACTTTCGCAAGCGCGGGTGGCAGGCATTTGAAGAACATGTGCCTAAGAGGTCCACAAAAGAATCACCCGCGTCCTTCTCTCTTCCGAACGTGACACACGGTCACACGTCAAAGATTTAATCCGGGGCTCGGGAGCAGTTATGAGACGCGTTCCGCATGCCGTGCCACCGTGAAATGGATATTTCCGGCCGTAGAAGGCCGTATGGCGCGCGTCAGCAGGGGTGGCTCACACCCCTGTCTGATGCCATTTTCGTGATCATACGCCACAAATGTTTCTTGTGTTTGGGGGTTCTTAGGCTTTTTTACACGACGGTTCCTGATAAATAATGAACATGATCTTTTTGAGCGAAAATGGAAGCCTCTGTTCTCGAAGAAAAAGGACTGATTTCCAACAGCTTTCTTTGTCTGCTACCGCCATTGTTCAGAAGGACGACCTCTGGGCTCACTACTTAGACACCCCGGTATCTTAATCAGATATAATTCGGCCAAATCTAAGACTTTGTAAGTTGAACACGAAGACTCAAAAGCTTAGGCTAACGCAAGCTGGCAAAGTTCTGTAATCGAGGAATTATTAAGGTCTAGATTTACTTCCACCATCTCACATTGCCACCGGCTGTCTGGAGTCTCCTGGGAAACGCATCCAAAACATCGAACTCGGCCCAGGGATGTCGCAGAAACGAGAGCGCGGTGATCTACCGTATCCCAGCAGATCACTCATAGCAATCTTCTTCAACCTCCTGCTCTTCACGATGAAGCAGCTGGTGTTATTCTGTTACGCTGGGACGGCATTCACCGCAGTCCTATCAATTTTCCTTCTCGGCCTGCCATTTGGACGACAGCTCGAGGGCGGTCTACGCCTGGCATGTCATATTCTCAGAATGGAACTCGGAGTGCCATACGCAACAGTTCCAGCAAGACATCAAAGGATCAACTATGGTCTTTCCTGAAAATGAGACTCGGTCAATTATCGCATCCATGAAGAGGTGCCTCGACGCAGAACATGAAAACAACAACTTAGTATCGGACTCCAGGTCATATATGAGTCCGTCTACATAGAATAATGTATAATATATTGATATATATACATACGCATTTCCTTGCCTATGCAAAGTTGAGAGTCCAGTCTTTGGACAGCAGCAACTCCGGCCATGAAATGACTTCGCCGCCGTCGCGCAATACCCAAAGCTCCTCTAACAACTCAATAGCCCATATGTTAACCATGATACGATTTGTCGAGTATAAATCCTTAAAGCGGTCGACAACTCTCACTCGCATCCGAGTGTCATCGTGTCGCAATTGCGCCCCGGCCGTAAGGAGCGGCATTGAGTGGAAGTTGATACATGCTGCATCAATAGGGGTATCCAGCAGTCTTTTCAAGCTTTCCATAGCAAGTAGTCTGATAACACAGCTGAGATCATGTTCTTTACCCATCGTTGAGTATACATTCACCTCCGGTTGATGTCGTCGCCCGTAAATTTCGTACAACATGATGAGACCATGGTTCCGATACGCGAAACTCATGTCTATCAGCGTCTTGTCACCATGATCAAGATTCCAGGAGAGTAACTCTATTTCAAGCATGGTTTCGAGATCCGCATCACCGACGCCCGTTGCCAGTACTCTCCGGCAATGACGACCCACTGAGGCAAGGTTGTAGAACAGCTTCGCCGAGAATCCGATCATGGGATGGAACGATGTTCTACTCCTCTCAATCGCCGTGACCACTTCCACCTCGTTCATCGGCGAAGCATCATAATCATCGGGCTCCGCAACGAAGGCGCACGTCATATCCCAGTACAAATACCAGCCCAGAATGTACTGTATAACGGGATCGTCTTTCTTCTTTTCGTCCATCAGAGCCTTGGCAAGCAGCGTACGTGCCCCTGACAAGTGTTCTTTACCATAACAAATGGGCTTCTCCTCAGTCCACGAAGAAGAGATGCCAAGCAGAAACACGCTGAGCAGCGAGGCCGGCTTGATCAGTTCATGATCCCGCAACTCGATGCGAAGTGCTCGGATCGCGAGACCCCTCTCCCGAAGACAAGTCTGAACTGCTGTAGCACCAAAGAAACCCTTCTGCCCTGCGCTGACGCTTTGAACAGCGTGCACCAGAGACGGCGTGTAGAGTAGATGCTCAACTAGTGGGAAAGACAGCGGGTTGTCGTCTAGAGTCAATGTCATCATCCGGCTGGTATTCCCCAGCCAGTAATGTAGCAGCCTTTTGTCCGGGGTGACGGCGCCTGTCCACGGCTCTGTGAGAGGCAGTGGGATCTCGATCTGCCATTGCGTGGTCGGTGGCGCGTCGAGGTGGCAGACAGAGCCTCGGCGCTGGCAGCGGAGGCAGACGGGGTAGGTCTCGTCGCATTTGACTCAGCGGGCTTTACATTCTTTGCAACCGCGCTTGCTCTTGCTTCTGTTTTGTTGTTTCTTTCGCTGCGGTCGCTGTGTTGGAAGACTGATCTCCAAAGATGTACCGGGGTCGGGGTGGTGGGCCGCAGTACTCAGCGCCGAGCCGGTAACCTGAGCTGCATTTGAACTGGCAAAACGCACTCGACATGTGTTATTGTTCATTCTCCGTGTTATATGGATTCTTGTAGAAGTTACTGAAAGTTGGGTAGGAAACTAAGTTTAGCGTGAGAATTCATGCTGTCTGCTTGAACCATCACGCACTGATCGGAGTGGGGTGTGAAAATCTGTTAGTAGTAACAAACCCTCGACTCAATATCGCTACCCATAACGAAGTCATTTTAAGCTTCTCTTAACTTCAAATGCTTTCAACGTTTCCGCAGAGAAACGTTATTCTCAATTAAGCCAGCAGGAGAACTTCAAAGTTCGAGCTCACAATAACTCGAGAATATCATAGATTTCAACTGAGTCACACAAAAGTGCTAAATCATCGAGTGGATGGATGGATCTTCAGCTCACAACGGATAAGACGCACTCATGTTGTGCCCCATAGTTGATCGGAACAACAATCTGCACTATACTGCAGAAAAGCTCGAATAATTGGTGTCAGAAGTTCTGTAATCTATTGTGCTATCTACGTGAAGCCTCCTCGAGTTCTCGAAGGGAATAAAGATTTTCAAATAGCAGCATAAACCGTCTTTTCAAATTCATGGAGAAGCTCAACTGCCTTTTGATCACCAGTGGGAAAGAGCTGCGAAAGGTACACGCCAGCAACGCCTTTCTGAACATCAACCCACTGCAGTATGGTTAGCAGAGAGAATCCCAGCGAGGCAAATCAACTTACCCAGTAGCAGTTCGGCAAGCCCGACCACGTGAGTGAGCCTGCACTTCGACCCCCCGGCACCGTCGCTGTGGTAAAGAGACCTCACAGGCCAAAGTTGCAGGACACGTCATCGGGAACGGCGTTGTAGATCGCGTTGCGGTTTGCCAGACCGTAATCACCAGGCTTGTCGAGTCCCTTGCGATTCTCAAGCTGAGGCCTGAACATCTCGTCCATGGTCTCCTGCCGAAGAAGCTTGCCCTGGAGGAAGCCTTTGTAGAGCTTGAGTAGCTCGGTGACGGTAGTGTAGATGCCGCCACCTCCCATGTCGTCAACAGCGGGATCAGGCCACCAAAGGTCATGCTTCTCCTTGAGATTGGATCCGTCCCGCTCCCACAGCTTCACGAGTCTGGATCGCAGATCCTCCCGCTGCTCAAGATGGAAAGTGATGTCTCGGATAGACAGGGGGTCGAACATGTGCTTCTGCATGTACTCCCCCAGTCTCATACCCCCGTTGACACGCTCAACCTGGCATTGTGCCGTCAGCGCAGCCCAGGCAGAGAGTTCAGAATTCAGCTTACCATCAAACCTGCCCAGTCAATGCCAGGAGAGTACATCCACTGTTCACCAGGCTCGAAAACCAAGAAGGGATGGAACGACTCCCTCTGGTAGCGTGGGGTTAGATATTTTACAAGACCATAGGATAGTTACCGGATATACATACGTTTGTTTCCACGATGGGAGACCTGTCAATTCCTTTGACCTCATTGTACTTCTCCAGCAACGGATGCATGAAGACATAGGCCATACCGCTCGAGTGCGTCAATAGATGTCTCATGTTGAGTTAGTCTTGACTCTCGATATCGGCAACTTCTCTCACCTCAATGTGATAACCCTCTTCGAAGGTCTAAACTGAGGTTCGTTGGCGTCGTCGAAACCGACCAGAACCTTGGGGTTCTTCCACTCGGGAAGAACAGTTGAGATGTCCTCATCGAGCTTGAGTTGGCCTCGCTCGACACACTGCATCACAGCAATGGTCGCAATGAACTTGGTGCATGAAGCGATCCAATGAACGGCGTCGGTACCCTTCTTGTCAGTGGAGTTTTCACCGTCTTCGAAAGACTCGGCAAAGTGAAGAGAGTCTGTGGAGTGAACTGAATTAATCACAAATGCCATGCCTTCTGTCATGATGTCTCAGGGAAATCATACCATCTATGGTCACAGCACCAAGTGTGACGCGAGGGAGGGGTTGGCCCTCAGATTTGCGGAAGATGTCGACGAGCTCCTTGGAGAATTGCATTGTGACTGAGTTTTATGGCCGCCCGGAATTGGTTGTGGAAAGCATCAGGACCGCCTTTCTGGGAGAGAAAGATCTCTTTTTATAATTTCTGGAACCATTCTGATGCCGAATGATCTATTCCATTTGTCTCTGTGGTTTGGAATTCCCCACTGCCGTCACGCGGGCCTTGCAGGCTTCAACTCGCAAGTTCTGTTCAGAAGACGCGATAACAACCATGGCGCGGAACGAGAGTCCACAAGCACAGCCCACTCCAAAGCCGCGAATATGACACGAGAAAGCGTGATCACCCTCCTTGGCAATGCAAACCTGCCAAACTCAGAAGTGTTCGGGGAATGAGTCACTACTGCCCAGAGTTCCTGGCTGTTGTGGGCCAAGTGCGGAATATCTACAGCTCTACATCAAACGCATCCTGACGTCCCGCTTGAACTGTCGTTCTAGGAAGATAAGCGAGCACCCAAGTAGCGGTACCTGATTTGATATGTTGTCCGTCCAGCGTTCCGGAGGCATAGTGCATCCGGTCTAAAGATCTCTGTACGTCGAGCTACTCCATGTGCGTTAACAAGCAATTGGACATGCCATTTGAAAAATAACCATAAAATCTAAAGAGAAAAACATGGTCCCGAATCTCGAGAACCTGAATAGACGCCAGTCAACCTTGCTAACATCGTATACTCCAAGCTTGCCTGCACAGTTGAACGACAGGCATAGAGATAGCGGGGGTAATTGGGCATACTGGTACCGTCTCTAAGTTTCCAAGATATTGTCGAACCCGGTTGCATCACTAATGATGATATGATTAGTCTTTCGTGCCGCTGTCAAAGGAAGGTTGGAAGCTGAGGCCTGGCATAGATGAAGTCATTCACGATTCAAGTTCACGATGGCGGATTTTCTCCACCTTCCTTGTTTGGACAAATTGCGAGATGTGGATTCCACTCAAAATGGCTCAAGCGTTCTTAGCATCCGATGTTGTTTTTGGTAGGAAACCGGCGAAAGTCTTCCATTTTGGAAGTGGTTGCGGCTGTGACGACTTGAGCGGACATCTCACTGATGCCTGGTCGCTTGAATCAATAGATCCGTCATGATCTCTGGCGACTGTCCCCAAACCTTCTGTTGGCCCCGAAATCCCCAGCTGCCAGCCGGCATTGATTGACAGTTACAAAGCTGTCGACAGAATGACAAACAGTCCGGTAACTGGGACATCAAATTCTTAATTTATAACGACCATTCACATCCCGTCGCTGTTGATCGCCCTGTTCTCGTCATCGTTTCTAGAGCACCCTCCAGAAATTGTTTCATTATCTCCAACAAAATGGTGACAGATCCTACCACTCTCATCAATCTTTTGACGAACCAAGTACCCAGTCTCGACGTATACGATGAAGGGAGCGACCGCTTCAACGACTTCAGGAGTTACTATAACCTTGCCCTGACCGACAAACCACTGGCCATAGCACGTCCGAAATCCGAACACGAGGTGTCGAAAACTGTCGCCTTCTGCTCGAATAACAACATCCCCTTGGCCGTCCGATCTGGCGGGCACGATTTCTTCGGCCGTTCGCTGATCAAGGACGGGCTGTTCTAGACTTGCGCGAACTGGATTCTATCAACATTGCCGCTGATAAGAAGACCGTTCATGTCGGCGGAGGCGTAATCGCTGGCTCGTTGCAGCAAGCCCTTGAGGCAAGAGGGCTCTTTACCCCTACGGGTCAGGTTAAGACTGTGGGCTACGTCAGCTGGGCATGCGGCGGCGGCTACGGGTTCTACGTTGGAACATACGGCTTTGGCGTCGATCAGATCGTCGGCGCGAGAGTTGTGATTGTTGATGGAAATATCATTGATACCGATGACGATAAAGAGCTGCTGTGGGCTCTCCGTGGCGCGGGTGCTGGAACCTTCGGTGTTATAGTCGAGCTGCCAATCAAGGTCTACCCGACGCCCAAGATCTACGCCGGCTTCTTGGGATTTGCACTCACAGAAGCCGGGGCGGTGTTTAGCAAGTTCCAAGCTCTTGTGAGCGATAAGTTCCTGACGAGTTCAGCGGTGATGCCATAGTCGCTCGACCCCAAATGCTCCAGCTACCTCATTCCGAGCCCTGTTTCATTTTCTACTGGTGCTGGACTGCAGTTTGCGGCGATATCACCCCTGGAAAGGTTTTTCTTCAAAAGATGAGAGGGCTCGGTACTGTTTTGGTTGACAGCGTTGATGAAAGTGAGTCTGAAGTTGCCATCTGCTCAAGCCTACAGATACCAGAATACTAACAGTGCGTTTGATGACAGCAACTCCCGCAGCTTTTGGAGGAGGCGAATTGTCATCCGCGACCTTCTTCCTCAGTTGCAACGTTGCCAACCTCGAGCCCGAACTCGGAGCGATACTGGCGCGCCATCAGCCAACCCAGCCTCTTGCAGTTGTTGTCGTACACAATAGCCATGGAAAGGGGGTCAAGGAGAGTATCGCGGATGGAATCGGAAGCATCTTTTCAAATCGAAGGGATCATATTATTTTGGGTCTACACGGTGGGACAAGTCTGGGCTGGGGGCTCAATGGTGATGCCTTTGAAGAGTCGAAAAGATGGGTGTTGGGTTTGGAGAAGGATGTGCTTGAATCTCGAATGTCGCTCAGTAGAAGCTTTGCGAGTTTCTCGCCGCCAGAAGATGCTGATCCTGTCATGCTGTTTGGTGTAACGGAAGCCAGGCGACTTTCGGTGTTGAAGGGGAGGTTGGATGCTGGTGGTTTGTTCAACAAAAGCTTTCCTCGGGTTGGCTAGGAAGTTGAGGCCTTCCGGCCTTGATATGGAATCTTGTTTGTCCAACTGGGCATTGCGAGATTCCAATCCTACTATTATCTACCTTTACGCACAACAATAAGTCTGGAATCACATCAAATAAGTCTTAATAGCTCGGCTTCATATTTGGGAAAAGTGACTTCAATGCAAAAATATTGAGATGGAAGTCAATGCAATATTGTTTTATAACACGACAATCTCCCGTTTAAATATTCAGAGATAGTCAACCAGCCCCGAAACTTCTAAGCCCTCATTGGTTGAACGATGATCGAGAAAACCCTTCCTGCGAAGTTTGGGCCGAATCGCCCACATGAACATGATCTGAAAAGAATCTTGCCCCGATCAGAAACTTCAAGTTTTTCATGACAGCAATCCTGAGTTTCATAGGAGGCTCTTTTATCTCCTCCACGTGTACGTTCCACCCCATCGACTCATCCTCGAGAAGATGCGCTAGTGGCCAAAGCGGATGCCCGTCCTTTCGGGATGCCAAGTCTTCCTTCATAGTTGACAGCCACAATGGACCCGACATTGGTTGGATTTCAAATCTCACCCGTTTGACAAGAGACCAAAAGGCACCCCAAGTCATTCCGTCTTGTTGATGAGAGACTGGTCGTGCTAGTGACTGCGGTGAGAACGCCGTGTTGATGGCTGATGCAGCAGTCGTTGATGCATCAGAAAGGCTCAGCCACGCGTTGTTGTCGTCGGCGTTGTAGGCGCCAATGTCGATGCATGCTGCCGCAAGTCTCCAGATATAGTCATCAAGATTGGCTACACCTTCTGTAGGCGTTCCGATGATGAGACCAGGTCTGAATACCGCAATATTTCGTTGGCCGACAGGACGTCGCTCGGCCACTCTCTTGACCAGTGTCTCTGCCACAAACTTCGACTGGCTGTAGCCCATCGAATCAGAAAGTTCTCGAACGACGTCTTCCTCACACTCGTCCTCCGATCGGCACTGGCGACCACCTGATACATACGTGAATCTTAGGCCAGGGTTTTGCAGCGCAAGGGCGGCAAGCTGGACGGTGGATCGGACATTGACGGCTTCGAGAGCAGAGTAGCTCTTGTTCCAGTGCACGACGGCACCATTGTGAATGATGATGTCGAACGAGCAGCCATCTGCCAAGCGCTCCCACTGTGACTCTGTGAGTCCGAGTTGCAGCACCCCTAGGTCCCCTTTCCATACTTCCAACTTTTCTTCGTGAAACTCCGTCCACCAGAGTGCCTTCAAGGCTGTCTCAATCACCCGAGTCTTCGCCACTTCAGCAGTCGATCCTCGCGCCAGGGCAACCACTCTACTAACGTCGGGCCGCTCCAGCAGCTGGCGGAGAATCTGAGTACCAAGGTACCCAGTTGCTCCCGTGAGGAAGACTGTAAGATCGTGGCCTTTCGGTGAAATCTTGTTGACCCCACTGGGAGCATTTAGCGGAGTCAACAGCTCGGTCTGATACCGCTCAATCTCGGCCATGATATCGACAGTTCTAACAGAAGTTTGCGGGCTGGCCGCTGTGGTGGATTCAGGGGCCGTTGAGCTTTCGATAAATGAGGCGAGACTTCTGATTGTCGTGGTTTCGTTCATCAAGAACTGCATACCGACTCTGACCCGATGCGTAATGCGAACGAACTGCATGAGAGACATCATCGTCAGGGAGTCTAGACCTGAGGAAGACAAGAGCATGTCGTCGAAATGATCTGTCGCAGCTCTAGCAGATGAAAACTTCGCAGGGACAAGAGATTGGATCTTCAACGCTAGCCCGTACGCCAACTTCTCGTCCGGGCCAACGCTCAAGCTCTCGTTGTGTGCTGAAGCAAGCTTGATGAGTGATTCCGACTGAGTCATAGATAACTCCTCAAGCAGGGAGGTAATGAGTCTCCTGTCAACTTTACCCGAGGCGGAAAGGGGGAAGCCGCTGCTTGAAATTCTCGTGATGTTGATCCAATGAGTCGGTATCATGATGCTAGGGATTCTGCCAGACAGATCCGCTTTAATCCGATCAACCTGCTCTTCGAACAGCAAACGACTTTGAGGTCTCGCAGCGGATCGGAGTTCCCGATCTTGAAGATCAAGATCCAGCACGGCGACAAGACGATCTTGAAATATGCCAGTTGAAGGGAACACAACAATGCCACGCTTGACAGAGTTGCACCCGGTCAAGTGAGATTCGATATCGCCCAGCTCAACTCTCTGTCCGTGGACCTTGACTTGGAGATCTTTACGTCCGATGTAAATCAAAGTTCCGTCTGGGTCTTTCCGAACCAGATCTCCTGTTTTATAAAATAACGAGTTGTTCGTCCGTGAATCGTTGCGTCCCCAGCATGGCGTATCAATGAAAGCCGTAGAGGTCTGATGGTGGTCATTGAGATAGCCTTGAGCCAATGTTTGACCTTCAATAAGGAGCTCGCCAGCTTCGCCATTTTCAACCAAAGCACTGTCATCCTCGGGATCAACAACCCAGCAAGAACATCCGGCAGGAACTCCAATAGTACGGGGGTCTGACCTCGGACTGTAGGCGTGGATTGCCGCAATGACAGAACACTCACTCGGGCCGTAAGCGTTGAACAGTCGAGTCCCGGCATCTAGCCACTTCTTGATGAGTGACTCATCTGGCGCTTCTCCGCCGAGGACCAGCGTCTTGAGTAAAGGTACTTCTGAGGGCGCAATGAAGCGGGCCACGGAAGGTGTAAGCAGTGATAAGTTGACGTTGGTTTCCTTCATGAAGTCTTCAATGCCTTCTACACGTTCCTTGTCGCTTGGGACACAGACGGTGCCACCGTGAATGAGAGTAGTGAGAATCTCAAACAAGCTGGCGTCGAATGTGTAAGATGAAAACTGCAACACGCGATGATTGTTGGACATTCCGAGAAGCTTTCCGTGAGAGACAGCTCCATGGGCGAATGCAGAATGAGGGATGATCACTCCTTTTGGCTGGCCAGTAGATCCTGATGTGAAGATGACGTACGCGGGGTGTTGAGGATTCGAACTGAAGCATGGATCATGAGACTTTGGCAATTGATCCAGGCGCTCTCTGTCCACTATGATCTGCGTCGCGAGCCCAAGGTTGGTTGCCTTGGAATGGAAAGCAGACGTGAGTGCTATGTTGGCCTTGATCTCTTTGATGATGTTTCTGAGCCTGGAAATAGGCTGACCAGGATCCAACGGCACAAATGCAGCACCGGCCTTCATGACTCCCAACATGGCTACGATGGTCCAAACTGACTTCTCAAAGCACAATGGAATCATGGCACCTGGTGCAACACCGATCTCGGTGAGATGCGTAGAGAGGGCAGACGACATGCGTTCGAGATCCTCATAGGTGATGGTGTCTGAAGTCGAGACAATTGCTTCCTTCTTGGCCTGTTCTCTACTTTTGCCCGAAATAAGATCGTGGATGGATTTTGAAACTTCTGCTTCTTGAATATCCTGACCTTGAGGTTTCGATGCAGGTAATGGCAGTTTATCATAGACCAAGCTCGAAATTGTTTGAAACTTAGCGTTTGAAGACAGTGCCTGAGATAACTGGACCATCACTATCTTGACGATCTCAATGGCCTCTGCCACGAAGATACGGGTGGTGACATCCTCGTCGACGTGAGTTGCAAACTCAACTCGGCCATGGTGAAGCCAGACTTCGCACGTCACTGGGAATGTGGTGAACTCTTCCCGGTAGATCGGTTTCCCCAGCGGACCAGAGCCAATTTCGTCCCAGCCGCCACCAGCCTGCACGACAAGAAGGTTCTGAAACTCGCAGCCTCGCTTTGTATCTTCGTTGAGAGCCTTGATATGCTGGATTCCGGCCTGTTCGAAAGGTATTATAGCGGTGGCTCGGTCTTGAACTTGACGTAGATACTCGTGGATAGTCGAGTCTCTGCTCAATCGAACCCGCACTGGAACCGTTGCGATGGTCGGACCTTCGATGTTTTCAATCTCGTCTAGGGGCGCATTTCTCCCCGAAACTGTTGCACCGAAGAGCACATCCTCAGACTTAGAATAGTGGCTGATCATCAGAGCCCACGCGGCTCGTACAAGGGTCGACATGGTTACGCCAGATGTCGGGTCCAAGTCAAGCTGTAACGAGTCTCTGACAACGGCACGAGCAAATGACTGGTGACCCGGCTTCGGTCGAGAAGGAAACGTCGACTGAGGAACGCCACAAAGTTCGTCTTTCCAGAACTGAGAGAAACTGCTCGGTTGCAGCTTCTGCGTGTAGGATATGAACTTGCGGTAATCCGTTGCAGGCTTCATGGTGCGGCCGTGGTATGCCTCATTGAGTCTCTTGCAAAGCATGGCAAGGGACCAACCGTCATAGAGCATGTGGTGAATGGTCCACACAAATGTCCGATCTCCATTGAGTGAAGTGATGAGTGCGAATCGATTGAGCGAATCCCCGGGAAACATAGGGTTTGCATCGTCATCTTTGAGATACTCGTCAAGGTTGTCAGAAGCCAGCCACTGAACCTGTTCTCTCATGACAGCTTGGAGAGAGCCTGCGGTTGAAGTGACCGCGAATCGTGTTCGCAGAACAGGCGATGCCGCGTGGATATCTTCCCAGGCTTTCCGGAACCTCGCCAGGTCAACGTCCTTTGGCAATGGATGAATCCATCGGCCAGTGTAGCTTCCTGGACGTGTAAGATTGACTGCCATCAGGCCCTCCTGCATGTGAGTGCAAGGATACAGGTCTTCGATGCTCTCTGGCTTAACGCCACACTGCAAAGAAACCTCTTCCCGTAATACAGATATTTCTTCTGTCTTGAAGAACTGAAATGGTGTGAATCGAGAAGAAAATGCCAGAAGTTCATCTGCGGCACTACTCTTGCAGACCAATGCCATTTTTCTCAGAACCGAGTTCTTAAAAATGTTGGAAACATTGATCTGAAGCTTAAGCTGCCGACATGCTGCGACAACTTTGATGGCTGCGATTGAGTCGCCCCCCAGCTTGAAGAAATCGTCATCAAGACTGATTGACTCTTCGGACAAACCAAGGATCTTAGCCCAGGCTTGTCGAAGAGATCTTTTGATTGGCGAAAGCCCTTCTTCGTCCGGCAAGGATGCTGGAACTGAAGCTTCCGATGAGGGGGAGTCCTCAGAGAGAAGGGTATCTTGACCTATCGAAGACTCTTGATCGCTTTCACTGAGCTCAACACATTGACGCTGATCCAAAGGCGTGGAGGAAACAATGTTGGGTTGGGTCGAAGATTGCATCAGCTGCTGCAGAGTCATGGAGTTGCCCAGACTTCGTAACGCCTTCCTGTCAACTTTTCCAGATGGGGACAGAGGCAATCTCCGGCACGGCACAATTGCTTTCGGGACCATGTAAAGTGGGAGGCCTTGCATAAGCTTGCCCAAGACATCCTCGCCCATCGACTTTATGCGTCCCCAGGATAGGTCCGATTCTTCAAGGAGAATGTTTTCAGATCTGCCGTGTCCACTGGCTGAATCCCGAGACGCGATAAAAGCGGAAAGAACACCCAGTTGTCCTTCGCGAGGGTAGATCATCTCAACCACCACTTCGACGGACGAGTTGATGGGATCTTTCCTCAATAGCTCTGAGAGAACAGCACTCTTGAGGTGGTATTCTATCTCGCCCAGCTCGACGCGCTGGCCGTTGATTTTCACCTGGCTGTCTTTGCGACCAACGAAGTCAATTGAGCCATCGGGATTCATGCTTCCGAGGTCTCCAGTCCGATAGCAACGTCCAGGATCACGGACGACTCCTTGAAGAAACTTCGGGTTCTCAAGAAAAACCTCTTTTGTTCTGGTCTCATCTCCCAGATAGCCGCGGGCGACTGGGGGTCCCTCGATGATGATCTCGCCGATGGAATTGAAGGGAGCTAGTCCATCATTTTCGCCGACAATCCAGACAGCGCAGTTCGGGGGACGGCCGATAGAAACACTTTTCTTCCCCCGCACCCTGGGTTCATCGACGATGGTGATGGCTGAGCATTCTGCAGGCCCGTAGCCGTTGATGGTCTTGACGCGATCGGCCCATCTGTCCGCGACAGACTGCGGAAGTGCTTCGCCAACCAAACAAAGCACCTCCAAGCCCGGAACCTCCTCTGGAGTCATGAGACTTGCCACAGAAGGAGTCAACATCGCCCAATTAACGCTCATGCTGGAGATACAGCTGGCCAAGTTGTTCATCCGCTGCTCCTCAGAGGGAATGCACAGACAGGCTCCAACCATTAAAGTAGTGAAAATCTCCAGCATCGATATGTCGAAGGAGAAAGAGGAATATTGTAGGGCCCGGCGTAGAGGTGAGTCCAGGTGAATAGCCTTGGAGTATCCTCGTGCACTAGAGGCGAAAGCGGCGTGAGTAACAACGACACCTTTTGGCTTTCCAGTTGACCCGCTCGTGTACACGACGTAGAGAGCAGTATCGGTGGACGGAGGAGGTGAAGTTGTTTGGGTTGAGACGGACGGAAGGCGGGTCATAAATGCTTTGTCCACGATGACTCGGTTGTTTCCTTGGATGCGAGAGGGAACTCGATGCTGGCATTGAGCAGAAGAAATAACCACGGAGGCTTGAACATCTTCGATGATCATCTTCAGGCGGCCATCTGGGAGTTGAGGGTCCAACGCCACAACAGCGCCGCCCGCTCTGACAACTCCGAGGACAGCGATGATGCTGTAGACCGACTTTTCAAAGATGATTGGGACAATAGTTTCTGGTCCGACTCCTGACATGGAAAGAAATTGGCCAAATCTTTCGGCGAGTTGTTGAAGCTGAGAGTACGAGAGGTCGCCATCCCAAGCGTGAATGGCTTGTGCTTCGGGACGCAGCTTCGCTTGCTGGGCGATGAGATCATGGATGAAAATGTTCTCTTTCACAGCTAATCTAAGGATGTTGTTAGGCTATATTGCTGGATATAAACTTGATTGATGAATACTCACGGTCTGTTAAGCTGAACCAGCTGCCGCTGGTTGGCAGGGCTTAGAATTTGAATGTCTTGCAATTGCAAGAAGGACCCCCTTGGGGTAGTAATTTGCCAGAAGACATGCTCCAGATCATTGAGCAGGCATCTCACTACTGGTTTCGAGAGAGCTTGGTTTGCAAAGGCAGCAAAGATAGCAACTTGGTCACCGTCTATGACGCAATTGAGTGCAATATCGTGATTGGCCGTGTCGAGCGGAAACTCCGCGTTACATTCGTAGGTTGTGATATTGACAGCTGTCCGCAAATTGGTAGCTGAGATAGTTTCCGTACTGCCATTGTGTCCGTTTTCGGCTTGAGTTTCTGGGGAAGAAGATTCCTTCGTCGAAGTCTCGATATGTTTGAGAAAACTTGCCATGTCACCTGTCTTGTCAACAGTGACTTTGATCGACGAGGAAAGAGGGGGGGCCTCAGTACTCGCACAACTGGGTGTGAGAATTCCAAGTTCAACTTCCTGACTACCGGATCGAGAAGACAACACCAGGGCCCAGGCAGCATACAAGTACAGCTCAAAGGACCCTTTCGTCTTGTTCAAGTCGCATGTTGGGCCGCGCATGCGCGACACAAAGCTTTGGTACAATCCGTCTCCAGGACTGAAATTAGTTTGTTTCCCACGAGTTACCTTTGGCCGAGTCGTTGCTTCAGTGTGCGTTACATCAAGCGCTTCCGAGTCTTGGCAAGCGCTGTGATCGGACTCAGTCGACACCCGGATCTCGCGACATTCGACCGTCGAAACTACTGGTGCTTTGACAACATATTGTTTGGGAGTTCCTGGGGTATTGCTGGGGAATGGGTTGTCGAAAACGAATTCTTCGGGTGTTTCTGCATCGGCTTGAGTTGGTGCATCGAAAACAAATTTGACAGAGTGTAGCCTGGGAGTAAGCTTCAAACTCTTGTTGAAAGAAGACATGTTGTCTCTCATCGTGGAAAGTAAAAGCGATCGGTATGCTTGGGGCCGAACGTATGCAAGGTGTCAGCCTTAAGGCGTGGCGCCAAGGCGAACGATGGGATGCTCGATGATATATCAGGGCATGTGCCAGCAGAAGAATACCCGATACCTGGTATCAGGATAGCACACCACCTGCACAATTTGAAGACTAGACACGTTCAATTCATTGCTTAGGCAGCATTCCTTCAGAGATCCATGTATTTACAAAGCCTCAAGGAGGAAAGAGGATCCAACTGAACGAGCGACGCACTTGTTTTGGCGTGACAAATATGACGGTATCAATATCACGTCCAAAACCGCCTAGTCGACTCTATAATCGGCTTCATTTGTCTAAATGCCTCACTCAGACCCATCTAGACTTACTAAAGGCCCATCATATTCCGAGAAAGGCAACTGTGTGGTCTTGTCTGCCTTATACCCGCAATCCTTCAACGGTCGCCGGAGCTTCCGTTGTGACCATCAAGTTACGAAGCTTCGCATAAATTAACCCAAGAAGGTCTAGTACCAGGATCACATCATCGAGGACGACCTTCTAGACCCCCATGTTAGGCATCGCTGATACTCTTCAAGGCTGTTCAAGTGGCAACAGTCTTGAGTTGACTCACGGAAAACAGTGCTGGGTGTAGGAGTTGTCATTCGATTGTCGCCGAGAGTCCACCAAAGAGGATTGAGCCCACTAGCGTGGTGATATCACAGCCCATGTCAAATGGTGGGATACCAATAGTGAATTCCAATTCGTTGCCTCGGTTCTTGTTTAAAAAACATGTCTTAAGTGGAAGCGGCTGAGACCATGGTGGTTGTTATTGAGGGGTAGGCTGTGTACATTAAGCAGCTGATTTGTCGCCGACGACTGGGTTGCACTTACAATAATCTAGAGAGTTGACAACCCTGCTAGCCATTGGTTCTTTTGTAGTTGACGCAGCCAGGTGAGATCTTGCATATTGTGCCTTGCATGGGTTCGTGAAGGATTCTAAACACGCGCATCTTTTTCTGTGACTCCACCAACTGAACGCATTTGAATGGCTTCTTGAGCATGTAGATGCCTAGCAAGGGTGTGCCGCTTGATCCTTCGGGTCCACGGGAGGGGTGGTCAGCGATAAGGCGTCGAACTTGACCATGATAGTTTTGAGCATTAGGTCGTTCCTCAACTCCATCACAACTTGCGATTCTCTACCTGCCTTCCTGATGTGGTTGGTAAAAGCGTGAGGGTCCATGTCTAGGGGCAAATCGAGTGGCGGTCAGCCAGCTCAGCGGGGCGAGTCCGGCAGCCTAGAGTATATGACATTCCGAAAGATGATTCTGCCTTGCGAGAATAACTTGGTAAGGTAAGATGAGACAACAGGCCTTGGATCTACCACACGTTGAACTCGGAGTTTCTCTCTATTCTCGCATCTCCCATCTTCGCTTGCACGCTTCACGAAATGAGCATTGAGAAAGAACAGCATTCCAGCGACGCAGTTAATGGTCGCATAGAGCCTCAACTTGAAAAAGTATCGGATTTTCATCTGAGTAGTTCCAGCAGTCAATCGGACGCACCGCGCGCACCCGCAATCTCATATGAAGCAAAAGAGAACCTCCCAGGCTGGAAGGTCTTCGTCATATGGCTGGCCGTTTCATTTGGAGTTCTGTGCACCTTTCTTGACGAGGGAATTATTGCCACGGCTATCCCCAGAATCACAGATCAATTCGGCTCGCTAAAGGACGTCGGTGTAAGTTGATACCGCGATGCCGAGAAACAATAGCAGCATAATTCTGACATACCCTCAGTGGTACGGCTCGGCGTATCAGATGACTCTGTGCGCCTTTCAATTGATCTATGGCCGTCTTTACAACCAATTCAATATCAAGACCGTCTTCTTGGCTTCACTTCTCATCTTCGAAGTCGGATCCTTGGTTTGCGCTGTCAGTCCCAGCTCATCCGTATTCATCGTCGGACGTGCGATCGCAGGCCTCGGAGCTTCGGGACTCCAAAGTGGCAGTCTGGTCCTCATTTCAGCGGCGCTACCAGCCAAGAAGCTGCCCTTGTACTTGGGAGCGATTGGTATGGTGTATGGTGTTGCTGCTGTTCTCGGGCCTGTCGTTGGTGGCATCATCACCAACAGTCACCTCACATGGAGATGGCGAGTTACACCAGAATTTCGACAAGTCAATCCAGACTAACAGTTTTTAAGGTGCTTTTATATCAATCTTCCCATCGCGGCTCCGCCTGCGGTTGCGACGTTGTTCCTGATCGACTCACCCCCACCAACGGATGACCAGCGGCGGCCTTGGCTGCAGAAAATCCGGGGTTTAGATTATCTTGGCATGCTTCTCCTGCTTCCAGGGATTACATCTTTTCTTCTCGCCCTCCAGTTCGGCGGCACTCTCTACTCCTGGAACGACGGTCGCACCATCTCGTGTTTCGTAGTTGCTGCCGTGCTTATTGTCGCTTTTGTGGTAGAGCAGTGGTGGATGGGCGAGAAGGCTCTTGTGCCACCGCGTTTGGCCAAGATGCGTGTGGTAATCTTTGGCTCGTTCTTCGGTTTTTGTCTGGACAGCGCATTCTTCACGCTGGTTTACTACGTAAGCGATTGTTTTTCTCAAATCGCACTCTAAAGCCCTGATCTAATCATCATCATAGGTTCCTCTGTGGTTTCAGGCGATTCAAAGTGTCAGCCCCGAGCAGTCAGGAGTCAGGTATCTCGCTCTTTGCTTAGCCTTCATATTCACCATCTTTCTAAGCGGCTGGGGTGTCACCAAGACCGGATATTACCAACCCTTCATGCTTGCTGGCACAGTTCTAATCTCCGCGGGCTCTGGTCTGTTGTCAACCCTCCGAGTAGGATCGACGGCGGGCCACTGGATCTCTTACCAAGTCATTGCCGGGCTTGGAATCGGAGCTTCGACACAGCAAGCTGCGGTGGCCGTTCAAAGCACTCTCACAGAAGGCGATGTTGCCATCGGAGTTGCGGTCGTTTTGTTCTTCCAGTGTCTCGGGCCAACCACCGCCATCACCATTTCCCAGGCGGTCTTTGCGAGCGACCTAGCTTCCGGTATCTCTACCAAGCTCCCCGACGTGGATATGCAGCAAATCAAGGACGCTGGCGCCACACAACTAACAGGACTGGTCTCGGAACAACAGGCCGGTATACTTCTAGACGTATACAATCATGCCGTAACTAGAACGTTCATTGTTGCGGCCGCTATGGCAGCTGCTAGTGTCATTGGGGTAGTTGGGATTGGATTGAAGAAGATACGAGTCGAAGAGAGTGTCGCAGACCCAGATGTGGCAGATTCGCCATGAATCTGGATTACGCGGCAAAACGGTAGACATTTATTAATTTATTTAGTGGTTTTCACACAAAACATTAGGATTCTTTCACTCACTCCAAACGTGGACCCAGACATACGTTGTGGTAGTAGCGAGGTCATGGGGCCGACCTTACATACAAATAGCAGCATTTTCGAATACCTATTTTCCTAATTCTCTTTCTCCAGAAATCGATGTACATCATTATCATCGAATGTAGATGTGAGCAATAGTTCCACAAAACAGGACGAACGTCAGAAGAAATGCACCAATTCCAAAACCTCCTTGGATATCGTCCTTAGCTGTTGTCCAAGCAATTGCCGCCACCAAACTCAGAATGAAACCTGCAAAGCCAAATATAAAAACAAACTTTCCAGCTAATATTTCGACAAACTGCAAACCCCACCCATGCGGGAATCGTTTCGATGGGCAAGGTCCTATCTTGTCTCTCTTCTTCCTCGGGAACTTATAGAAGAGATCCAAGTCGTTGCTGGCATGCCCAGGATTTTCGAAGAAGTGCATCAAAGTGTTAGAGTCCAGAGGAGGATCAGTCTCAGGCTCGTCAAAGTCATACCCATCTCCTATAGGTAGGAATCCATCTTTCCAGACATTGGCGAAGCCTCTAGGAAGTAATTCGAACTATGCCTTTCAGTAAAGTCTTGCCATTGGAGTTCATGGTCATCATACCTTCACGAAATGAATCGAGTCGACAATCTTGAGCCAGCTCCAGCGATACTCTTTGCGTTCCGCTTTATAAAGCTTGCCCATCAGTTTGAAGAACTCTTGATCAGAATCCACTGTGCAAATGTGTGGTTGATAGGCCTTTGTCCCCCTCTGCATAAACGGAATACATAACAACAAAAAGCTGTGGAAATCATCAGACAGACATCGATTAGCTTTAGTCTCAGACTTTCCCGCCTCGTCCGTCTGCGGGCCTTGATCGATCTTCGGCGCGCTGTCAATGGGGACAGTGTTGTCTCGATGTCGCGGCAATATTTCTTGGCCATGATTAATTTGATTGCTCCGCCACTGAAAGAAGCCGAGTATTTTGTCCCTCAAAATACTCGCAGTCCCTTCATAAGAAGAACAGGGGTCTTTGATGACTGTTGGTTTCCCCATGTCGGTCAACCGATACCGCGAATAATTTTGGAGTCGACGCTCCAGGGATTTGAGTGCTCCTGGGCGCAGCTCGATGTAGTCTCCTTCTATCAATCTGCCACATGACTATTACCGTTGATCAATCAGTAATGCTTGTATGTAAACAGCGGACCAGCTTACACATGTCCAGCGAATCCGTTGAGAATTCGTTCGAGCGGGTTCTGGAAAGAGTTTTGACCTCCAATGGTCGAGAAAGTTATGAAAGCTAATCGGAAGCTTCTCTATCCAAGATGGCGACGCAAGAGGCTCGACATTTCGAGTCAAGGCAATTTTGATGTTCGATTTCAAGTTCTGGAAGGAAGAGCCACCGAGAAGGAAAGTTCTTATGTCCACTTCTGGGGCGTTGAAACTCATGGACAAGTCTCCATAAGAGGCTTGGCCATCATTTGGTGTGTTCTCGCTGGTCGTGGCACGAGGATCTGACTGATCGTTGCCGTCGGTAGTATCCAGAGTTGAAGCGTAGGTTTCGATAATCCGACTTGCCATAGTCTGTCCAAGCTCGGAAAGCAAGGGGCCACTTCTCCGGTTGCCGTCTACGTCGCATGGTGTTAGATGTTCAAGCTGCAGAGTGTATCGCGCAAGCAGTCGCGCGATGTAGTTTTGGGCTATCTCTTTCTCCCCCGCGAGCTGGACGAGTTCGCGCCACATGTCGTTCAGTTCGGCATCTTCAATTAAGAAGCGGATGATTGTCTCCAATCTCCATTTGTTGGGTGGGGGCTCCAATGGCTCCTGCGAAGGTTCGAGTGTCGAAACATCCCCTACGTAGCAACCTGTTAGCGACTGTACAGATGTTTCTGGTGAGTAATGAGCTCAGCCAATGTATGTACCTTCCGAGAAGCCTTTCTCCTTAGACTTCAGTATACTTTCATATTCATGAGGAAATGCACTATCGGTTTTTGGCGATATGTGTGGATGACTGTTAGGTTCCTGTCTGGCCAGGGATGGAAGAGCTGACGTTTCCCCAGTGACCGCTGCCTTGAGTTCGCTCAGGGTATGTTGCTTAGGTGGCTCTTTCTCTTTTCCCGAAGCTTTTGAATGATCAATAAGATGGGGAAACCCAGATCCGTACTGTTGAAGAGCTACGTCTTTCTTCCCTATTGGCTCAGGGCTTTCCTCAGGGGTTACGGATCGCCGATCACGCCGCCTTTCCTCGTCGGCTTTGCTCTTGTCGCGAAGTCGATCTATTTCCGCGTTGTCTGACTTGTGTCTGTTATCATATCACTCCGTACGCGACTTTGCGCCCGATAGCTTACCTCCGATAGTGTCTTCGGGCAGTAGAAGAAGAATGTGTCATCGTACAACGCCTGTTACATAGTATCAGCCTTAACTCAGATGATTCATCGATTGCTGCGAGAACCTCACCATTCCCCTGTCAAACTTAGCCCCATCCTCCCTGAACTTTCTCGCGAGCCATCTCTGTAGACGATACCATCGTAAATCATACGCCGACACCGATTGCTGTACCCAGCCCGAAGGTGGTGGTGGCGGCAGGGATGACGCCTCTTGCTGGAGACGCCTAACCCCGTGGTCCCTGTCGGGTCGGTTCCAAGAGCGCATGTCAATTGTCACGGGTGGGCTCTTTGTCAAATAGAGGGAAGGGATTGTTGAGAAATTCGCCTCCCGGTCCCCCGGGCATAGATCTCGGTGCTGCCCTCTTTTAAATAAGGTTGAGGAGGGACGAAGTGCTCAAGAATAGTAAGGGCAACATCCCGGGAAGAACTTCGATCTGTATGAGAACATGTGATCTTCTTCTTCTGAAGGTTGGTGGCTGCTGACTGCTGAGACTGTAGTCTATGCTGTGTCACCCCAAAGATTTCAAGGGCGGCTATTTGGCTGAGCATCTGCGGCCATAAGACATGGTAGGCGAACCCAAAGACAAACTCGGTGGGCTTCATCATATATCTGATATTCTCGATAATGCAAAGCCAACAGTGTCGACAACAGACGGTATCAGTGGACAAAGACTTTTTGGATGGCCCGCGGACTTTTTGTGCCACATGCACAATAGGCAATGGAAGGCGACAACCTCGTTTGTACTAACTACTTTGATGCAGCCATGCTGGTCTGCGGCCTCGGGTGACAGCTGGCATGCATGATGCAGCCACTCACCGCAACGTCTCCTTCCTTCTGACCGAACACACATTACGTATCGCGTAATCGCTTGGCACCTGATGTGACGAAAGTGCCTAATTGCCTCATGGTCACCATAGCCAACGTCCGATTGTGTAGCTTTGGTCTAACGAGAGTAAAATTATGGAAAAGCTGTCAGCTGGCAAACCGACGTCACAGTCCTGAGACTTCGAGAAATCTCTCTTTAAGCCCTGACGAGAAAATGTCGGCTTGGCTGCTGCTAGATACACAGACCAGGAAACAAAGTTTCTGACACACAAGTCTACAGGATGTATTTGGCTCCCTCTTCCAGCGGAACGGCAGACTCGAGGTTCATCTTCTGTCTTCCGTCATTGGTGGTCACGCGTGCACCCCAAGATTCTACCGAACGTGCGCAAACCATCTACTGGGGTCTTGTCAAAGATAAAGACTTTCCCAAACAGGAGCAAATATCTTGTGGACTAATAGTTGGCTATTCATCTTTCAACTAGATGAACTTATGCGGAACTCAAATGCAAATTGCGGGGGCGAAAGTTCTTATGAGAACTGTTGCTGATCGTAAAGCAATCGTAAGTTACCGAAGACCAAGATCAACCCTTGATCAACGTCAAGTCATGCTGACAAGTTCATTACCACAGCTCTCTTCAAAGTTGACGGTAAGTGCTTACAGACAAGCCGACCTGGCGCTATTGATGCGATTGCGGTTCGGATTGTGACCATCGTCACTTTGATTTACCTACCCGCCACCTTCTCATGCGTAAGTGCTGCAAAACTTCATGTTCGGATCATTCTAATGATTGCAGACATTCTTCAGTACCGATGTCGTCAAGTTTCAAGACGGAGGGAAATTTTCGCTGGTTGCCCTGGAGCGTTTTCTTCAAGTCACGCTCCCGCTAATGTTACTCACTTTTCTTGGTGCTGGTGCTTGGTTTTGGATCGAGTACAATCGGCGAAATTCGAGTTCTTGAAACGAAAGAAAGGGTCATCGTGTTTTCTGTTATTTCTTACAGCAGTCGAAGCGCAGGCGTTATCTGGTTCGAACAGTATTCATTGCTTACGAATATTATGCTTGATGAAGCCAGCAAACTTGGGCTACCTATATATAAAACATCAAAAGGGGTCATTTTGACTAGAGTCCTACACGCTCATCCTATGTCGAAGAAAGAAAATGATTCATACATGCCACTGGAAATCTAGAAACGTAAACATAATATCGGCCTTAATTCTGGACAGCAATCCTCTCACTTTCCTTCTTGATATCCTCATCAAACTCCCTCCAGTTCTTCAACGTCGTCTTGGTAAACCCAAAGACGGGCTTCATCAGGAACGCCAAAAGGCCACTGAAATCCTCAACCTGGACCCAAGTAGTCCCGCCCGGTGTCTTGTCGCTAGGCTTGAAGTAGAAAGAGTGCTGGCCAGAGAAGAGAAGCGGGATCGAGCCGTCCCACTTGAAGAGCTCCTCCGTATTTTCCTGTGCGGGGGTTAGGAAAGATATCCAACTATGAGAGTATTAAGACAAGAGACTCACCACCATCGCCGGCTTGAATGCGAATCCCTTCAAGTTGGCGGCGACATAGTCACCCTTTGTCAGGTCCGAGGGCTTCTTGGCGTCCTCGTTGGGCTTGATGGTCCAGACCTTGGTCCACTCGCTGTATCGTTGCCAGTCCAGGAACTTGGCGGGATCAGAAACGCATTCTTCATAATGTACCTTGTGTATCTCAACTTACCACTGATCTGACCGTGGCCGGCGGTGCCGCGATCTCGATTTCTGTGGCGATGCTCTGTCCGGAACCCATTTTATCCGTCGAGTAGTGTTGATTTGTTAAAGGTATAATATTTCCAATACGATGAACCCCTGAAGATGTTGCAGGATTTGTTGGTTGGTAGAACTCGGGAAGAAGATGATACAAAGTCGTTGATCAGCAGGAAACTGTCTCAGTGCAAAAAGTCCGAGATCGAGGTCAGACTGCCGTCCTTATATACAACCTTCCCCCCGATGCTAAAAAAAGCCTCCCGTGAGGATTTCGGGCGCGATGTTCCCCCGGCCGGACGCCACGCCTGCGGACATGGGAGTTTGGCGGTCGGAGGGTCGGGTGGGAAGGATTTCGCTGCTGCCTCGGGTGGGGGTCAAACGGGCCGAAGGATCGGGGCTAGTCCCGTCTCGTCTCGGGGACCTCCAATGAGACCGGGCTCTTGGTCGCCGGGACGGCATTCGTAACCCTCACATCAGTTAGCAGCAGAGACGATCACCCATTGGACGTCCCCGACGGAGATTACGTGCTTATGCGGCGTGAAGCTCGCCCCGTAGAAGAAGCACGATAGCGTCGAGGATAGTTGCTGAATATGACCCGCGTCGCATTGCATCGCATGGGTCGCGACTAGCAAGTTTTGTTCATGTTGTCAGAGTCACAGTGGGCGAAAGACACACCGCAAGTTTTTTCCTTCCAGTCGTTGGATTGAAACTAAATCTCATCAGACGCTATGCTTCGAAGTTGTTCGCACAACATGCCTCCCTGAATCTCTATATAATTCCACCAAAACACACAAATACAAGAAACCTCAAAAAAACGCCCAATCGAACCCTCAAACTACTCATGCCTTGAAGAAGTCCTCGACGGCCTTGGTGAACTGGTCGGGGTCCTGCAGAGGCGCGAAGTGGCTCACACCCGTCAGGATGGTCATCTTGCTGCCCGGGATGGCCTTGTTCAGGATACCCGGCACGTCCAGGTTGACGGCCTCCTCGTGCTCCGCGCCGGCGATCATGACTTTCGCGCCGTCGATTCCGGCCAGCTCCGCCGCGGTGAACTGCGGCAGCGTGCCCTCCATGGTCGCGACCTTGGTCCCGAACTCGGTGAAGTTGGCGCCCGGCTGGAGCGTCGCGTACTCGGTCGCGCAGCGCGAGACGAACTCGCTGTAGATCTTGGTGTCGGTGAAGGTGGCGTTGGTCTGGTCGGGCTTGGCCGAGGCGCCGAAGACGAAGGCCTTGTTGATGGGCTTGGTCGTCGTGGAGTTGATGAGCGCCGCGAGCGTCGTGATGCCGCCGTCGGACCACCCCACCACGTTGTACGAGGTCACGCCCGCGCCCTCGAGGAGCGCGTGGATGTCGTTGGCCATCTGGTCGTAGGTGAAGACGTCGGCCGAGTTGAAGGTCGAGCGGCCGTGGCCGCGGCGGTCGACGGCGATGACGTAGTGGCCTGCGTCCACGAGGCGGGTGATGACGGAGCCGAAGTAGGCCGAGTAGCCCAGGCCGCCGTGGTCCATGACGATGGGCACGCCGCCGGCCTTTTCGTTGTACTTTTGGAACCACATCTGGATGCCGTTGATCGGCGTCTTCTCCGTGCTGATGGGGGTGGGGAGCTCCGGGGTGGCGGGGAGGGTCTGCCAGACGGGGGTCGTCTGGCGGATGGCCAGGCCCGAGACGGAGCCGGTGAGGACGGTGGCGGCGAGGAGAGCGTTGACCTTCATGTTGACTGGTTTTTGGGTTGAACGGGGAAAATGTGAATTCAAAAAGAAAGAATGTGGTGACTAGATAAGAAAAAGAATGTAGATCACGCAAAGCGAGAGACTGTAAGTGAGAGACTTGTTGCGATTGGGAAAGCAAAGCGCGGTGATGAGGGGTGAAGAGGGAGGATTGTGATTGACGTTGCGAATGGGGGCTGTAATTAAATACAACATCTCCCGAACTGCCGTTCGTGCTGAGTCCCTGCGGACCCGAGGGTCTGGAATTGAGTTAATTGCCAATTCATCCCGTCGTGGCGGAGCCGACTCTGAAAATAGGAGGTTTTGTCAGGGATCACGACTCATTCGCGATGATTTAGAGTTTTCGCACATTTCGCCGACCCCGTTGTCCGTGAACCGCTGGCCTGCCGACCGGCCGGTCCGGAAGAGCCCCGACAACTCGGCAGGACTTCTCCGGACTCGTCAAGGAAGCGAATCTGGTCTTGCGAGGGGCTGGTCCATCAGCGTATTCCAATCAACCCACGATCCTCCGGAATGAAGCCTTTGGGGGCCATGCCAGAGTAGTCGACCCCAGAAACCAGTTCCTGCCGACCCAGCCGTAGGGCTTGTGACATGTTCGGGAGGACCCGATGGTTCATCAGTTTGACACATTCGCCGGCAGGGGTTGCCTTGCACGAACCACGTCTGGAGTAAAGACAAGACGGGCTATACCGCCATGCGTTATTCACATCAGCTCATTGATGAGCCTCAACGTCGCTTTCGCGCTCGTTGCACTAAGCCTCAACCGCCTTGCCGATATTGCCGTGCTGTCCGCCAAGGCCGTCGCCAAAGTCAGCACTCGTGAAGCCCGATCGCGGTTCCAGACTTGCCTCATCGGCATTTCTCACATTCAGCCCAGTCACTGACAAATGCCTGAGAACTTGTAGCGTGAGACAACACAAAATCAACTCTATTTGGCCACTATAGTATATGACAAGGTAACTGTTGATGCCCCCCCTCAATGGGATGCTCGTATATAGTGCGACGTAAATAGCAAACAGAATGCACTACTGGTTCAGGCCCTGCGTCGGCCCGTGTTCGACCACCTTGCCTTTGTCCAGGCGGATGAAATAGTTAGCATCCTGAACAGCCTCGAGTCGATGAGCGATGGTGATAACCGTGCTCGTCGTCAACTCGGTCCTCAACACCTCCTGCACTCGGGCAGCCGTTTCCTTGTCGATGGACGCCGTGGCCTCGTCCAGCACCACGATCGGGCTCCTCCGCAGGACAGCCCGACCGATACCAACGAGCTGGCGCTGTCCCTGGCTCAAGTTCTTACCGCCGCCTTCGATGTGCATGTACAGATCCCAATTGGATCCCAATACGCGATGCAGAACTCCGATGCAGTCGACATCCGTGAACTGATGCAACGGGTCAAGGTTGTCCCGTAGGGTACCGGGGAAGAGGACCGGGTCCTGAGCGACGAAGCTGACTCGCTGTCGCCAGATGTGAACGTCGACGTCGGAGAGGTTGTATTCTCCGATGCGAATGGAACCCTCCGATGGGTGGATGGTAGCGAGAAGCGCCAGGGCCAGGGTGGACTTACCAGACCCTGTCCTGCCCAGAACGGCGCAGGTTGATCCGCCGGGGATGGTGAAGGAGGCGTTCGACAGCGAGGGATCCAAATGGGGCGCGTACTTCAAAGTAACGTTTTCGAAGCTGACGTCATCGACGTGATGAGGCCAGGTGGCCGGTGGCTTGATTTCTCCGCAAGGCTCCTCGGGAATGTGTAAGAGCTCGATGACACGCTCGACTGAGACGAAGTCCATTTGCAGGGTGCCGTACTGCTTGCAAAGGTTGTGCGTTGCTTCCACAAATGATGACGCTGTAGTGAGAACAAATGCGGTTAAGCCTGGTGAGAGGCCCTTGTATAGAGCAAGAACAGTGAGGGCGAACGTGGAAAGAGCTGACAGCGCGTCGAACCGGTACATGAGCCACGCCTGCAAGCTCCAGTAGAAGTGATCCATCTTTTGAAAAGCATCCGTAACCACGATGTTCATGTTCTGGAAGTGATGCTGAGCTTTGAATGCGCGAATGGTCGCCAGACCATCGAGAAGAATGCCGAAGTTGGACATCAACGGACTCAAAGAGACCATTTCAAGCCGGCGCAAACTCTGCGACGTAGGCAGGAAGCGCATGAAAATGTACATGAACCAAAGCGTCATTCCGATGGAGAATACGAGGAATAGAGGCGTGATCGAGGCAATGACCACCATGCTCGAGAACCAAGCAAGCGACCACCAGGCCACCTGCTGCAGCGGAGACATGATGCCTCCGTCGATCATTCCAATGTCGGAAACGAGGCGATTCATCAGACGCCCGACGGGGGTGACATCGTAGAAGCGGAAGGTCGCACGGCTGACTTTCTCGATGACCCGTCGGAAAAGATTCTTGGCGGCCTTGTAGATCATGAGCAGAGCAAGTCCCTCCGATAAGGTGAAGATGAAGGCCTGGAAGAGAGCGATTCCGAGATAGACGAGAAGCCACGGGCGCAAATCGGCATCGGGACTGGGTAGCCCATCAAACATGTGAGAAGAGTCGATACCAGAAGCTGCATTCTGAGTCGAAGTCTCCTCTTTGTAGGACTCGCCCCAAGCCTTGAGGAACCAATAGTTGAGGAGGCTTCCCAGTCGGAACAGACCAAAAACGAGAACAAGCGCGGCCCACCACTTGAGCTTTCCAGCCTTGATGTAAGTCCAATAGATCAACAACATGACGCCGCCGTGAGCGCGGTGTTCCTCCTCGATGAATTTGCTGGGTATGGCGGCACTTTGCTGTCCTTCATCAATGGTGTGCTCATGCTCATCCTGGTGCGTTACCTGGTCGTCATCTTCAAGCAGAAACTTGGCGATCTCGGCAGACGCCTCCTCCGAGTTCAATACCCGAGCGGTACCGTCGGTGACCTCGATCATCTGCTGAGCCAGATGAAGACACAGATCAACTCGGTGGGTGACGAGAACCACCGTGCGACCTTCCACCAGTGATCCCTGGAAAAGCTTCTTCACGATGGACTCGGCTGTGTGGTGATCGAGAGCAGCGAGGGGATCATCCAGCAAAAGCACGCGAGACTGGCTGTAGACGGCTCTTGCTAGAGCAACTCGCGCTCTCTGGCCGCCAGACAAGCCGATACCGTTCTCGCCCATGTCGGACAAGTCGCCGTGTTTGAAAGTAGCCAAGTCCGGGAGCAGAGCACAAGCATCGAGTACCTGTGTATATCTGGCTGCGTCAAACGGCGCGGAGAATAAAATGTTGTCGCGGATGCTCATGTGTTGCAGCCAAGGGCTTTGAGCACAGAATCCAATCGGCTCGGTCGGGATGATAACGTCTCCCATTTGACGATCGAGCTCTCCAAGGATTGCCTGTAGAAGTGCCGACTTGCCCGACCCGACCTTGCCGAAAACCACCGTGAGGCCTTGGGGAAAGCTGAGGTCGAGGTTCCTCAATACTGGTCGAGCGTATCCAGGCCAAGCGAACGTGGCTTTGCCGAATTTGATGTCATTCGTGAGGTGATCAGAGTAAACCCCATCCTTGTCCGGTTCACTCATAAACTCTTCGATACGCCCGAGCGCGATCGAGGCGTTGAGAACGACGGTTATGAGATTGGGGAGCTCCTTGAAGCTAGTCTCCAACATCGCGAAGAGCTGAAGAGCCGGGAAAGCAACATCCACCGTCAAGGTCTTGCCAGCGAGGAAGGTGTATGCGAAGAAGGTGGCAACAGGAAAGAGAGTTCCGGAGGCAATGTTGATGGTCGCAATGGCAATCCTCCAGAGCCCGGTCACAATTCTGGTGTTGAGTTCATGTTGCCTCGTTACCATGATGTTGTCAAGCCACTTGGACTGCCAGTCGTACCATCGAAGATGCCTGATTCCTTCGACGAATTGGGACGTTGATTGCAATCTAGCGTCCGTCGCAGCTCGGCGCATTCGCTCCTTCTTGAGCAGCTGGGCGATAAACAAGGTGTTGAGAACCTGGGCAACAATAACGCAAGCCATTCCAAGCACACAGGACCACCCAAGAAGTTCCCATACGAGTACGAAGGAGAAGATGAACTGGAGCGGCTTCGTAACCAGGGAGGGAAACTCCCAGAAGCGCTGGGCAACCTCGTAAACATCACTCCTCATAAGATTGAGGATCTTTCCTGTGGTAGCAGGCTGCTTATGCTCGTGCGTCTTTAACTTCTGGTACTTTTGGTTCTTCTTTTGCGGCCGGAGCCACGCAAGGATCCTGCCAAATCGACCTGTGGAATCGCCGCTGTCGTCGGATTCGTTTGCGGTTGCGTCGCTGTCATCATCGTCGTCGTTGACCTGTTGTTCATCGGAAAGCATCTTCTCGGCGGCAGGCTGACCGAAGAACTTCCGTGAAAGTGTTTTGGCATAGAGCGTTGTGATCATCTCACCCCGAGATCTCTCATAGCAACGTCTGGAGAACCACAGCTGGAATACGGCGGCCTGGCAAGCCGCAAGACGAACAGCCAAGATGGCAATTGCGTAGAGAACAGACAACTCCATGTTTTGCGGGCCGTTTTGGATCGATTGAAGAAGCTGCTTGAGCAGAAGCGGGATCGAGAGGTTCGCGGCGGTTTCGATCATTCCCAGGCAAGATTGTATGATGAGATCCATTCCATTGGCCGAGATGAGCTTCGTCATCATTGTGCCACGAAGATCACGGAAAAGGGTGTGAAGCCGATCGTGCTGAAATTCGAAGGGAAGCTGCCAGACGTCCGTTTCATGGAGCTGTTTCTCGGAACCCCTAGCGATCATGGGTCCCATCCACGACACCGTCATGAACCTCCACAGAGTAAGGTTGTCCTCTGGACTGCGAAGTTCGTGAGAGGGATCTTTATTAGCGATTCCGTCGTCGCCAAGTCGGGGATCACGCATCGGCATTGCAACAATGCCAATGAGTCCTGCAAGAGCAATGACCGGGTCTGCCAGAACCGAGGCGGAAATTGTCCCGTGGAGTCTATAGCTGAAGGCTGTCGAAACGACGCCACACGCGAGTATGCTGACGTAGAGGCATAGAAGCGTCTTTGGTGTCTTCGAAGGGCGATCAATGGCTGTGATCAGAACAGCACCGAGCCAGGGGATGAGATCTGATGTAATGAAAGGGCTCCGGGGCGGAGTAACGGCCGCAGAGATGGCTTGAATCAGACCAGCTGCGGCGACGATGAAAAGATAGACGGTCCAGAATGTCCATTTCTTCTTCTGTGGAGGGTGAAGGGCATCGGAGTAATGGGACTCCTGGGCAAAAGCACTGCACCAAGAGGGTCTTTGGCGAATCAGCGGGCGAGCTGCAACAAGACACCATAGAAATGCGGCTATGGCTGCGCGTACGAGGTTCGTGAAGTCCATGACTTTGATAGCGTCGAGAGCAGTCGCGGAGACCCAGGTGGCATTGCTGAAGTTTGCATGCTGCGAGGCACGCAGGACCGGGCCGCTGAAGATATCTTGAAGGGCGCCATAGCTGTACAGCGCCAGCCGGTGGCCACCTTGTTGGGTGAAGCTCTGGTCAAAGTTTGCGTCGGTGTTCATGATCAAAGGTGTTTACCGGGTCTCCGGGGTTGAAACGGTTGGAACCTTGATCGCGAGACCATTTGCCCGCCAGCCAGCCGCGCGGGGTCGTGTACCACAAAGGGTGATGAGGTTGTTGGTTTGGGTTGATGATTGCCACCTCACCGTACGGGTACAGATTCCGATTCACCGCTCTGCCTGAAAGTCGCATTCGCTAAGTAATCGCTGCCGAATCCTGCACCTGATCTCTCACGTGTTATCTCCGGATAACACCATCATGTTCCGTCTTGTCGAAGTCATGATCCGCATTCGGCGATGTTTAGTGGTGAGGTTGGACAAAAATGCTTTGTGTAAAGGGCAAGTCTGCGAACGAAACAATCGAGTCTGGTTTTTGGAACAAAGACAAGTCTTGAGGACGAACGGGAGGGGCCCGACGGTTCCAGACTTACCGCTGGTCAGTTAAGGTAAAGTGCCGCCGGGAGGGATGAGACAGAAATTAACCGCCGATGTTTTTGCGGCGATGACATAATAATCCATTGGGGGCCAAATCTAATCTTACCTAAGGTACGCAGGTACCTACCTATATGCTGACTAAAGAGTCCTCGGGAAAAAGCACAGACCAGGACATCCCGGAAACCGGCGTTGCTTTTTCCGACTGCAGCTCTATGTGGGGCATCATCTCATCCAATTGGACGACTTCTAGGTTCATCTCTTTCCGTCCCAAACTCCAGCTGGCAGCCGCCAATGGCCAATCTCCATGGGATACGAGACGATCCACAATCCGAACACGAATCCGACACTTCACCCTTGAACGATGTCCCGGGGCCCGCCAAACACCAAGGATCTGCATCACCAAACATCGCGATCCGAAGCCAACTAAAGTCCTCCCACGCGAGTGCTACAGCGCACCAATTCCAGGTGGATCCCTTGACACCGCATCTCTAATCATAATCACTGGAAATGCGCTTATGCGGGGAACCATGGCTCGCGTGGTGGACCTGTTGGCGCTGGACCTCAGGGGCTCGCGACGGACCAGACGCCGTTCATTTGTGACCCGGGGGCTGTACGGGCCCGACATTTGACGAACCCATGCTCCGTCATGATGCGAGATGATGGATCAACTACATAAGGCGAGGATGCTGTCAGTTCGTCTGGACTAAGGTGCCTCCTTCTCGCCTCGACTTGCATCAAACAGCAACCCATCATGGCGAACGTTACCGATACTGTCGCCTCCGCAGGCTTTTTCGACGACCAAATCTCAAAGCACTTGCCTGCTGCCACCGCAGGCTTCATCTTTATCGTCGTTGCCCTCCTGGCGCAAAGCTGGTTCAAGGTCGACCCGCTTGCCAACGTCCCGATTGTTGGAGGTCAAGGAGGATCATGGAAGCGGAGGAAAGAATTCGCAGCGGGGAAGGGAGCGGACTACTACATTGAAGGCTACAGGAAGGTGAGTATGGAGTATGGACCCGTCATTCTACTAGACTAATTCTTTCCGCAGTTCAAGGACAGCATCTTCCGCGTCGTCACGTTAAGAAGTACAGCGACACTACACTACCCCATCCCATCTTAGCATCCCGCTAACTCTCGCATAGAGCGTGACACTGTTTGCGTTCCACCAAAGTATCTTCCCGACTTGAAGAAGCTTCCCGACGATGTTCTTAGTTTCAACAAGGCCATTGACGAGGTAAGCGGGAATACGTTTCACAGTCATCGTTATGCTAACTTGTTAGTCCATGCAAGTCAAGTACACCAAGGTCGAGACAGACACTCCTCTTGTGGTGCACACAGTCCGAGCGTCTTTGACACCCGCCCTTCGTGAGTCGCCCATGGCAGTATAGTGCCAAGTAGGTAAGGTATGCTAACATGGTAGCCAGCCCGTCTCAACGCGACCATCGCAGATGAAGTTGTTGAATCAATGCGCCTCGAACTCCCCCAATCCAACGAATGGACCGAAGTCAACATCAACTCCAAACTCCTTCGCATCATCGCCATGGCTTCTGGTCGTGTTTTCATCGGCCCCGAACTCTGCAGAGACGAGCGCTACATCGATGCCTCCATCAACTACACCATCGACCTCATGACCGCCGTCCACATCGTCGCATTTCTCCCGGGTTTCGTTCGCCCCTTCGTCGCGCCGTTCCTGCCTCCGGTCAAGAAGTTGCACCGTCGCATCGTCGAGGCTGAGGCCGTGTTCAAGCCCATCGTCGAAGCCCGTAGAAAGGCAAAGGAGGCCAAGAGTGATGACTACCAGGAGCCCGACGACATGCTCCAGTGGATGATGAACGGCCAGGCCAAGTTCGGACAGTCAACGGATCGAGCCCTGGCTCAGAACCAGCTGGGTATCAGCTTTGCCGCCATCCACACGACTTCCTTGACGACGACCAACGCCTTCTACTGGCTCGCCGCCAAGCCCGATTTGATCCCGATCCTGAGAGACGACGTACAGCAAGCCCTGCTTGAAACTGGAGGCGAATTTACCAGCCCGGCATTGCAGAACATGAAGAAGCTGGACAGCTTCCTGAGGGAGGTTCTTCGATGCTCTCCGTTGTCCGTCGGTACGTCGAGTGATTTCTTGGTCATGGACAAACTCTTTGACAGATTCTAATTGTACTATTAGGCTCTTTCCAGCGCAAGGTCCTCAAGGACATCAAACTCCCCAACGGTCAGGTCATCCCGCAAGACGTCGTTATCGAAATTCCCGCCGGCGGTGTAAACCTCGACGACGAAGTCTTCCCCAACGCCCAGGAATTCGATGCTCTCCGCTACTATAAGCTCCGCCAGGCCAAGGACGAGGCCGAGTCCGGTACCAAGGCAGCAGAAGTCGTTGCTCAGAGCCAATTCGTCAGCGTCGGCACCTCCCATCTCACTTTTGGCTACGGACGTCATGCTTGCCCGGGCCGCTTTTTCGCCGTCAACGAGATCAAGATGATCATGGCCAACATCTTGTGCAACTACGAGGTCAAGATGCCAGATGGTCTCACTGAGCGATATGAGAACATCAAGTTCGGCGCGGGCGTGAGTAGATCTAAACCCGTACTGTGAACTCATACTGACAATTGAGTAGTCAATGCCCGATCCCAGCAAAACTGTCATGATCAGAAAGCTCTGAGTTATTTTGAAGCGCAGGTTTCTTTTATTTAAATTTATGACCATCATTTCATGTATCAGGAAGATTTTCAGAATATTGGATCATCATAGCACGCGAAGCATCTATAGGGACGGTCGCTAGGTTACTAAAGGCAAAGGGGTATCAATTTACATATCCATCTTATCAACATCTATCTTCTCCAACAAACTTTTCTTAGGCCACTCTATCCAGGGCCTCCACTCGTCGTCAATGACATCGTCGACCATCAGCATCACCCCCTTGCTCCACCCTCCACAGGCCCAGTCATCATGCTCACACATCCTCAGCAACGCAGCAAAATGCGCCAGAATCACCAGTGCAGTCGGATGTCCGTTCCCGACCATCTCGATGAACAACACCGGCAACGTTACACACCAGCCCCAAACACTGCCGGGCTTTTCGCCGTCGGTGGTAACAATCTGATGCGATCTGCGCAGCGACTCCAGCGCCAGTACGCAGACAGTCTGCTCGTTGATGACGTCGTGGAACGAAGCGGGGACCTCTCTCGCGAGCGCCGTTATGGCGTCGAGCCGCTTCTGAAACGGGCTCGCGGTGTTCATCCCGGGCGAGATCTGCGGCGTCCGCAGGAGAACGTCCAACGGCCCGCCGCGCTGCCTCCACTGCTCCAGCGGCTGGAAATCGAGAATCCCCTTCACCCCGTGCAGGAACCTGAAGGACTGTGCGACGTCCCCGAGACCGACCGGCCGGCCAAGGGTCTCGGCGTGGGCGACGGAGTACACACTAACGATGAAGATGAGCGTCGCGAGGAAGAAGTAGGCCTCGCAATTGGTCGTGTCGATGTCGTTCAGGCGCGTCGCAAAGAAACGAAGCGCCAGGTTCTGGTGGTGCACCGAGATGATGTCCCACTTCCTCCGCTCCGAGGGGTGGCTGTGGGCGTAGTGCAGCGCCGCGACAGCAAGCAAGCCATGCATTAGGAATTTCTACCGACGCGCAAACTATAATCAGCGACCACACGCATATACACCACACAATTCTCCGAATTAAGATTAAGTTCTTACGATGGTAATCCGGGGACAGAGGGAGAGGGGTGGTAAGGGGAAAAAGCTTACATGGGAACATGCCATCTCGGGTATAGCCGTCTTCCACAGCTCTTCGGTGCAGGCATCATGCGGCAACTCGTTGCAGGTGACGGTGCTGTAGTGGTGCATCAGACGCAGGCTCTGCAGCCAATCCTCGGAGAGGTCCAGGGGGTCCGGAGCGGCGCCGGTCGCAAGTACCGCCGAGTGGTGGTCGTTTGCGTACGGTGACGTGCTCGCTTTCGGAGGTTGTCAGTTTTTGAGCTTCGGAAGATGTGCCAAGCATGAATGACAAGATGGAGGGGATGACGAAGACACAAGGGGTGGGGGATTGCAGATCAGGTTCGTCCTTACCTGCCGTCGGCGTCAAACTGGCATCGCTTGCGGCTGTCGCAGCTGTCGTCGTCGTCGTTGTCCTCGTCGACTCATGGATCCCGTGGGGAGGAACCGGGACGTATTGTTGACCCGGGGTCTGGGAGGTCGTGGGCGGCGTCAGCGGCCCCGTCACCGCCGGGTGAGGGTCCAAGAGACTGCAGTGGGCGCCGTGTGCAACGCATCGATGGCACGGTCGGTTCTCATCGCACTGCGACAAACGCTCGTCAATCCGTCGCTCCAACAGCTGAGACACGTTTCCATCGCCAAAAGACCACCAATGTTTGCACGCGGTCGTACCTTTACCCGGCGCGCCTTGCAACGCACACATCCGTTTCTGGATTTCTTGTGCCCGAGTCGTCGGGTACGCTTCTCCATCATTCAAGAAAACCGACTTCGCGAGAATGACGTTAACGGAGCTGTAGCTGAACCGAGGGGGCACGCAGGCAGGAAGGGAGCGGCCGGCCGGTTGACCAGCTCGGGTTCGTATACGCACACAATTAAGGGAGAAAAAGGGAAGGGGTGGGGGAAACGCCAACGACGGGAAACGCGATGGGAGAAAAGCGGTTGATAAAAAAGAGAATGCGAGAACCCCTGACCCTTTTTTCCCTCACCATGTCCAATTAGAGCGTCGGCTGGTCCCGAATACGGGACCGGCATATGATTTGCAATGTCGCGGCTTTGCGGCATCTCTTGCGCAGATCACCAAGTGGCTTAGGGGACTAAGAATCCCCCCCACTCTGCGGGGAACGACTTCCGGACCGTTGAGGAGAGGAGGAATACGAATGCGGGGTTTGCCATTGTTCTGTCAGTAATGCGAATCCGAGGTTTAAAATGTGCCTAACGTAGTTCTTGTGTTTGGTGTAAAGTACGGATGGACGCAGGAGCGTTTTGGTGTTTCGAGAAAGCGGGAGAAAGAAGAAATAGGGCGTGCAGAAGCAAGCTGTCGAATTTTGAATCTCGGGTTTTACGAGGTGTTGTTGGTTTTGCGGTACGCGTACTCTGTGTGGCTTCTATCATGCTCTCACCCTGTTCTACCAGCGCGAGATCCTTGCGCGTCCTTTTTTCGGGTTTTCGGCACGGTGAATCGGGGAAATCCATGCGCTTTTCTTCGGTGTGAGACAAGAGCGCTCTGGGGGTTGACAAAACACCAAAGATTTCTGGAGAGAGGATGAACTCGACGCACCCGAGAGCGAGTGAGGTTCGGCTTTTGATGGGCGGTTGATCGCGGTTCGAAAGAGTTCCTGGAACGGCTGTGAAACGGTACTTTGTGCTCGGGAAGAATGCCAACAGATACTCTGTTGCGTTGGTGAAGTTGGCACAGAGGGTTTGGTTTGGGCGGATGTGAGGAAATGGTGAGATTTCTGGCCTCACCGACGCTTCACCGAATATTGTTTCGGTATACATCGGTGAGACACAAACGTCGGGAGGCCTGAGTTCTTCCACCCCTTTCGTCACAGCCCAATCCACTCTCTCACCGCTCGGAATGCTGAAGACCAGTAGCATGACATTGTCCGTCGGGACCTCCCTCCTTGTTCCCCGAACCCGGGACCCAGCTCCATCGGATGCACACCAGGACGCTGCGGCAACGGTGGCCCGAACTCATCCCAACAACATAGCAATAACGGCGAAACTCCGCAGACTCAACTTCGGCCTTCCAAAAACACGGAACCGAGCATGCGTCTGGAAACGCATCCGTACTTCACACCGGGAACGGGGCCCTACCAACACTCCGGCCCCGGCCCCGCTCGGACGGTGAGTGCCTCCACATCGGAAACGCACGGGGCCTGATTCGGCGCCGTTCAAGGTGATCGGGAAATGCACGCGCCTCCGATCCGGTCGGCTCCGTGGCGGAATCATCGCACCTATTTCGGATTGACGCTGAGATGTCTTGATGTTGGTGGAGAGATTGTGTCTCCTTACTCATCCTCACTCGAAAGATGAATATACACGACGTGAGACATCTCGGCGACTCTCACAGCAGTCGTTCGGTCATTTTTCACAAGATAAGATGACCGCGGAAACCCTACACCGCTCACAAATCCGGAGGTATAGATTACTATATACCAAGTCATTGTCGTTCTACTGACGGAACTATATACATCGGAAGGTGGTGTTTACTTCAGATGGCAGGGAACCCGATCAAAACACCCTGCGACGCAGACTGGCGGTAGTGTTACCAGCAGGCAGAGGCAGAACCTCAATCACAGGAGTCTGGTAGATCTCCCAGTTATCCGACGCCTTGGGGTTTCCAAACGGCACCAGAGCGGCGATGCGCATCCTAGCAGATCACAAACGTCAGACTCGGACATGCGCCGCGCAAAAGGTCTCAACTTACTTGTACTTCCCGGGCTTGATCTGGGAGCCGTCCGCCAGCTTGCCGAGCCACCACGACTCGTAGGGGGAGTCGCGCGGCTGGTACTGGAGCGGGTAGGAGAAGGTGTTGTTCACGCTGTCGGTGGCCGGGTCGAAGACGGGGTAGTTGGGGCTGTTGTAGACGTCGAAGGAGGCGACGGAGCCGATGTACTTGTTGGAGCCGACGACGGGAGGGTAGACCCATTCGCGTTCCTCGTAGGACGGCTCGAAGATCTGTCGCGGCGGTTAGCAGATGAATGTCAACGGCGGATCAGAACGGTTGATGCTTACATCCCAACGGAGCTCGCGAGTACCCCACGTAAGGGCGACTTGGAGTCTGACGAAGTCCTGGGCCGCGAGGGAGAGGTCGAAGTTGAAGCTGTGGACTTGTGTTAGCTGGACCCTCTGGAGTTGAGAGATGGGCTGGGGTTACCTCGACTTCTCGGTGATTAGTGTTCGGTTCACGCCAGAGGCGATTTTCGGGTATCCCATCGAGGTGTAGAACATGTCGACGATGTCATGCTTGATGCTTCCGCCAACGCCTGTTTCATGATGGTTAGTATGGGCAAGCCTCAGATGACGAGGGATAACGTACCGAAGTAGGGCACCGAGAGAACATCGCCATTGCTCGCGCTGATCAAGACCTTGCCGCTCCAGACCGGCAATCTAGAGGAGTTCAGCCCTTGAGGGATGTCGAAGGTGAACCTTATTTCAGCGTCAGTCGGTCACCCCATACTGCATATCTACAACAAAACTTACTTGGCAGTCTTGGTCTCCCCAGGTCCGACCTTGAAAGTACCGGATGGCAGACCAACAACAGCATCGATCTTGAACGGCACGATCTCGGGGAAATCCTTGATGCGAGGAATAGCGATGAGATCCGGGTTCGACGCAGCTTCAGGGGTCCAGTACGACTCAAACCCGGCGGCACTCTGCACCTGGAAGCGGTACTCGAGCTCCGTGGCGCCCGTGTTGGTGATGTCGACCTGGTGGTAGCGCGAAAAGTGGTGCGTGTCGTTGAGCGCGAACTTAATCTCTCCGGACAGCTGCGAAGTGGAGTTGAGAACGGCGGCGGCGTCGATCAGACCGCTACCGACCTGGATCGGAGGGGCCCAGAAGCCAAAGTCCTTGGTGCTGCCGTCAGACCAGGGGATCGCGCGGCCGGATGCGGTGATACGAGCGTGAAGGGCCTTGGCGAAGCCGGCGCCGTGGACGGAGCGGCCACCGTGCGCGGAGATGTAGAGTGCTGCTACACCGGCGACGTACGGGCAGGCCATGCTCGTGCCGGAGAGATCGCGGTAGCGATGGCCGACGAAGGGAGCGAAGATGCGGCCACCGGGGGCTGTAACATCGGGCTTCAGCTCAAGGTCGAAGGTGCCTCCCCACGAAGTGAAGACAGAGGGCTTGCCGCCACCGGAGTTATACATGGCGACGTAGTTGCTGTTCTGGTCGAGAGAGAAGTCGGCAGTGACGTTGCCGCCAGCGATATAAGTCTTGACAATAGCTTCGCCGGCGTCCTTGGACAACAGACCCCAGTCGCTCTGTGCCCAGCCTCTGCCAGACGAACCGAGCACAGGCCTGTCGGTCAGGTAAAAGAGCATGAACCTGGCACCGCGTTCCTGAACCCATCTCTGCCTCTGCCAATCCTCGCAGCCCTCATCGAACCGCACGAGCGGGATGGTATTGTTGAAGTTGATGCCCTCAGCCAAAGGTTCACAGGCATCGTTCTCGACGCTGATGTTGAGAGTAACAGGGACGATGGGCCAACCGACAATTTCCGCAGGGAACAGCTCCTCGGCGGGACGGTAGCCGAGAATAGTTCGGTTCGACTGGCCGTCGAGGTTGAAGGTACCGGCAAACTGGCGAGCCGAAACAATGGAGGCATCGGCAGACCCAATAGCGAGAACGTCCTTTCCGGAGGCTCCGCTGCTGGCGAAGAAGGGGCCGACGTCACCAGAGTTACCAGCGGCGATAGTGACAACAACGCCCTGCTGGACGATGCGGTCCGCGACCAGAGCCCAGGCATTCTGGCTCCAGCCACCAGTCGAGCCGACAGAAGCAGTGATGATATCGACGCCGTCGGAGAAGGCACGCAGGAAAGCCTCGATGAGGACCTCCTCACCAGTGCCTTCGTTAGGGCCAAAGACCTTGTACGAGTAAATGGTGGCTTCGGGAGCGACTCCGGTAAACTCCACGCTTTTGCCGGCAATGATACCGGCGACGTGGGTCCCGTGGCCGGCCTGGTCCATGGGGTCCTCGTCCGGCTGTCTCTCCTCGCCAGGGAAGGGCCAGTTGGTCTCGTCACCGACAAAATCATATCCGCCCGCGACCTTGCAGTTGGCTCCGAAGCATCCTCCCAAAGCCGGGTGGGTGTACTCAGTGCCGGTATCCACGATACCGACCTTGACACCCTTGCCGAAAATGCCTTGCTCATGAAGCTTGTCTACGCCCGTCATCCAGTGGATGGAGTAGTTGAGCGCGGCGGCATCGTCGCTGAAGGAGTCTCCGGTGACAACGGGGGCGAGTTGAATCCGGGTGGAGTGCCACGCCTTGACGACCGGGAGTAGAGCCTCAAGCGAGTCTGTGTTCTCGCTGTCGGACTCAACGGCAATGCCGCTGAAGATGGATGAGTCGAAGACTTTCAGGACCTTGCTTCCGGCCTTGGCCTCGATCTCTTTGACGAGGGCATCTTTGTCGGCTCCCTGGCAGCAGTCAGTATTCCATTACGTCTTCATTCTGCACTTGTCTCAGATGCTCACCTGCTCTAGTTCAACAATGAACTTTTTGGGCGCCACAGCAGTGTCGTTGGACGGACGGGCATCGTCGTCAACGGCACGCTTGGAGATCTTGGCAACACCCGTGCCGGCCAAAGCCAGCGCGGAAACGAGGACGCTCGCCACACGCATGGTCGGTCGACTTTAAAACGAATGACAGGATCTCAGAATCCGGGCGATCGAGCTGAGCTTCAATGCGTGACACCTCATGACCATCGCGGGGAAGTCTTCGTCTTTTATCAGACTTTCCGGCCGTCTGAGTCGCCCAACTGGCGTGATGCCATCTTCTGTTGACGATCTCGTATCGAATATCGACACGGAGGCACCCCCGGCAGCTTTGTCCAATTTCGGCAGTCGACGAGGTGACATCTCCACCCCCGACGGAACCTCACCATGAAAGCCAAGCCATCAACCCGCCATTTGCGAAGTTGCGCCCTTGCATCGACCTGCCGTCTTGAGCTTGGTTTATCTAACGAGCAGAATTCCATGCGACTTTTGGTATTATCTGCATGCAAATTGGCGCTAAATGACTGCTCATCTTCGTATTTGAAGTTGGTAGCCGCCGGTCCTCGGAGGCCGGTGGGATGGGACGATAATTGGGAAGTGGGATCGCGGGAGGCGCGCCATGGGGAACACTGTCTGGGGCTCCGGATTGAATGGTGCCAGAATCCGCTCCGGAGCGATCCGTGGACGCGATGATCCGCTTAACATTAACATAACCTAGGTGTTTGGAGATGTCTCGCCCACTCTTGTCGAGCTGCGCTGTTGCAAACTCGAACAGATGTCGATCGGTCTACCTACGCCTTGATGCGAGAGTAAACCAGTTCCCTAGCATCTCAAGGGCTCACTCGGCATCCCTCGAACGTTTAGGTATCAGACAATGATAGTCGGAATACTAATGGCGAGACTGTTATCAGCAAATACAATGAGAGCGGATGGCATTTGTAGTTGGACCCAAAGACTGGCTCAGGAACTTTTTAGTCTGGACACTCGGCCGATCCAGGGATCTCAGGGCGGATGAAATGAGAGGAGATCATGTTTGCTTTTCGAAATGAGGAGATTCCACTCGGTCGGCCGGGGTTCCGCCCTTGCAGCCGTCGTCTCTTGGCAGGAATATCCGGCGGTGCTGTGGGTAGAAACTGTTTCTAGCTTCACTGAAACTCCAAAAACAAGCCTCCAGTGAAGTCATCATGGTTCATTACAGGCGTCTGAAGCAGAAGGTTGTGCTGACTGCATCCGGTTGAATCTGCTGCGTCTTGGCGTCGAACGTGAATGTGCCGGCACCGCCAAGCGAGAAGCTTTTTGACGCTTGTCAGATTTACCCCACGTTTGCCCATCTTTGGATCTTCCAATGAGAATGACTTCGTCGTCCTCGGAACCGTTGCCCGACCGCATCTTCATCTCGAGTCCGAGGTACGGTTGCATTTCCTGCGCCGTCCCCGCATCAGTTGCTGACGGCTATATTGAAGATGTCGCCTTTCGGAAGCAGGTGTCTGCCGTCAGAAATCCATAGGCACACTGGACTCTGGACATTGAAAAATGATGAGCTTTAAAGGAATCGAGCCTTTCCCTCAGGTGTTTCGAGGAGGTGAGGTTTTAGTTTCCATAGAGATCCGTCTTGGCATCCGCTGCCATCATGATTCGATCTCTAGCTGCGCTTGCGGGCGCCCTGGTCTTACAGGCGACTTCACCAGTCTTCGCCAAGCCTATGCTTCTGGAGTCTGCGAGGATTCTCGAAAGAACGGAACAAGTCAAGGACTCATACGACTATGTCATCGTTGGAGCAGGGACAGCGGGGTTGACAGTTGCCGACAGGCTGAGTGAAGACGGACAATGTTAGTGACAGGAACCAATGCGAGAGGCTTTGCTCACCAACGGCTTAGACTCTGTACTGGTCATCGAGTATTGCCACCTGAGTATGTACCACATCTTTTCAACACGGCTCGTGACTTACATTTATGCTTCGTAGTATCGGATGAGGTTATCGAAGCTGGCCGCGGCCGAAACTTCAATGACCCCGGGATTCAATACAATATCAGCTCCGTTCCCCAGCCGGAGATGAACAACAGAACACAATTCGTCTGGATAGGCTGCTGTGTGGGCGGTAGCTCCGCCATCAACGGCATGGTCATGGTACGAGGGACCAAGATTGAGTATGATGGCTGGGCGGAATTAGGAGGGCCCGATTCGACGTGGAACTGGGACGGCATCCTGCCCTACTTCAAGAAGGTAGAGACATTCGATCTTGTGTCCGGCTAAGATTGGCTGACTGAGGTTGTAGGCCGTTCATTTCACGCCCCCTGATGAGGAGCTCGCCGATGTCTTCAACATCACATGGGACCCGACTGCTTGGGGCATGGAGGAGAGCACCAAGATCTTCGCTTCGTTCCCCGAGTATCAGAACCCGACATTGAGTTCGAAAGTCCAAAGGCTTGAGAAGAAAACTTCTGACTTGTGTTAGTCCCTACATACCAAGCGGTGAAGAAGATGCCGAGGATGGACGTACCTCTCGATGGCGCAGGAGGCGACAACGGGCTCTTCTGGTTCCCATCCTCAATCGACCCGAAAACGTACCGAAGATCGTACTCAAGAACCGGCCACTACGACAGCATTGAAAGACCAAATTTCGAGGTCATCACTCGCCACAAAGTCCGGAAAATTGTCTTCGATGGAACCACGGCAACTGGGGTAGAGTTCTTTTCCCGCGATGGTGACGGGCAGTCCATTACCGTCAAAGCGAACAAGGAGGTCATTATCGCCGCCGGCGCGGTACACACTCCACAAGTCCTCCAACTGAGTGGTATCGGACCGAAGGCCCTTCTCGAAGAAGCTCGGATCCCGGTCCTGCTTGACATTCCCGGCGTGGGCCAGAACTTCCAAGACCATGCGTACCTCAGCGTGGGATACGAATGGGGCAACGGCAGTCCCAAAGGACCGGAAGTCCCTGCGAACGGCGACCCATGGAGTGTCGCTGCCCCGAACCTGGGCGCCTGGATCGGCCTGCCGACAATGACTGAGAACTTCGAGGACATCGCGGCACGATATGAGGCGCAGGATCCGGCCGAGTTCTTGCCGGAGAACACCCACCCGACCGTGATCGCTGGCTATGCCGAGTTCCAAAAGCTACACGCCAAGTTGCTCCGAAGCAAGAACACCAACATGATGTGGCTTCCGCTGATGGGCGGCGCTGGCGGTATCGTCATGAGCATGCACGTCGTCAGCCACGGCACCATCAACATCGATCCCGCAAATCCGGAAGCCGAGCCGATCGTGGACTACCGCGCGCTGAGCAACCCGACGGATATGGATATCATGGTTGAGGTCATCGAGTTCATGCGCAAGTACATGGCGAGCCCGGACTTTAAGCAGTACGAGCCGAGGGAGACGTCACCGGGGAAGAACGTGACGGGTGAAGCGCTGAGGAGCTGGATTCGGGAGCAGTATATACCGACAAACTTTCATCCGATCGCGACGGCGGCGAAGAAGCCTCTGGAGATGGGAGGCGTCGTCGGAGAAGATCTGGTGGTGCACGGAACGCGGAAGCTCAGTGTCGTTGACGGGAGCATCATGCCATTGCTGCCCGGAGCGAATACGCAGCAGACGGTGTATATGCTGGCCGAGAAGGTGAGTCGCGCTGCATTCTCAGATGAAGTGAGTAACGTGCCGTGTACTGATTTGTATTTTCCCAGGCGGTTGATTTGATCAAGGCTAGGCAATGAAGCGTCGGGGACTGGACAGTGGTACAAAAGATGTGGTGTTTTTGCAAGAACTACGTTGCCAGTGGACTGGCGGACGCTGGAAGAGGTCCCTGGGGCAGCTGGCAAGGCAGTGGTGGCATCCGCTGGCACATAGCGGCAGTCCACATCCGATTTGCATTCATGGCTTCATCGCGCTGGTAGTACATAAACTGAACAAGCGCGCAGTGTCGATATGATTGTTTTGACTATATGGTGATTTCCAATCATGCGTGGGCGATCGTCAGTCACTCTTAGGCTGTTCTCGTCCGTGGATGCATCATGGGCATGTTGGACCCGGAGAGAAAAGCTTAGGCGTTGCAAGTGTTTTCCTCATCTACAGCTACAGTACAGCATATTCATATTGACTTCCTCTAGATATGAATTCCCCGGGAAACATGGTACAGCCAGGTAGTGTAGCCGGAGCCTTTACACCCCACAATTCGCAACGTCACGACCTCCCTTCTGCTGATCAAACAGATAGCTAAACACATAATCGAGGCCTCAACGAGGAACCCAAATTCCAAGATCCTCCGCTTTTGATATTGAAAGACACATGCTCCCTAGGTCCACTAAGGCATAACTCAACTCGTCATTCTCAGCGATACGCATTGCCTCGCAAGGCCTCGTTCGCAAGGGCATCGGCCTCTCGATTGTGACTGCGCGGAACGTGCCAAAATTCGACAGTAACGCCCATAGACGAAAGTTCGGTTGTCTCCGAGAGGATCCAGTCCCAGAGGTACCGATTCTTGACTGGTTCCCCATTGGCACGGTGGAAGTTGTTGTTGACCCAGTGAGATATCCACCCCGGCTGTCCATTTCTTCCTGCAATAGCGTCGACAATGTACGCAGAATCCGACTTGATGACGATATGACGCACCACACACGGATTTCCCCGGTATCGAAAGGGATGATGCCGCCATCCTCGTTGACAAAAGCGCTGGGCGGCCTTCAAGCCCTCTGCGACGGCACGCAACTCGGCACGCTGGTTTGTATGTGCGCGGCGAACCCGTCGTCCCTCCCGGTTTCGCCTGTACTCATCGGGCACAAGGAAGCTCATGTTGAATGCGTTGTTTGGACCAAAGTAGATGCCACATGCAGACCTGTTCGCGCCAGCTTGACCGTTGAAAGGACAAGCGCCGTCGACGGCGACGATCAGCGAATCGATGTGGCAGTCATCCCAGCCGCAAAAGCAGGTGTCATGTCTCAGGCAGCGAACATGAGTGAACACATCTATGTCGCGGCGGTCAAGCACGCGGACTTCGAGGCTGGAGATGTCGCCTTGGTAGAGGTGCTCCCAAGAATCTGGGAAGCGGCTGTATTCATGGAATTCTGGGTCTCCACCGACAGCGGGACGACATCGTACCTCCAAGTGGGTGTGCGAACTGTCGCAAAAGCTCGATACCATGGCTGACTGTGCGGTTTATATGGGCTGCGAGGCTTCTCTTGCCTTCTCGAGGTTCTTAACGTGCCTTGCAAGGGTGATCGATGACTGGGCGTACAGAATCTCCAGCTGCGATGAATGGAGATGGAGATGGAAGTCGAAGTAGAAGTTGAAGTTGGAACGTGGAAGTTGAAGTCGAAAGTCTGGAGACGGGAGAGTTGAAGTAAGGTAGGTGCAATCAGAGGAAACGGCAGGTGGCAGAAGCGAAATGAGAAGGAAGGAGTTCAGCGTTTGTCTCTTCGTCAAGAAAACTCTGCACCTTCCACATGGAAGAAACGAACCATACTCATCATCACGGTTGCCTCCAACAAGAACGCAGCTTCCTCCTCATATCTTCCATGGACATCTCCAAATGTCAAGCTGCTCATCCAAGCCTCTGTTTGCAAGCTTGTCCGCATCTGCGTTCATGCTGCGAGGAACATGCCAAAACTGTACCACGATCCCCATCTCCCAAAGACTAAGAATCTGCTTAACCAAGTCGTTCCACAGCTGCAGGTTCTTCACCACCTCCCCCTGCGCAGTCTTGAACCCGTTCAACAGCCAACTGATCATATACGGCTTCTCCCCGTTCTTCCCTCCTCCCACGGAGTCGACGAGATACGCCGAATCCGACTTGATAATGATGCGCTTCACCTCGCAAAGCGCCTCGTCGTCGCCTGAGACCTCAAGCGAATGCTTGGCTTCACTCAGAGCCTTGACGGCAGCGACGAGCTCGGCACGGTTGTTGGTGTGCTTCTGCGGGACCCCCTTGAGTTCGTCGGGAAGCCGAAAGCTCATGTTCCCGTAGTTCCCGGTTCCGAAGTAGATCCCGCACGCCGACTTCTTCGCCCGGTCCGTTCCGTTGTGCGGGCAGGCGCCGTCGACGGCGATGACGAGCGAGTCCTTATGAGCGACGAGGCCGCCGCCGGAGCCCGGCGAAGGGCATCGTAGGTAGGTGTAGCCGGGGGGCGCGTGCGTCAATTCAAGTTGCGATAGATCGCCGCATCCTGCGTAACTTTCGGACACGGAGGTCGGGAACCGGCTGAAACACCGCCATTCATCCCCCACCGACTTGTTGAAGACCAGCCCGGGGCAGCCATCCGGTGCTGGGTGCGCGGATGTGAGCTTGACGCCCCCTCCGGAGAGATTGAGTAAAGGATTGGCCGTTCCTGATGACATGGTCAGAAACTGAAGTGAGTGAGTGTTGAGATGTTCGGTGAAGGTTGTGTGCATTCGGGGTTTGGGGCTTTAAGCAGGGGGTAGAGATGGCGCGGGGTTGGGCAAACCGCAGGCGGTGGGGCATCACTGAAGCTCATTCCTACGCTGGAGGTCTCATTCTTGTTTTCGCTGGCCTTCCGTATTCAAAAAGAGAATGACCGAGGATTCGGTTTTGAAGAATCCCAGCTGCTTCTAGTGAGAATTTCCGCTAGCACCGTCATGTTGAGTATGAGCCTGGACACGTCTGAAGAAAACACAACGTTTAGTGCTTATTAGAAACTCTAATTGTGTATAAATGCAATGTCAAGCTCAGGAAACAGCATTTTCATTTCATTAAGTCACTGAGAGATTATGAGACTCGATCCGTTCTCAATTCCCCTTGCGTGTTTGACCCATTTCCGCTGTATTTGAACACAACCATGAGGTCTGAATACTCAAAGCGCATCTCGAGAGCTTTCTCTACGCTTTACTGTGGATGAACTTCAGCGTCATATGTGTCATTCGCGTGTGTACCGTTGGATATGGTGTACTGACTGAGATATTAACTGGTCAATGAAATAGCCAACAGAGAACCTCGTCCCCCTTACACTCTCGAGTCTCTTTTTCAAGTTCCAAGAGCCCAGTTGGGTTGCATAGCGAGCATTCCGCCCACCCAAACTCATGACCGAGAATTTGAGTCAAGAAGCTCCGAGACGGCACATTGGTAGCAAGATACAAGAAGACCATAGTCACAAGCAACACATTGCTTCATGCATAGAATCAACTCTAGAACACAGGCAATTATCGCTCACGATAACTGGTTCTGTCACTTCATATACGCCAGACCGTGAGGTTTCCGCGCGGGCGAGCTCCCGCGCGGGAATGTTGATGAACAAGCATTAACACTTACAAGCTTCATGTCAACCAGAGCCACTACGGAGTTGCGGGCTTGCGGACTTTTCAGTCTTGGTTGGAAAGGAACAATACCGTCGGCCTCAATTTTATATATAAGTGCTCATTATCTTGAAGAGGTGAGACGGAAAACGATATAAGATATCACTCTCACACTTCATCCAACCAACTTCACCAACACCATGGAACGAGACTCAAACTCCGGCATCTCCATCCTCATCGTAGGCGGCGGCATCGCCGGCTTAACCCTCGCCATCGAGTCATACCGCAAAGGCCACAACGTCAAAGTCATCGAGCGTCGAGATGAAGCCAAAGACCTAGGTGCGTATACCAACCTTCGACTCCTTTCTCACTTCTGACCGAGCAACTAATCCTCCAACCTCCCCACAAAGGCGAGTTGATCGTGATATCAGCACCAGCCCTCCGCACGCCCATGAAATCCTGGCCAGGCTTCATGGAAAAAGCAAAAGCCCACGCCCTAGACCCCCTCGCAAACCTCTGGAAGTTCGACGGCACCCTCGTCGGCACCTGGCCCGTCGTCGCCCCGGACGTCCCCGTCCTCGTCATCTACCGCAGCAAGCTCCACCAGGTCCTGCACGAATACGCCGAGGGCCTCGGAATCGTGACAAACTTCTCGCACACCGCCGTCTCGTACTTTGAGGAGGAGGGCAAGGGCGGCGTGGTTGTGGAGGACGGCCGCAGGTTGACGGCGGACGTGGTCGTCGCGGCCGACGGCGTGGGCTCGAGGTCGTGGGAGCTCGTTCTCGGGGAGAAGCAGGCCCCGATCAGCTCCGGGTTTGCGCTTTACCGGGTCACGTTCCCGATCGAGCCGCTGTATCGGAATCCCGTTCTTGCTGAGGTTTTGCAGCAGTCGAAGACGTACTTTTGTACTTTTGCTGGGCCGGATGCCCACATCGTCATCGGGAAGACGGAGACTGAGATCTGTTGGCTGTTGACTCATAGAGTAAGTAAGCCCTCACTCCCCTCATTTATATGCGTTTTTGGTGTTTCGATCCAATCTCATAAGATGAACAGGATGAGGAAGACTCAGAAGAAAGTTGGTCTAAGACGACGTCGTGCGATGACGCGCTTAGATACGTCAAGAACTGGAGCCCCTTCGTCAAAGCTCTCATCGACGCAACCCCAGACCATCGGGTCCTAAGCTGGAAGGTCATGTGGCGAGATCCTCAGCCCAAATGGGTGTCTGCCCTGGGCCGCGTGGTCCAGATTGGCGACGCCGCTCATCCGTTCCTCCCGACCTCGGGATCCGGGGCCACCATGGCGATGGAAGACGCCATTACCCTGGCGACCTGCCTCCGGATTTCCGGTAAAGACGAGACCCCGACCGGTGTGAAGGTTTTCAATAAGCTCAGGTGAGGGCAGCCCAACATATTGATGTTCTCAACCCCTGATAACATCATACTAACACGCATCTATCAAGATTTGAGCGTGTCGCTTGTGCCCAGAAGTTGGGCTTCAAGACCCGCGAGGTTCTCCACAAGACTGATTGGGACTACGTCAAGAAACACCCCGAAATCATGAAGAATAGGCTGGGAGGTTGGCTGTTGAAGCATGACCCTGAAGAGTACGCAATGAATAATTATCAAGCTTGCCTGGATCATGTGCTTCACGGAAAGCCCTTTATCAGTACAAACGGGGTTCCCGGGTACACTTACAAGCCGTGGACGGTCAAGGAGCTCCTGGACGCTTCGGATAAGGGGCAACTGGTTGAAGACGAAGGCAACTGGATGTAGAACAAATGGACTTCGGCGTTGTGGATCGTCACAGGGGAATCGAATCGCATTCATGTCATTATTCCTTAACCACACAAAACCATGGCCTCGTATCATGGTGTACATCAAGTAACTGACCAAACACTCCAATCCTGACGCCCCCGAACCATTATTACCACCTGCTCCCCCGGGCATCTATACACGGCTGGCTGGCAGGGGTAATAAAAATGTCAAAAAGTTCCGAACGACTGCGATCTACAGCATTCATAGACGGCTGTCTGGCAGGGGTAATGAACCTCTCAAAACCAGCAAGTTCCCGAGCAACCCTCACATGCTCCTCCGCAAGACCGCTCGCCTCCTGATTCCTCCACTCGGAGACCCCCCAAAACTGCACCGTCACACCCATCCGCTTCAACGTCCTCACCTCCTCGACCAACCTCACCCAGAGCTCGCGGTTCTGCACCCCCATGCCCTGCGCAGTCAAGAACCCGTTCTCCTCCCAGTTCATGATCCACGGCCTCTCCCCGCGATCGCCCCCCGCGATGCCCTTCACGACGTACTCCTCCGACGACTTGATCACGAGGTGGTTGATCCCGTGGTGACCCACACCTGCAGGGGCCGCCTCGAGGGCCTTCTCCAAGAGCTCTCGAACGGCCTTCGCCCCGGCCACGGCCGCGTAGAGCTCCGCCCGCCGGATCGTGTTCGTCCCGTCCTCGATTCGTCCGCTTTTGTTCATCTTGCACTCCGGCCCGAAGAACACGCCGTACGCGGACCGATTCGTTCCCCTCGTACCGGATTCGTAGCCTGGGTGGACGCCCTTCACGGCGACCACGAGCGAGTCTCCGTACGCGGCGTTCTCTTGATATGGATATCGAAGGTGGGTAAGCCGGGTCTCGGGGCTCACGATTTCGAGGCGCGACTCGGTGACACCGAAGATTTGCGAGAAGCGGCTGGAAACGTCGGTGGCGCGGGCTGGAGGAGAGCCACCGGCGTAGAGGGTTAATTTAGAGGCCGGCTGGGCTGCCTCGACCTTCACCACGGTTCCCGAGGAGGCTGCGCCGACAGTGACACTCTGCGACGTGTATTTCGATGCCAACCTGTTCTCCCCCGCATCCTCCTCTTTCTTAACCAATGCAGTTCTGTCGACAACCTCGTAGGTCATTTGGGTCGCGGAGCCGTTGTTCAGTGTTGAAATTTGTCCTAGTCCGCCGCCGGCTCCGTCTTCCTCCTTCGTCCTCATCGGCATCGGCCCCGGCTCCGGTACCCTGCCGGCTCTATCCTTATTCTTCTGCACCCCGGCACAGGCGGAGGTCCTGCGAGTCGGCTCTCTGTGACTTGTCGTGGGCATCGATCCGAATCCACTGCCTGCTTGGCTGTTCTGCCTGGCATAGGCTGCGTCGCGCATGGCCCGCGGAGCTCGCGGAGCGTTCGCGAGCGGGTCAGCTATCGAGGCCAATTTGGACCCCTCGTCTTCTTCTTGTTTCACGACGGCCATGGTGGGCTTGCGATTCCGCCGGTTCGACTCTCGATTTTTTGTTACTCGAAATCGGCTGGTATGGGGGCGAAGACAGCTAGACTAGTGAGGAGACGGCGATGGCAATGCTACGAGGACGCGAGAAACAGTGAAGAAAAACATTGTCTGTCAATATTCTGCGGGGTTCTACGTATGTCCATCAACACTCCAGCTTATGGTTTTCGTCCAAGAATGAGGCATGGAACATTACAGCGGGATGGGACAACATAGCAGGAATGCCTTGGCATCCGACCACGCCTGGCAGACTCAACTCCCGCACAGCCAGGGTGACACCAGGAAAGAAACACATAACGTTTCTTTCAAACCGTGTGTTCAGAGTATATCAGGAACTCAGAATCCTGCGAAGAAATAATCGAAGTAAATGGTAAAGGAAGAACCGAGATAACCCCTCGTCGTCCAATTTTCCTCCAATGACCGCCCGCCAGACCTTCATTCCATCCCGACATGCGAACTCAAACTGAGCACACACCTCCCTAGGCGAGATTAAGCTCTTACAATCACGTTAGTACAGCAACGATCGTATTTCGGCAAGAAAGACCGCACCTACGTTGATCTCGTTCTCGTACTGAGTGGCAGGAGGTCGAATGGTGAATCTCCGCGTAAGAGACCTTCGTCAACTAAACACCAACAGACCATCCATTGCCAACAACCTTCAACTTATCCAGACTGCTTGAGAGATATTGCGGGATCGAAACATCAATGGTCAGAGCTTTACTGTGATCAAGCGGCATGAAAAGTGTCTCCCTGTCCGCACGAGCAGTACCGAAAAATGGGCATTTTAGTACGCCGTTCTTCAATACCTCAAACGCTACAGAATCAGAAAAGAAGGAGAGAACGACGAAAACCAGAGATTTTCCAAGCGGACATATCCCTAATACCCATCAGCAGTATACCGCTCAGCAAAAAGAAAGCAACAAATCCCATGACCAGCCAAAACGCAGTCACAAACGAAGCGTCACATCCGACCGGCACACGCGCCAGATCAAGATAGAGAACCCATCCCTCCCCGGCCCGTCCGGACCCGCCCCGGTGCGTGCCGCGCTCAGCGCCGGTCATGGACCCACATCATCCACCAATCAGACCCTCTCGACTCCCCAACCCCGGAAGGGACTTATGGGGCCGTCAAGGGTCGGAAGCAACCCCGCCTCGGCCGGGCCCCGCATGTTCGCGATGCCCCTCCGTGGTTGGATGCGATAGCGGACGTTGAGATCCTATCGCGACGTCGCCTAGAGATTGCATGTGCCTCAATGGAACCCTCCATGCCTCGGCGATGGGAAAACGTGATAATCGATCGGTTTTACGATGGGTGATCGATCAAGACAAGGGGCATGTCGTCGGCGTCACGCCCGGGTAGTGGTGGTGGTAACTCAGTGTGCTTTAAAACGACAACAGCCCGTCCACATCGTGACTGCTCCCGGACCGCTCCTTCTTCCTTCTCGTTTGCTGTCGTTAGGAAGGAGCCGTACACCGTCTCAAAACCCAAAACTTCCCCCCTCTCCACCAATACAAACCAGCATCTCGGACAACGTATTCCCACAATCGTCCGTTTACCCAACACGCCACAACCCACAAACCCGCCCCAAAATGACCAACGTGCCCAAAAACTTCCTGAATGGCTTGACCCTCGACCAGTTCATGGGATGGGCCCCCTATCCCGACATTCCCGAATCCGGCTCCGACTACGACTCCGAGCACGAAGACTCTGTCCCGACCGTCACCGAAGACGGCGAGATCATCCGCGGGTTCCTCCAGATATCCTCCTCCGTGGATCTCCCCTATCCCCTCCCCGACGAACACCTCCACGTCTACCTCGACCGCCTGGGCAAGGCGGACCCGAAACTCCGCGATATCATCTACGGCCCCGACGGGACGCCGCGCTCCTTTCTGGTGCGCGAAGGCCGCCTCGTGTCCTTCAAAGGCAATTACTCCGCCTGGTACCGCGAATTCCAACGTCGCCGTGCACGTGAGCTCGAACGCCAGAGTGAGCTTGACTGTGAACTCGAAGGTGAGCGTCAGCAAATCAAACGTGAGCGTGAGCGTGAGCGTCAACTCGAACGTGAGCGCCGGCAACTCGAACGTGAGCGTGAGCGTGAACACAGACGTCAAATGCGCCTACCGTCATATGGCGCATCGCCCCACCTGTTGGGTCGCAGCCGCCGTCAGGCCCGCGGCCTGGCCCCGGCCAAGATGGCCATCCCTCCGTCCGGCGGCGACGACGACGATGATGAATGGGAGGACGTGCCGCACATCTGCAGTACCCGGGCCCCAAGGGAAGAGAGACCGATCCTCCCTGAGGAGTACTACGACCTCCTGCAGCGCCGGACGCCCATGAAGCTTCGCCTACCCCTCCCCGACGAAGACCCCAGCGGCTACATCACCATGGCCCTCCGAACTGATATCAACCTTCGGGAAACGATCTGCAGAGAGGACGGGACGCTCCGCTCCTGGTCTGAAGCCCGCGACGTCCCCGCCACATGCACCTACCCATTCCACGTCCACACTCCTAGCTCCGAGAGGACCGGTTCTCCCGAGCCCGGCGACCAGCACGGCCCCGCTGTACAGGACGACCGCCGCGATCCGTCTCCCAGCCCCGAGAGGGCCTGTTCCCTCGAAGCCGGCGACCAGTGCGGCTCCGATGGACAGGAAAAACCTCCTCGCCCCGAAAAAGCCCCATCCTCCGAACCCACCGATGACCAGTGCATCCCCGTCATAACGGAGAACGTTTCCCTACCCGCCGGCATGTCCCATCCCGACACCTGGAAATCCTACCTTGACGCCATTATCGAGTTCCAGCTGAGGCGGGACGGCGTGACCCCAGAAAGCTACGAAGCCAGGTTTGAAGCCCTCCAGAAGCAGTTCCGCAAAAAATGGCTCGCTGCGTCCAGGATCAGGGCCGACAAACTCATCCAAGAGAACGCCGCCATCCGCAGAGCTGAAGCCCGCAACGACAAGCTCAAATTCTTCGTCTCAGAGCCACACATACCCCGTCCCGCACGCCACACGGCGTTCCCCTACTTCCACAAACCCACAGCCGAGCACTTCCACCGCCGGCCCGCTCCGCCCTCGTCGCACAGCGAAACCACAAACCACCAAGGCAGCACCCCCCTCCGTCGCTCCCACCTGGACCGCTTCCCCTCCCCATCCCTCTACGCAACCACCTCTCTGACCGACCTCACCGTCCTCGGTCCCGCCAACTTCACCCACGTCCGCTGCCCCTTCTCCTCCTGCCACGCCCTACACACCGACTCCCTCGTGCTCTCCGTCGCCGGCCTCGCCCTCGGCATCCCCTCCGCCCCGACCGTCAACTACACCTCCGCCGGCGCCATCCACCTCGGCCCCTCCAACCCCCACAACCTCTCCTTCTCCATCCCCCACGACCACGACCCCTACCACGCCCCCGAACAGGCCCAGCTCCGCGCCGCCATGGCCGCCATCCGCCTCGCCGCCCGCTACTGCCGCGACGGCGGCCACCTCGGCAAGGGCTCCTCCCAGCGCGTCCACCACGTCGTGATCAAGACGGACTCGGCCTACATCGTCGAGGCCCTGCTGGGCAGCGCCGACGGCGCGCGGGGAGGACCCGTGGGTGCTGGACCAGACGCGGGAGCTGTGGTGGCACTTGCTGTACGAGATGCACTGGCTGTGGCACTACGCCGGCGTGCAGGTCGACTTCTGGCTCGTCGGCCCCTCGGAGAACCAGGCGGCCATCCGGCTGGCGGCGAAACACCTGAAGCCGTCGTGGACCGACGGCGACGACGACGACGACGGCGACGAGTTCGAGAACAAGTACGAGGCGCTGCGCCGGTACACCCACCACTGGTATATCCCGTTGAAAACGTGGCACAGGGTCCTCATGGGAACGATCGAACACGAATCGGCGTGGCGGAAAGAAATCGTCCAGGAATTAACAGCAGAGAAGGAATGAAGATCTGTGCCGTAGAGCGAAGCGCCCTGTTGAGATGAGGTACCCGGAAGGACTTCGGACCAACCTCAGGTAAGGTACGCAAGCACGATGGATGCTGCACTTGCCAGCGAAAACTTCAAGTAAGAGCAGGCAAGAGACGGCTTGGAGGAGGCACAACTGAGCTTCTCAGCCAGTCTCGGTCGAGAAACTTCGAGGGTACGCGGGTCTAGCGCCGTTGCCTATGAACTCAGGCAAAGCAAGCTCGTTCCTCTATTTCATACTGGTCACCATCTAAAAGTCGCTTTTCTAAGACAAGTCATAATTGCGGCGGAAGAGATGTAATTCATAATCTGATTTGAAATTGAATGAAGACCATACATAGCATGAGTTGTTTTTTCTAAATATCTAAAAAAGGTTTGTGTGTCTCTCTGTCATCCATGACCGTATTTGTTGCCGCCGTCAAAAAATCTTTCGCCTCCTATGCCCGCCGCTTCCCCTCCCCTCCAAATCGGCGGGTGGGGGGTACGTAAATAACCAAAAGAAAATTGAAAAAACAACACCTCTCTCTCTCCCCGTTCCTGTAAATAATGCTTCTCCTCTCTCTGTCGCAGTCCGTGGGCCATTAACGAACGCTTCTTCTATGTTGTTGTATATATCAAAAAAGGTTATACATCATTATACAAATCCAAAAACGCGCACACACGGGCTCCGTGGGTTTAAAAAAACACTTCTTTTGTGAGGTTAAAAATGAGAGAACCGGCCCTGAACCCAACATGACACAATTGGGGCGGCGACGCCCCGGGGTATTTTTTTGACATCTTCGCGCATCGCAAATCGCATAAAACTTCGCCCGCCACAATCCGCTTTAAGGCTTGGACACCTGTTCCTTTCTGAAGAACTTGAAGAACAAGATGGGGATGACCATCTGGAAACCCAGGCAGATCCAGAACCACCAACTTGCAATGCCGGGCATGAGGCCCTGCGAGAAGTCGGGGAACGTCGTGTTGGGCGACAGGGCGTTCGGGCTCGTCGCGCGCGCCAGCATCGTGAAGGCACTGCCCACGATTTGTGCGCCGATGAGGACGGCCAACACGTGCTGACGCGTGAGTGTCGCGAGCAGCATCATACCCAGGCCGACACCCTGGATGTTATCCAAGAGGCCGAGCCAAAGCCAGAGGCAACGGGAGAGGATGGCGGAGCCGACGGGGCCACCAGCCCAGGGGAGGTACATGCCCATACTGCTGGTTCCCCAAAGCATCTGCGCCCAGCGAGGAGCACAGAGACCGATGGCGAAGATAGGCAGGAGCCAGGTGTGGCTCTCGGAGAAGTAGGAGAAGACGTAGAGGATCAGGGCCCAGAGGACGACGAAGAAGCCCAGAGCGAGGAGGACGACGCCCCAGCCGGGGATGAACTGGGAAGCGAACAGGAAACCCCAGTTGCGGCCGTAGGGCGCTGACAGCCAGTAGTTCTGGATGATGATCATGATGAAGAAGACCGGGACGAGCTTGCGGCGGATGAGGGAGATGTAGAAGCCGGGAATGTTGTCGGGTGCCTGGCGGTAGTAGTCGGGAAGGCCAAAGAAGAGGATGATACCAATGGCCCACAGCATGATCGCAACGGGAATGCAGATGACGAGAGCCTTGGGGATGCTGGTGCCGTCGATGAAAGACATGGGCGAGGTCTCGGGCGTGTGCGTCAGAGAACCCCAGTACCAGAGCATCAGGGAGTAGACCTGAGCAACACCAGCGACAGCCAAGGCACGCATAATCCATTGCTTCGTAGGAGCTCCGCCTTCGTCACCAAAGTTGAGGGCGAAAGACAGAGCACCAGCGCTGGCACCGGCTGCGTAGAGGGCAGTGGCGGCGTCTTGCATGGCAGCGCTGGCCTGCCAAGGGGACAGAAGGGGAGAGACACCGAGAAGGATGAAGGCCAGACCGAAGAAGAACCAGGGGAGCGACAGAGCGTAGACAGACTTGGTCAGACGGACCATCAGCCACCAAAGGACGGACGTGACCAGGTAAGTCGCGGCAACGATGTACAACTTGAGAGGCGTCTGGTTCGTGTCACCCGTAAGGAGGACGATCTGGTACGAGTTGATGGAGATGACCTGGCTGAAAGAGAGGAAGAAGGCGTAGACGGGCCAGTCACCGATGCGGATGGACAGAATCCTGCGATGGTTAGCTTGGAACGTCGGTTGTAATGTTGGGGCACTCACTTCTTGATACCTGTGGGCGCGTTATAGTTGTCACCCAACAGGAATTCGTCATCAACGGGGCTGTCGTCGTAGCGAGAAGCACTAGTGAGTCCGCTAGGAGTGCGGCTGCGGCCACGCTCTCCATCGAACTTGGCACCGAGGCCAGCACTTGAGCCGGGTCGGCTGGGGTTGGGGCTCCTCGACCGGCTGTGGTCTCTGCGGCCAAGCTTGGCGTCGCGGTATCTGGAAAACCACTTCTTCTCACTCTTCTGGAGGTAGTTCTCAATGCACAGGTCGTTGATCGAGTTCTTGGCCGTCAAGTCGTTCAGCATCTGCTCGAATTCGTTGTAGAACTCTCCGTTCTTGTCGGTAAAGTTCTGGTCCACGTTCATCAGCTTGAGGTCGTGGCGGTCACCGACGACATCAGGCAGAGACAGCTGAGAGCTGTTGCGCTGCTGCTTGTAGAAGCTTGGCTGAGGGAGGGCCAGTTCGCCGAATCCGGGAGTAACAGGAGAGGAAGCGTCGTTCTGGGCGCGCATGGCGAAGCTGTCGACACTCATCATACTCTCACGGCCACCACCAATGGAGCTGGAGAAAGAGCTGCGACGAGATGAGGGAATGCTGTGCCAAGGCAGGTTGGGGACAGAGAGATCGGGAGAGTTCTGGACACGAGGGCTGGCGACGCGGGTCGGGGGCGGGAGAGGAGACGTGGGTCTTGAGCCTCCGTTTGAATCGCCGTACTCGCTGACGGCGATGCTTGAACGAAGAGAGGAGTCGGTAATGTTGCGGAGACCGCCAGCCTTCTTCTGCTTGGCAGCTTCCTTCTTGTGAATCTTGATGGAGTCATCGTAGAGAGCATCCAGTTGTCTGATCCATTGCGCGACGGGGAAACGCTGCTTGGCACTCCATGCACGCATGAGAGCACGCTTTCTCGGCTTGCACTTGAGCGCGGACTCGATGGCCTGCTTGAATTGCTGAAGCATGTGGGCAGGGGTCATGGACTCGACCGTGAACCAGAAACCAGGCATCTGACCAAGACCACCGACACGGGCACCAACACCCAAAGCACCCTTACGACCGAACTCGACGGCGACGAGACCGAAAGGCTCGTCACGAGAAGGAATCAGGGCAAATTCGGCACCAGAAAAGATGTAGGGGGGCAGCTGGGTGAACTCGGGCTTAGAGAAGACACGCTTGGGGTACTTCTCCATCAGCTTGGACAACTTGAGAGCGGCGAACTTTCCGTAGAGATCGATAACGGGACCGATACAGATGAGCTGGGTGGACGGGTACTTCTCGAGGACGGTAGGGAAAATATCGGCAATCAAGTCGACACCCTTCTGCAGAGACCAACGACCGACGAAGACGAACAGATCAGCGTTGGGGTTGACCTCAAGACCAGCCCATTCCTGGGCTTGTCTGCGGAGGGTAGCACGGTTGGCTTCGAAGGTCTCGTCGATCTTGATGTCGTCTTGGTGGTTGGAGACATCGTCCTCGGGGTTCCACTCGCCAGTGTCGGAAGGATCGGGGTTAGGCAGTTGACCAATGTTCTTCAGAGACCAGAAAATGGGGTAACGAGCCAGGGAACGATCGCCATACTTCTTGGACACACCAACGGCACCGAAACCACGCTGGTGAATACGCAGGTAGCTGGCAGCAGCGTGGAGCAAGTTGAAGGCGGAACCGTACTGAACGTAGTCCTTGACGACCTTGGGGGGCAGGTTGAAAACGCTGTAGACTTCCTTCTGTTCTTCCTCGGTTCTCATGGGCCACATGCCCTGGAATTCGGCGTTGTGGAGAGACAAGCAGACGGGAACGGTCTCCGGGAGAAGGTAGAGAGGAGCGGCGGCACCGTGGTAATCGTTGATGTGGTAGATGTCGACGTTGAAGCGGCGGATAGACTCGGCGATACAGCTGTTCCAGGCGCAGTACAGGATGGCACTCTCGAGATCGTCCATGCGAGCGATGTAGGGATCGGCCTTGGTTTGCTGGCGGAAGATGGGGGCATCGAGGATGACGTATGTGATGTTCTTGTGGACGTGGTAGTAGACCTTGACTTCGAATGAGTCGCCCATAACTTCGACAAACATCGGCTCGGCTTCGTTCTCCAGGGGGTAGTCGACGTCGCCAACAACGGGGACGACCCAGATGAGATCGACGTGGGAAAGAGCTTGACTCATGAGCTTGGCCATGACACCAAGACCACCGATCTTAATGCTGACCTTCCAGTCGTCGATGTTGTACTCCATGGTGGCGATGAGGACCTTTCTGCGGGGAGCTCCGCCGGTGGCCGCACCGGCAGCTGGTGTAACGAGGGGAGACGGAGGAATTTGGGACATCTCCAGACTTTTGCCTTTTTCGCCGAAGTTAATGTTGGACTCATTCCCGAGCTTGAGTGGTAACCAACCCTTCTTGGAGAATCCTGACTTGTTGATCTTGACTTGGTAGAATCCCTTCATGTAGATCCAGCCGGCAAGAGCAGCCAGGACGATGGGCATGAGACCCAGGAGGAAAAAGAAGACGATCTGAATCCACATGTTGCCCTGGGGCTCGGCAACGATGTTCCAGGTGGCATCGTTGAGAACCAGCTTGTAAGAGAGGGCGGGCATTGGGGGAGGGCTAGTCAGGTTGACAACGTTGTCAGACAAGGAACTGGGGGGAAGACGATCAAGGACTCCATCACCGTTGGGGTCACCGTAAATGAAGGAAGCATCGGGCTGGTTGTCCGGGTTGATACCCCAGAGGTTGAGTTGCACCTGGGCCGGCCACTCGTACATGAAGTGAAGCTCCCACTTGTTCTCGCCAGTCTGGTCCATGAGGTTCGGCAGTCCAGCGTCGTATCCCCACTTGTTGAAAGGGCCGTGGAGGAAGACGTGCGGCCAGCGGCGGGGATAGGCGATGTCGCTGCTGTCGGAGTGTTGAGAGAACGAAGAAGAACCGAGCGGCTGGCTGAAGTACTGAACGATCAAGTGCTTGCCCTCCCACTTCTGGAGATCGGTACCTTCCCACGACTGGTCAACCAGGCGGGACTTGGCTCCAGTGTAGACGAGCCAGTTGCTCCAGGTAGAACCCCAGTTGGTGCTGTAGCGCCACTTATTGGCACCGGCGGCGGCGTGGTTGATCATGTACTCGCCATTGCTCTCCTGCAGAAGAGAGCGGGAGTAGTTGGCAGTGGCAGGGAAAACAACGGGGTTGTAAGGTTTTCCGAAACGGACGAGGAAGTGGTCGGTGGCGTTGGTGCCCTTGTCACCGGCAGGGTGGTCAAGGGTAATCTTGACAATGCCATCGGGCACGTTCTGGAGGTTGGCGGACCACTTGTACACAGAGGGAATGGCACCAGTCCACGACTCCTTCTCGATGGGGTCCATGTCGCCGCACACCGGAGTATCGAATGTGACGTTGGTCTTCGTGTTGCCGTCGACGTTGACGTAGGCAGAAATCGCGCTCGTGATGTCGCTGCAAGTCACCTTGGTAGAGAACTTGAGAGTGATGGGAATTTTACCATTGGCGTCCGTGGAATCGATCGGGAAGTCGTGACCAGGCTCGAATCCGGTAACAGCGGTCTTAATGTCCATCCATTTGGTGTCGGGAACGTAGGCACGGAACTCGAAGGGGGTCATGGTGATGGAGCTGAGGCAGCCAGCGGTGTGGCCTGCGCCCTTGAAGCTGTTCTCCTTCGCAGAGCTTTCGAGGGTGATGGAGGCGTCGGTGCTGAACAGGTTGCGGACCTTGGTGTTGGAGTCGAAGGGAGCGATGAAAGCATCGTCGGCGTTGCTGCAGTCGAAGGTGTAGGTCGTCTCATTGGGGCTGTTGTGGTAGACCAGCCAGACCGGGTCACCGGTCTGAGTCTGGACGCTGCTGAGATAACCGCGAGCAACACTCCAAATACCGGTCTCAGTAGCCACGGAACTGCCATTGTACTGGACACCGGCGGTCTTCTTCGCCAGTTCCTCGACCAACCAACCGCCCTCAAGAACAGGGTACTCCTCGCGGAAGGAAAAGATGCGCTTCATCCAGTTGCGCATGGGGTGAGAGGGATCGCGGTGGTCGTACGCGACAGTCTCGTCCTCGCAACCCTTGCGACCCTTTGTGACGGGCCAGCCGACGTAGACGGAGTTGCCGCCGGCGTAGCAACCGTGGTACTTCCATGCCTGAGCAGCAGAGAACGCTTGACGACCGAAAACGTAGTTCTCAGCGGTGTTGTCCAGAACATAGAAAGCTTGCTCCTCGCCATAGTAGACAAGCGGGGCACCAGGGAGAAGCAGGGTGGTGATGAAGTAGGCGAGCAGCATGCGCTCAGTTCCGAGTTCAATGGCAGGCCAGCGGAAAACGTCCTGGTTGGTGACACCGTACAGGTGGCGGGGGTCAAACTCGCCGGTGTTGGCGTTGAAAAAGTCGTTGGTGAGCACCATCTGGTTCCATGTCTGGACCCAGTCGGTCGGAAGATCGTAACCAGCCTCGAGGTTACCGCTGAGGCCCAAGAAACGGGTCATGAAACGGTAAATGGAGTAGTGGAAGGCACCGGCGTCAAGGGCACTCTTTCCATGCTCGCGAACGAAAACTCCGGAGTTGGCGGAATCGTTGGACTTCATCTTGATAGCGTCGGCAAGGGACAAGCTCGACGCCATCTCGGGAGTTCGGCCACGGCCCAAGTAAATGGAACCCAGAGTGTTACCACTGGTGATTTCGCCGACGACGATGAAGTTCTCCTTACCAACCTCTTTGGCGCACTTTCGCATCGCGGTACTCCACTCGGCCTGGGCGTCGACAGTGACCTGGACAGCCTTGTCGATACGGAAACCATCGATATCCAGCGTCTGGATGGTCATGCAGGAAAAGAGCTCGAGACGCTGACGCACCGAGGGAACCCACTCACGAAGACGGTCCTGCACGGAGGCGAACTTCGCCAACTGACGCTGCCAATCCGGGAAAACACCGAAAGCTTCAATGTCGCCGTACTGGTCGAAATCACTGTCGTAGCAGCCCTTGAGTTGACTGGAGACGTCGACAGGCTTGCCATCCTCGAACCAGAAAGCAGGGTACTCGCAAGAGTTGTTGTACGTGTTTCCAATGTCGAAGTCGAGGTATCTGCGAGACGACTTCCACAGAACTTCGTGCTCGTCGGTCCGGAACGGTGTAGAGGCGTTGAGGTATCCTTTGAACCCGATCAAATCACCCATGCTAAATGAGAGTAAGCAACGGCAATTCTGAGCTAAGCAGGCACATATACTCACGTTGCCATGGTTTGATCCATAACGACATACATCCCCCTCTTGTGGATCTCGTCGATGGCATGTTGCCATGCCGTGATGTTACCAAAGTGCTTGTCCAAGAGAGTGAGATCGAGAGGCTACGAGGTGTTAGCGGCCGGGTTCCGTTGTGCGTTGGACGTGTCGCGTGCCATACCGAGTACGAATCAGCCTTCCACGGGTCGTTGATGAAGGGCGAACCAGCAATGTAGAGACCCTTGACGCCCATGCCCTGAATGTAGTCCAACGTGTCGACGAGTCCCTGCACGTCTCCTCCGTGACGGAGCTGGTTGCTCATGATATCATGTTCGAAAAGAGTGCCGTTGGCATTGTCGTTATCGGGGTCGCCATTGACGAAGCGGTCGATGAATAACGTATAGAATGGGAAGCGCCAATTTGGTGGTGATGTGTGGAAGGTGTGGTTGTCCCTCTTTCCGGAGTATTCGAGGGGGTCCTTTGCTTGTTTGTTTGTGTTGAGGTTGTAATCGACTTCGCTGGCGGTGTACTTGAGGCCGGAAACGACTGATGATGATGCAGCAAGGAGTGTAAGTGCCCAAACCTTTAATGAATTAGACATTGTGACTCAAACTCGCCGCGGGGCGAGTGAGTATGAGGGGTTACAAAAAATAGACAGGAATGAGTGACGAATTGAAGAAAGGAAGGAATGTGGTGTTGTGATGTTGAGGAGGGAGTGTGTAAGGCCGCGAAGCAGACCAGCAAGCAGCAGAACGAATGACGAGGATAGACACAAGACAAGGCGCGGGACGGATGGGAAGAAAACTCGGCCGTCAACACCACGTTGGAACAAAATGGCGGAAAAAAGGGGGTAATCTCAAGGGAACCCAGGTCAGCCCAATATGCCCCAGGCTGAAGAGCGGAAAGGGGGATCAGGAGTGGCTGGGGCCGCAGAAGCTCAAGCATCAAGCGTCCATGAAGGATCTATCCATCCATCCATCCGCCTCGCCTCCCAAGGCTCCAGTCTCGAGTCTCCAGTTTCCCACAGTCTGGGCGAGCAAGCTGCCAGCTGCGGCGCGGTGCGGTGACCACTGACCACTCAGCAACCCCTCGAGGCCGGCCGCAGGGCGTAGATTTCGTGATGAGCGATGGGGCACCCTTCTGCAGGAACGGACCAGCCGAATCGCTAGCCCATCGTCCTTCAGCCTGTGAAGAGGCACGCGTAGAGGTCCCCGAGTCCCTACGGCACGATGGATGATGGGCGACCCAACCAACCCCTCTCTTGGTACCTGGCGGAGACTGCAGACCGCAGACCGCAGAGGGTCGAGTGTCTGGAAGGTACAAGAGGTACATGATAGTGTGGCTCCGGGGGTGGCCTGGGCTAATCCGGGCTATACGAAGTTTGGAATATGGATATGCAGAGGGTGCAGGCAAGAGCCTGTCTGGCGGCGAACCATGAGGGCGATGGGAGATTGACAGGCTCCGTCTTGAATTGCCATTTTGGACGATTCCACAATAGAGAGTGGCCAATACGGTGGCCCCGAGGTCAGCGGGAACAGGGGGTGCGGTCTCGAGGTGCAGGGTAGGCCGGCACAGGCTGCGAATTTTGTTGGTTGATTCGGACGAGCTCCGTCGTCGGTCGAGGTATCCGCTGTCAGTCGGGTCCCCGGCGAGTTGGAGGTGCTCTTCTGTATCGAGTCAGTTTTAGTTTTGGGCGGTCCCTCCAAGAATACGAGACGTTTGGAGACGAGCCAGGCTGTCAGGACGGATGATCCATGCGCATTCAAGATTGTTCGGGGCCGCAGTCTTTCCCAGTCGGGAATGAATGAGGCTCTAGGGCCCGTTGAACAATGAGCACGGTGGAAATTTGACATTGACGGCGGGCAGACGGGCGGTCAACGACCATCGGACGGTTCATCTCAAGTGGCATAAACACACGTTTATGCCGGCGTCCTGATGGTGTGTTGGTGTCAAGTGTGCCCGAGTGGACAGAGCCAAGCCAGAATGGTGATGGTACGCCCGTGGCATCGTGATTGTGACGTCGAGTCGCGTTGGCGGCTGAGGCTAACAGGATAGCGTGGTGTCTTTCTGCCATGGTTGTTGGCGTGCCGCGTCCAAGATGGCGATGGTTGCTTGTCCTAGAAGAAGGATGGCAGAAGGATGGCAGGAGAAAAAGCAACCGGGCCGAGTGCACTAGCAGTTGTGCAATGTCAAGTGGGTGGGCGACGGAGGCACTTTTGGTCAGAAGCGAAGCGAGAGACGCTGTGTTCGGCAGCGATGTGCGCGGATAGATGTGATGGGTGACGAGTTATGCGTGAGGATAAGGGTGAGGGCGAATTTTCTGGACGTCTGGACGGTTGAAGACGACGTCCCAGGTCCAGTGGAGTGGAAGTCGCGACTGAGCCGAGCAGCCACGGGTGGGGCTCAAGTGGAGCGACTGCCCGATCTCTTGGCCAATCCTTTGCCGTCTTGTGGGAGCCACCAGCCACAGATCGCGGCGTTAAGGACCGTTTTTTATTGATCCTGCCGGATCACTGGCTGGTCCCTCCGTGAGAGCGCCTCAGCCGCGCCACAGATGCCGGGATAACGTCCCAAAATGTGCCATGCTGGTCCACAGCGCCCCCATATATAACCCACTTAAGCACGAGGAAGTATCCTATAATGGGACGAGACAGCCCAGGGGCCGAATCTTGGGCGACCGGGGTCCCTGCCTCCTGCAGCTGCACCTGGTGCACTTGCCGGGACCTGCTTAACATGGATTTCCTTGGGACACAACAGGGGCTGTTTTTTTTTCCTCGGGCGGTTTGCCCTCGTCGATGATCGCGGTCGTGTTGACTGTAGCGATGGTTATCCGTAGAGGCGAACGAGTCAGGGCGTCTGGAGGTCCTTGGAGCGGGTAATTATGGCCACCGGCCCTGGCTGGCGGTGCTGGGCACTCTTCTGGGCGTTGTGAAACAGGGCAACTTGGGGTGCAGAGACGCCGCAGAGACAAGAAAACAAGATGCATGCATGGGACGAGCTCGCCTAAAGCGCCTGAACCAGCTGCCTGGCCGAGCTGAGACTGAGACTCCTTTTTTTCTTCTTCACCTTCCATCGCTTCCATCTGGTGGCGTCTGTCGGGTCATGTCAATCTGTCTGCCACCCTGTGTCTCGCACGCGTGTCTTACTCTTTGCCTCGCTGCTGGGTTTTGGGGTCCGCCTCCAGAAGCTGAAGCCCTGTGGCCCTGTGGCCCTGAAGCTGAGGTGTCTGGGAGTTCCCATGTTCACGATACCCTCAGGAGTATCTCCGCTGCTCAGAAGAACCCCATCCAGGAGGTCGCAGAAGAGTCCCATCAGCCACCCGAGTCGGAGAGGCATACCCCGAGGCATTTATAGAGTTTGAGAAGCTCGACAACGTGCCATTGAGTTTTGGCGAGAGAAGGAAAAGAAGGTGCGGAGGTCTCGCGGAAGTCGGGTGCTTACTCAGACAGTCTCAGAGACCGGTACTTTCAGATACCTCCCTCACCACACCGACGTTGGTCACCCCGGCACACCCTCATTATCCCGCATCTATCGAACGGTGACCAACCATAGCTCTGGTTGCTTTTAATTGCTTATCGTCCATCAACAGCGCCCGTCGTCGCTTCGTGCTTCGCGGCCTTCTTCGCACGTACGCTCTCACCGGTGCTGTAAGGGAGAGTCGTTAGCCATTAACTTGAGGCTCTCAACTCAAGCCTTGACCAAGGCGACGAACAGTCGGACAAGCTCGGCAGGGAACTCGTGTCCAGCAACATCGACAACAATAAGAAATTGTCAAGCACCACAACCAAGGAAGCACCAAGAGCGACCAAGAAAAACCAAGATTCGTAACAGAAGACGCCAAGTTACAGCGCCAACTAAACTAAACGCACTATCGGCGCTCCCATAAGTTCCCAGTGCCACTGCCGAAGTCGACTCTCGTGCCGGTGTGCCACAATACCACCACACCGCATCGGGCTAAGCCCAAGACATAAGTCGCCCATCATTCGACAAAGTTCCAAGGTCCTTCCAAGGCTGCTCTGCTTGGCCGCACCGTCACCGTTGGCGGCGCTGGCGGAATTTGGCCTTGGCAGGGGAAACGAAGTTCTTTTGGCGCCTTCCACACAGGTTCGACCTTGCATCGACGACCGAGGTACGTACTGTTTTTATATCTGCACAAATGAGCCAATGAGGGCAGAAGAACGGCTTCGTCAGTCGCAATTGGTGTGGTCTTTCCTTTTCTGCCGGCAGTCTTTGGCCATCAACACCTTCTTCTTGCTCGCCTCCCGTTGCTGACCACCACCAACTCATTCATTGAGGATGCACACGATCAGCACTCTAACCAAATCTCCGGCAGGGCAATTTACTGCCTCTTACACAGTTTGCAGCCGCCTTACTTGGCGTGCCTCTTCTCCTCAACTTCTCTCGAGCCCGTCTGATGAATGACAGTCGACGGACTTCCACCCACCACTACCACCTCCTCCATTCCCACCCCCGGCTTGGCTTCCACACAGCATCGTATTCCCCCGTCTTTACTTATTATTTCTCGCTTGACCTCAATTTCCTGTCGACCACTTGTTGGTCATGGCAATTGACCGTTTTAGCCCCCGAGTGGGCCTCCCCATCCCATCTCATCCGAGGCATTGACAATGACACCGCATGCTGTCTTTCTTTCACGCTGGCAGTAGTCTGCCCAGCTGCCGCCTCCGGCACATTAGTTCCTCTGTACCTGCAGCAGTCAGGAACCGTGATCTCATCGATGCCCATTCAGGTCCCATTCATACCTACCTACCTCAGGTAGACATTATACACGATCCAACCCCGTCCACTCGGCCTGTTGTCCCGTGCCACCTCTGTTGATCTGCTGCTGCTCGCTCTCCGCGCTGTCCACGGCAGAGTCATCCGCGTACCTCGCAACCACTCATTGGTCCCTCAGAGTCCATTATCCTCGTGTTCATCGCTGTCAACAGCTGCGGTGCCAATGTCATTCATGACTTCTTGACGCGCTTCGCCCCCTCTGACCAACTCGTCTCCACGCCTACCTGCCCGTACCTTAGACTACCACCATAAGGTCACTCGTTTAATCAACCCAGTTTTCCACACCCCTTTTCCACATACCCAAACGGGCGAAGCCAGTCACTCTCTTCCCATACCGTTCAAGGGGATCCCATTCGTTCGTTTTGCCGCTCCATCCCCGAGTCCTCCAGTCTTTTGGTTTCTCTCTTTCGACAACCCAAAACTCTATATCGCCGTGTGTGCGCGCCGCAGTCCTTTCCGACCCAATCCATTCCTTTCTTCACGTCCGCACGCATCGCAACGTCAACGCGCCAAAAACACAGTCAATCCTTCTAATCAACGCCCCCCAGCGGCGCAGTCATTCGTTATTTTTTATAATTCAAAAACAGACCACACTGCCAGAATGCGTACCTCAACTTTGGCTTGGGCCGCCGTCACGGCCCTCAGCGCCCTCGTCAAGGCCGCTGACGTCGAGGAGTGGAAGTCGCGGTCCATCTACCAGGTCATGATCGACCGTTACGCTCTCGACGATGGTTCGTCTGACAAAGAGTGCAACGAGCTTTACAAGTTCTGCGGTGGTACCTGGAAGGGTCTCATGAACAAGCTCGACTACATCCAAGGTAGGCCACAGCCTGAATATCACACCATCTCACGACATCAACTTCGCGCCATGTCGCACTCACCGAGCCTCACGACTGACAATGTCCTCCAGATATGGGCTTCACCGCCATCCAGATCAGCCCCATCGTCAAGAACATGGACGACGACACCGCCGTCGGTGAGGCCTACCACGGCTACTGGTCCCTCGACAACTACGCCATCAACGAGAAGTTCGGCACCAAGCAGGACTTCGAGGACCTCGTCAAGGCCATGCACGACCGCGACATGTACATCATGGTCGACGTCGTCGTCAACAACATGGTCCAGAAGCTCGACTCCCTGCCCCCCAAGCTCGACTACTCCAAGTTCAACCCCTTCAACGACGAGAAGTACTTCCACCCCTACTGCAACGTCACCGAGTGGGAGAACAGCACCGACTACCAGGACTGCTGGCTCTACCCCTACGGCGTCGCCCTCGCCGATCTGGCCACCGAGTCCACGCCCGTCGTCGACGAGTTCAGCAAGTGGATCAAGGGGCTCGTGGCCAACTACTCCATCGACGGCCTCCGTATCGACGCCGCCAAGCACGTCAACGATGAGTTCCTGCCCGGCTTCGTCAACGCCTCCGGCGTCTTCGCCTTTGGTGAGATCCTGACCGGTGCCAAGGAGGACTTCTGCCGCTACCAGACCAAGAACCTCCTCCCCGGCATGCCCAACTACATGGAGTACTACCCCCTCAGCACCATCTTCTTCGGCGGTGACATGAACGAGCTCGCCAACCTCCGCGCCGAGGCCCGCGACGGCTGCACCGACATCTTCGCCCTCGGCTCCTTCACCGAGAACCACGACATGCCCCGCTTCGCCAACTTCGACAAGGACCTGGCCCTCGCCAAGAACGCCCTGGCTTACATCCTCCTCACTGACGGTATTCCCACTGGTAAGAACATGCCCCACCTCCACCTCACGACGATATGTCACTGACACACGCCTCTCCAGTCTACCAAGGCCAGGAGCAGCACTTCAGCGGCAACTCGACCCCCTTCAACCGCGAGCCCCTCTGGCAGTCCAAGTACGACACCACGGCGCCCCTCTACCAGCTGACCTCGACCCTCCTCCACGCCCGCAACAAGCTCCAGTCCATGGACAACAAGTTCGCCACCACGGCCTCGGAGCAGCTCTTCGTCGAGGACACCCACCTCTGCCTCCGCAAGGGCCCCGACGGCGCCCAGGTCGTCTTCTGCATCACCAACAAGGGCGAGAAGGGCGACACCTACCAGCTCTCCGTCGGCGGCTTCCAGCCCAACGACCAGGTCGTCGAGCTCACCACCTGCGGCACCATGACCGCCGACGGCACCGGCAACATCACCATGTACATGAAGGCCGGCCAGCCCCGCGCCGTCGTCCCCTTCGCCGCCCTCGACGAGAAGAAGCTCTGCCCCAACGGCACCACCGAGGCCAGCAAGGCCGCCGACAACCAGGACACCGGCAGCTCCTCCGCCGCCCCCGCCTCCCTCGGCGCCAGCATCGGCATGATCGCCGCCTCCGTCGCCGCCGTCTCCTTTGCCCTCCTGGCCTAGGTGTGAGGTGACTTGGTCACGGGTGCTTCAGACAACCCCGGGTATACTCTGCGAGCCGGACACACATACACACGTTTGCTTTTTTTCCGTTTTTTTGAATCAAATGACGATTACCCCCACCTAGTTCGCGAGGAGTTTGGATAATCAAAGATACCGATTTCATGTCATAAAGAAAACGCGCCCTGTATTTATCCTCCCTTCCTCCCCCGACCTACCCCATCAACGAAAGGCGCGAAAAAGAAGCTCTCGTGTGGTCTGGTGAGTAATTGTATTGTCTCGCACAACATAACGTATTGGTCTTTTTTTAATCACCGGTGATGAAAAAAACGTGTTCCGAAGTGTACATAGTAGTTCTTTTTAGCAGGCGCAGCAGGTCCGAAGTTTTTTTTCGCAGTGATACCACACACGCTCAAATCATAAAAGATTCTTAATATCATAGCAGCCGTATCCCAACGCTCTCTGAGTTCCCATCTTGAAGCTGTCATCAATCCACAACAACAAACAAACAACTCCTCGGCCTCGGCACAAGGTGCACACCTATCCATAAAAAAGAAACGGGTCCCAGTGGGAAATCCCATTTGTCATGACAAAACCGACAATTGCCCATCCACCTCGGTTCCAACCGTGATCGGAGTCCTCCGTAACTCATCCCGGGCCCTCCCCTGACTTGATAGACACACGTGATCCGTCAAAGAGAGAGAAAAAAAACCGTATCGTGCGAGTGTAAAACGTGGGCCCTTTCCGGGGATAAAAAAGAAAGGGGTACCTATCCGTACCCGACGGTGACAAGTCCGGGTCGGACGAGTCGGGCTGCCGGGTTTATTCTGTGTTTTATGGGACTTTGTACTTTTTGTACCTTGCATTGGGGACCCAGTATGCTGCTCCAGAATTCAATGTTATGTTACGTCCAAATCCACAAGCCATATTTGCGGGTAATAACTCTGTAGGTACACACATCTCCAGTCTTCTTCTTTCTCGGACCGTTCGATACGAAGAGATCGGCGCCGAGAACTTTTGGGGGGACAGACCGTTGATCAGAGCCGCGATAACAAAACGGGTGGTAGAGAGGTGTTTTCGATGGTCCAATTGGGTATTCCGTTTACCACTGGCGAAGAGGAGATATCGGCAGATCACACACACTCACGCGCCAAGGGGGGAGGGAAAGGAGGAGGGGGATATTCATCCGGGAATAAACGCGTCGCACATAAAACACACGCGAACCAAACCACCTGCCAGCAAAACGGCATCCCATCGCAGCGCGCGCGCAGCAAAATGATCGCCTAGATAAACCTCCTTGCTTCACGTGGGGTTTTCCCGTTTCATACGGAGAAGCAAAATGGTAGGTGAGGTGAGACCCGTGAGAGAGAGACATTGCCACGGGGGAAGGGGGGTGGGAGGCCGTCGCGGCGACGGTCGGCCTCCGATAAGCAGTGACACGCAGCCACGCCCCGTTATCGCGGCCTCCTCCCGTGCCGCGTGCCTGGGCGAGACAATCATTTCTCCAAGGACGTTAGCTCTTGTGGATTTTCGACATTGCTCGTCGATGGTCGAGGGAATCTATTATTGGGTTTTGAAGCGGGTTGTGGTGAAGTGAGAAGAAGGCTAGAATTGGGATGATCGCGATATTGTACGAAAAATTCAAAATAGGCCCCCCCCTCTCCCCAGCCCGTCGTAGCTTTCCCCTGGTCGTGTTTATTGGTGGGAAGATTGAATCGATGGGGCACGAATTCTTCGTTTCTTATTCCTCGATTGTAGATCTTGTTGGGCTGCGAAGTCTGATTAAGAATGTGAGACTTTTGCAATAAGGCCGGCAGCAGCGAAAAGAAGAAATTCCCATCTCGCGCGCGTACCTTACCTACCCGAGGCCGCCCCCCTTACAGTGTGTTGAGTGTGACTGTTCAGCCCAGCGGCAGCCCAGCCCAGGCCGGGGCCCGTGGACGGACGACGGGCTCCAGCGCGAGTGTCAATGTTCCATTCCCAGTTCTCCGCCCCAACCGTCGTCCTCTGAACACGGACGCGATCTTCGCTGGGGTTTTTTTTTGTGGTGACTTGTCACTGTCGGCCTTCGCCTTTGGGAGGTGGATGCTAGAGGGCCCTATTTGACTTTCCGATATTTGACCGGAGCGGGCAAAAATTGTGGTCTGCTCCTTCTGGAAGGCTTCTGTCGATCACGGACGGGGGCGGGGGGGGAGCGGTCAAGACTTTTTTGAACGTAGCTTGGACCTCTTCTTGATGACGGGAGTTATAGTAGTAGAGTGGATGCTCTAAGGTCGGTATTTGGAAGATGGAAATGAGGATTTGGGTGAAAATAGGAATTTGAGAAATGAGGAATCAGAGCGTGATGAGGGATCGGCGGTGGAGGCGTTCTGCCTTGTGGTTCTGTAGATGGGTCGAGGGGGAAAATGTCCGATCTGTCCGAGTGAACCTGCTTTGCGTTGAGGCTGGGTTTTTGAAAGTAGGTGTTGTAATTCTTGACCTCAGATGTTGGTCTCTTCCAGAGGCGTGTTAAGATCAAGACAGTCAGGCTCAGAAGCGATCGTGAGCTATCTGCGGTAGTTGTCTTGAAGATGAAATAGCCTTAGACTTGGCATCTGGGGAAGCCGGACGGACGAGTTGGGAACATGGGGTCATATCAGGACTAGTTCAACCAAGTTGTTTCAACGTTCAACGTTCTCAATTGCTAGTCGCAGCGCGGGAGCCGGAATCTAGCTGCTTTCGACGACGAACATGGATGGCACGATGGCCGGGGAGAGATGTCGAACATTGCCGATAGGGTTCTCGTGCTGAAGGGGAGACTTGATAAACTCCCGGGGCTCAACTGTTTTGTGTTTGATATTTCGTATGATGAATGTGATCACATGCTTGAGAAACTTGGTCACTTCAGCTTGATAACTCTCAGCGACTGGGCAAGTTGTGAGAGCTAGTTGATCAGTCACTGCCGTATCCGTTATCTCTATAATTATATATCTGTATGCAAGTGTGGATGTGGTTCCAAGGAGAACCATCAAGAATCACAAGTGCAGGTCTCTGAAGTCCTCTCTTCAAAGTCTTCGACTAAGAGAGATGATGACGAATGTCCCGATACTTGGCACCACGAGAAGACAGCATGGCATGTTGGTAGCACAATGCTCACATCTAGAGAATGAAGCACTAGTGTTCTGTGTTCTCTTTGATGACGTTTGATTCGATATCTCTTTGCTCGTTATGAACTACTGTCATATTAGTCGTGTCAAGGTTGCACATGGCGCCATGGCAACGTCAGGTCATTTTAGGATGGAGTTGCTTGAGAGTTTCGGTGGGTGCCATGAAGTTGTCCGCAGAAAGGCGACATGGTTTGTTTTGGTTAACACGGGAGTCTCTGAGCAGGCCACGATGCAAAACGATTGTTTCAGCATGCTGGACTCTGATTTGGGCATTTTTCCAAAGGTTTTAGGTGTTGTCGAATATCATGCCTGTTCAGGAACAGAATGTCCTTGTCAAGTTCATCAAATTGGACAACCCACATGCAACAACTGTGCAGACATGACTGACATGCTGAAGACGGGAGTGAAGTGATGACGAAAGTGACTACAGTTCGTCCCTTGATGAAGAACATCATGATCCATAAAGTTGATCATTCTCTGCACATTATTGGCAAGTCTTGTTCGAGATGCATTTGAGCTGCGGCATAACGACTAGGATCTCGGTCATCCATCTAGCTCCGTTGTATAAAGAGGCGCTGTATCGGGCCCGGGCGAGTTCTGGCTTGCTTGGCCACACGAGATATGTTGTGAAGTGGAAGTTGTTGTTCGGGAATGCCAGGTCGTGCATGCAATGAATTCATCTGGAAATTTATGAACGCTCATGAGAAGGCAGCGGCAGCGTGACACGCTATGAATACACCTTAGACGGTCGGTGAATAAATTCCAGACGGCGACGATGGATACTGACAAGATGTTTCCAACACAGGTGCTGGGCCGAGTGAACGATATCCAGCTATTTCAACCCCAAGGCTAGACTCGGAGCTCCAGACCTCCAACCAACAATAGGCTGGTTGGTCTTTCTATTTGCCATAGCTTGCTCACTCACATCTTTATATCATTCGTCAAATGTCCGTTTTTATAGCAAAACTGAATAGACATGGAGATGCACGGTGTCCACCGTAAACTTGACACAAACATGGCACAACAGTCGACAAAAAAGACAAAAAATAAGTCTGCAAACATGCGTTTCGTACATGTTCCGAAACCGAGAATCGAACTCGGGGCTATGCCTAACCTCTCACGGATGAGAGGGCATCATGTTGGCCACTACACCATATCGGATTGGTTATTGACGGGGCAGGCCGCCACGGGCACTAAGGTCCAGCGGGGCGGCGTCCGGACGGGTTCCCACTTCATCGCGCCTGGAAAGCGTCAAGTATTTCTTTCTAATCGTTATGAGTGACCTTCTTCATTGATTCAAGAAAAAATAGCACTCTCATTGAAGCGCTCTGATGTCTATTGTTGCAGCCTTTCCGTGTTGGTGTTGGTGGCGAACATCGTCACAATTCATCCGGCTTACACGATCCCGCCCCGCCAAGCCTTCAGTTACGGCACTCGCATGTACGGCCCCCCCATTTCACTTTTTTTTACGGTCCGGGCGTCATCCTTTTCGTTACGAAGGATGCAGCCCTACCGTCCTCGAATTCGCCGCGGCGCGCCAGGGTGGCGCATCTCGCCGTCGCCAATTGGGTAGGTTCCGATGGCTTCGCGCGGATTGGAATGCTAGACCGGAACCCCAAACGATGGATGGCGTCTTCCCCTTGCCTGGCCGGGATCGCTGGGACCTCTTCCTCCCGTAAGAAAAAGCTCAAACAGGGAGACGGGTTGTATGCAGGACATGAAGGCTTTTTGATCCTTCGTTCGTGGAATCCTCCCGACGGAGGTGATGTATAAAGCCCGACCTCACCCCTCGAAAGCACGGGTCGAACGTCTCCCCTACCTCACTCTCTTTCGACGACATATGTCAATCTCTATGAACGTCGGAAAAGCCATGACGACCCCGCCTCCGAAAACAGTCGCCATCATCGGCGCCGCCGTCGCCGGTCCTACACTCGCCCTCCACCTCCTCACCCATCCGGTCCTCCGCACTCACTTCCGTCCGATCCTCTTCGACCAATCTCCGCCCCCGGCCCCGATCCCGACGTCCTCTTCCTCCCGTACCGGAGCGGAATCGACACCAGGATCGGCATCCTCTCCTTCAACGACATCCCGCCAGCAACGCGCCGGGGCCTCGGTGGGCCTCTTCTCAAACGGCCTCCATCCCCTGTTCAACCTGGGACTCAGCGACGCCATCAAGAAATACGGCCATGAATGCGATGACCTGGCCCTCTGGTCGAGCTCCTCATCTGTGGACGATCCCAAACTGACGCACATTAAGAGTGCGAAAAACGGCTTCTGGTCACATGAGTTCCAGCTGGGGGCTATGTACTTTGAGCGAGCTGGTCTGCAAGCCCTCCTCGTTGACCGCGTACACGATCTAGGGGGAGAAGTCAAGTGGAATAAGAAGGCCGTCAACTTTGAGGCTGTCTCTGCTCATGATTCTGAGATCAAAAGGACCCGGGTGGACTTTGCAGACGGGACTCACATCGAGGTCGACCTCCTCGTCGGCGCAGACGGCGGCTACTCCCCCATCCGCCGCCACATATTGAACCTGAGAAACCCGAAAGCAGCAGAGGAGAGGTGGTTGCCAGACTTCATGGGCACGACGGGCATCTACGGCATCTCATCCGCCGACAAAATGCCGTCAACTCACACTCCGCAGCGGCCTTTCAACGAGTCACATTGTGTCTTTCTCCCTGAAGGGTTTCTAGCCACCGGACCGTGTCCAGAGAAGATGTTCAGATGGGACTTGATCCTCCCTGAAACCACACCACCAAATCCATCAACAGCATCCGATGACCCAGACTCCCCCGCAAAAGAAGCACCTTCAACGCCTGAGACGGAAGATGAGAACACCGAGGAGCCATGGCAAGCAGCGATCGTCCCCGGCCAATACTCCAAATCCACAACAGCAAGCATCCTCCGATCTCACCTCCGCCTCAAACATCCCTTCACCGGCGACTTCGAGACGATGCTCAACACTTCAGATCGAATCATCCATACACCTCTACGTCAGCGCGTCTGGAAAGAAGACGAGATCCAGTGGACTGGTGACGGAAACATCGTGCTCATCGGCGATGCTGCGCGGTTGATGCTTCCCACCAGTGGCCAGGGAACGGGATTCGCCATCGAAGATGCGACTGTCCTCGCAAGCATGCTGTTGAAGCACAACACTTCTTCATCTACGTCAGAGAAAGCGACTTCCAAGCTGGACAACGACTTCAAAGCGGCCTTAGAGGAGTATGCCAAGCTCAGAAGGCCCAGGTCTGAAAAGATGGCCACGATGGCGGCGTGGATTGGCTCCGTGGGACTGGGCGCGACCTGGTATAACCGTCTTTTGCGGTATAGTTCCGCTAGACTCTCTCCGGGGACGGACTTGAAGTAGGTTTTCTCCCGCTTTCTTGAACGATACCATATCATTGACTTGGCATCTCAGAACGAAGCAGAACAAAGACCCGTGGCCCATGGATGGGCGGTTCAACCTCGAGTAGAAAGAAATCCTACACGGCACTCATCACGGCCGTCTTCGTTCTCCACCATGTGCGGCCGTGGTTTCGTTGTCCTGCCCATCTCTCGTAAGAACTTCCCATCTCAAGGGTTCAAACTCTGAGCGGCGGGAGTTCTTCTCCAATTCCTTCGCTCAAACCACAGCCAGGCCCCAGCAGAAGCAAACGTCAGTGCCATCAGAGGCAGGGTGACTTGCAAGAATCTTGTCAAGGCCATCAATGAAAACGTCTCTCCATTCTCGAACTTGATGATATCGGTACTGAAGAATGTCTATTTTCCCAAGTTAGCAGAACACCTCAACTGAAGGCACAGGTCTTGCGCATGAAAATGTGGCTGGGAGGTAGATCAGAGTCACGATCGTGACAACTCGCATTGCAACAGCCTCTTGCGCACTGCGATTTGCTTGTTCACTAGCCTCAACAGCCGCTCTCATCTGGAGTTGCTGAGTTTCCACTTGAAGTTGCTGAGCGTCCATTTGAAGTTGTTGAGTGATCTATTTCAAACGATATTAGTATGTTTCGAAAAATAATGTCATTTAACAAATGTCTTGCTCTGAATGGCTTGACAAGAACTCACCATGGCTCGTCTTTCAGCAACCGTCTTGACCAGTGCTTCTGCACTTGCTGTTTGTATCCGCAGGTCACCAAGAAGATCACCGATCTGTATTCCGAAAGCTTGAACAGCCTTCAAACATGCCTGGCGGTCTTGGTCAGGGAATGCGTCGTCCTTGACGAGTTCTCTGTAGAACTTCTCCAGTTCTCCGATTATGTTGATATTGGACATCATGGACAAAATGACATCGTTCATCTTCTCTTGCCATCTTGCCAAGTTTTGAAGGGATCCCAGTTTTGTAGAATTCGTCTGACGGTTCTCTGTGAGACGAGATGGACCCAAGGTCTGGCAATAACTGTTAGTAAAACGCACCAACGCACCCGAGCCTAGCTCTTACTAATTCATCAGCAACTAATTCCAACCACTGAATGAACCAGCGCCATTCCGAAGATGCCCATGACGCGAAATGATGGTGCAGCTGTAATGAAGAAGCAAAACATTGCGCCGTTGTGCTGAAATTTGCCGCGTGGTTCTTCGATGCTGGATATACTTCATTGACTCGTGCTTTCGTACGGGCACTTGCGTCTCCGAAAAGCCATAGCTGCGTGCCTGTGCCCAAATCGAACTGGTGATGAATTGTTGCTTGGCCAATCCTCCACAAGTCGAGTTCTGGGGATTTGGTTTCCATTTGTTTGGATGTGGTTTTGATCTCAAAGCACAGTTGATATCTCTTCCCACTTCTTCTGAGCGCTGGGATGGCTGTCTCTGGTCTATCTCTCAGGACCCTGTCGGTTCGGAATCCACTGAAGTGGAGGTTTTTCTTGTCATGCGATGATGCGTAAACACTCAGGAAGTCGACATATTCTGGCATAACTTGGTAGAAAGCGAGGAGCCTTAAGAGCATTTTAGGATGAACTGCTAGAGGTCCTTTTGTGCTAAGTGCCGTTACGAAGCTGTTATTCAAGATGAAAGATCAGTCTGGGCCACATGATTGAATCGAGACTCAGGGAGCTCCTCACACGAAGCGACACATATCATCCGCTTTACAATCACTGCTCGCCATGGAAACATTGACGTCGTTGGCTAATGGGATCTGACCAAGGTGTTCTCGAAGCTCATCATCGTTAAATATGTTGATCTTACTGGCCTCACCAGATGCCGATATGCTCATCAGAGGCAAATGTACATTGTCCTGATTGGGCACGAAAAGTTGAATTTTGAACTCTGCAAGCCGAGACAGAACAGCTCTACCCGAAGCGGTAGCATCTAAGAAGCCGGTGGGATGTCCTTCGAAGTTGCGATATGACGCTGCCAAATCGAGCGCAGATGCCATGTTTGATATCGAAATCTTGGCCCAATTTGAGAAAATCTGACAGATGAATGATGAAGTGCTGTGATCTCAAAATAAAACAGGGGACAATTCGATTATAATAGCCTGATTCAGTGTACCTTTCGCATGCCGCCTGAGCGAACTACGGGAACGACTGGCTGATCAGGTTAGGCATACCATCAGGCTTTCCTGCAAGGAGATTTCCTGCAATCTCTCGCTCATTCATTGATTTTCCCCAAGTAGGGCGTACGTGCAGGCCAGAATACACAAGCACTGCCGCCGCCACAGCAGCCACTGACTGCAGAAACACCAAATGAGGCAACGTATTTGATGCATGTCGCGGCGGTGAGTTGACTGGAAACCCCGCGATTGGTGCTGAGATGCCGAATCGGTGAGTATCCAGCAGCCTAGCTGCGCAACACAGCCCTGGGCTATGGAAAGATAGTTGATCTTGCATTGTCTATGTATGAAAACAAGTCGACGAGCATGTCACCGAAGTATAGAGGTTAGAAACTCTTCTAACATGATATACTCATAGGCTCAGTGAGGCACTGAATTCAATTACCCAGACCAGAGCCCTGGCATGAGCGGTGGCCAGGTGAACGACCTCACTGCAAGGGCTGTCCGTCGCAGATCACAACAACACAAGCAAAGCCAGAAAAAGAACGAGATACGACAAATAAAAACTTGTTCTTAATTTGAAAAGCACTCAGCTGATTTTCAAAATCTTATTGGGAGGCGTAGTGAAGTGTCATTCCTGGTATCCTCCCGCGAGCTGCATACCAGCATCCCCTGTGATGAGGTACAGAGTACACTGCCCAGCATAAGCCAGCGGTTGCTCTCACCATGCAAATAACTCCTCATTTCATCTGCATATTGAGAAAACCGCTTTGCCCGAAGTCTGCCATATGGGTTTTACTGTCGTCGGGTACCAAGACCCATGCGCTGCAAACGATACCGCCCGCAGAGTAAGGGTTTGATGATGTTCACGCTTTGCGGCTTCGCGAAAACCATCAACGGCCTTGTGCATGTCACTGCCAGGAATATTACAATTACAACGCGGTCTTCGCGATCAAACCCAGGCCGATCTCGATGTTGCCGAATGTCCTGGGCATGCGCGGCACTGGGAGACTGAACGACACAAAGCGACACTAGGTCACACAGAGGCACTGAGGGACACCGAGCGACACCAGCAGACACATTGCTGCGACACCCAGATGCGGCGAAGCCCACTTACAGAATTCACGAAGACATCGTCACAATCCAAGTCACAGGCGCAGAAGTGTGTTCAATGGGTCTCATTTATGCGTTGTATACTTTACACAATGGTGGAGTCATGCTCCATGCTGCCGACGCCGATTAACCTGCCAACACCAGAGACTGAGGTTCATGATGGAATCTTTGGGTAACGTCTCTTTTCAATCCCGAACGAATCAACAACAAATCTATGAAATCAGAGCTCGTCGTGGCTGGGGGGCTCGTCCTCGCCGCCAGCGCCACCGGCACCCTGGTACATCTTGGAGGTGATGGGGTAGGCGACGTTGGACAGCTTCTCCTTCTGCTCCTCCAGGTCCTCGGTGGTAGCAGTGGCGCCGTTCTCCTCGAGCCAGGAAGTGGTCTCCTTGACAGCCTCGAGAATCTGGAATGGTGGTTAGCGACATGCGCATGAATGCCAGTTGAGTTGAGTAAACTTACAGTCTCCTTGTCCTCATCGTCGATCTTGCCACCAAGACCCTCATCGTCGTTGACCTGGTTCTTCAGGGAGAAGGCGTAGTTCTCAAGGCCGTTGCGAGCCTCAATGCGCTCGCGGGTAGCCTTGTCCTCCTCGGCGTACTTCTCAGCCTCCTCGACCATGCGGTCAATCTCCTCCTGGGTGAGACGACCCTTGTCGTTTGTAATGGTGATAGACTCCTGCTTTCCGGTGCCCTTGTCGTGGGCGGAAACCTTGAGAATACCGTTCGCGTCGAGCTCGAAAGAGACCTCGATTTGAGGGACACCACGGGGGGCGGGGGGGATACCGGTGAGCTCGAACTTGCCGAGGAGGTTGTTGTCCTTGGTCAGGGAACGCTCACCCTCGAAGACCTGAATCAGGACGACGGGCTGGTTGTCGGCGGCGGTCGAGAAGATCTGGCTCTTGCGGGTAGGGATAGGAGTGTTGCGGGTAATCAGCTTGGTCATGACACCGCCGGTGGTCTCGATACCGAGAGTAAGGGGGTTGACGTCCATGAGAACGATGTCCTCAGTACCCTCCTCACCGGAAAGGACACCAGCCTGAACAGCGGCACCGAAAGCGACAGCCTCGTCGGGGTTGATACCCTTGGAAGCCTTCTTTCCGCCGAAGTACTCCTCAATAAGAGACTGGACCTTGGGAATACGGGTGGAACCACCGACAAGAACGATGTCGTCAATGTCCTCCTTCTTGACCTTGGCGTCCTTGAGCACCTGCTCAACGGGCTTCAGAGTCTTCTTGAAGAGGTCCATGTTGAGTTCCTCGAACTTGGCGCGGGTGAGAGTCTCAGAGAAGTCCTTGCCCTCGAAGAAGGCCTCAATCTCAATGCGAGTAGACATCTGGCTTGACAAAGTTCTCTTCGCCTTCTCTGCCTCGCGCTTGAGCTTGCCCATGGCCTTGGCGTCCTTGGTAACGTCGACATTGTTCTTCTTGTTGTATGTCTTGGCGAAGTGGTTGATGAGACGCTGGTCAAAGTCCTCACCGCCCAAGTGGGTGTCACCAGCGGTAGCCAGGACCTCGAAAACACCTTGGTCGATGGAGAGGAGGGAGACATCGAAAGTACCACCACCAAGATCGTAGACGATGATCTGGCGCTCCTCGCCGGTCTTGTCAAGACCATAGGCAATAGCGGCGGCGGTGGGCTCGTTGACAATGCGGAGGACGTTCAGACCAGCGATGGTGCCGGCATCCTTGGTGGCCTGGCGTTGGTTGTCGTTGAAGTAGGCAGGGACAGTAACGACGGCGTGGGTGACCTTCTTGCCCAAGTAGGACTCGGCGACCTCCTTCATCTTGCCCAGGATCATGGCGGAGATTTCCTCAGGGGTGAAGGTCTTGGGGGAACCGCCAACATCGACTTTGATGACGGGCTTGCCATCCTTCTCGATGACCTTGTAAGGGAAGTGCTTGATGTCAGACTGGACGGCCTTCTCGGAGAACTTCTGGCCGATCAAACGCCTGGCAGCTAGTCAGTATGGGTTGTGAGAATCGAAGAGAGGGCATCGCTCACTTGACGTCGTAGACAGTGTTGTGGGGGTTAGCAGCGGCCTGGTTCTTTGCGGCGTCGCCGACGAGTCTCTCTCCGTCCGAATTCCAGCTGACGTACGAGGGGGAAATTCGGTTTCCTGAAGAGCACGGCGTTAGATTAAGCTGTCTAAAGTTGAAGCTATCGTGAAGACTTACCCTGGTCGTTCACGAGGATCTCAACCTTGCCCTTTTGCATTCTACAAGATGTTAGTTATTTTGACCTGGCAAAAAGGACGGGAAAGACCTGCGTTGCAACACAAGAATATGTCGTCTAGTGTAAGTTAGCTCTCTGTCGTTGTTGATAGCTGTTGGTGACGAAGACTCACTCCAAGATCCTGTAGAAGAGACGAGTTAGCATGACTGTTGATATGGAGATGACAAGTGATGGTTGGGCTTTTTCTTTGATATGGCAAGAACAGAATGACAGAGCGGTTTCGTTTTCGTGTAGCCTAGATGGACTGTCCGCATGTTTGGGGTTGTGGTTGTGGTGGTGGTGGTGGTGGTGATAGTTGTCTTGGTGTTTTGGGCCAAAGTGGTGATGTCGCACCAAAATGGTGGGGGACGAGGAACCAACTTACAATTCCGATAACAGTTCCGTAGTTCTCAGTGTCCTGAGCCTGAGCCGTCTGGACGAAAGCCAGAGGCGAGAACAGGAGACACATCCAGGCCAAGAGGCCGAAGCCCAGGGCCATCGAGTTGCGAGTTCTCGACATCGTGGTGGGGGGGAAGCTCCCAAAGTTGGTACTGCGCGATTCGGAGCTGTTTGTCGCAGGAAGAAAAGAAAAGTTGCAGTAGAAGAAAGAGAGAAGAGGATGAATTCCCTTCTAGCGACACACCCAATTGATAATTGAGGTGGTTTGGCGGTTGGTGATGTGGGAAGTTGTCGGAACTGCGGTGGGAGAGGGAGGAGGGTAGCTCTTAAGAATTAGCCTTCTCCAAAAAAAAAGTTGAGGTGTCCAGATTGCACAAAAAGGCCAGATTTCACCTTGCCGGCGCCACACGTGACAGGGGTGTCTTCCTTTCTGGTCAGCGGTGGATCCCTACTGTGCGGCACCCCTGAGGGCAGCTTAAGGCAGATGCGTTCATGCGGTAAAGTTGGCTCGGGAGACGATTCTCCGTTGGCTCGGCACAGTTCGAATCTACAGTGTCTGATTGACGATGTCCCGAATTAACCCCTACAATAGCCACGGCAAAAGGTGAGCGCCTCACCGCTGCCGCGCTGCGCTGCCGCTCGTGCTGGGGTATCGGCCCCACGGAAAGGCTGCCCTGTGATTCTGGAGATTTCCATTCGGATTGCATGCTGGGATGACCGAAGAACTCTTTGAACGTGGCCTTTCCCTTCCTTTCCTTTTTGGCAGGTGCTTCTCTAGAGTTCCACGCCGCGAGCTGACTCTATCTCCAGTCCAATGTGACTCACGGTCCAACCAGCAACGGAAAGGCTGAAGGCGACAAGTCAATGCTTCAGGTTACATCTAATCAAATCTGACGTTGTCTTTTCCCGCGGTTTGCCAGTTTTGGGACTTTGAGTCTTTGGAGATGCCCGTAACGAACAGAGTGGCCACAACTCCAACCCCCATATTCGGGGCATTTCATGCTGCTTCCATTCCAGAATATTCCCACCAACTGATTGCGGTGGGGGCAAAGGCAAGGCGAAATCATCTACGCGCAGCAGGAGAAGCACTTTAACCTGCGGCAAGTGAGGTCCAACTAAGGTGCCCGAAGCAGTGCCATCCCGTCTTCGCCCTGAGATGAGGGGACAAGATGAGGGGGCAAAAGCAGGGGTAAAGCTTTGGATGCTGGCCCATGCTCTCCCGAAGGCGAGGGGCGTGGACTTCCGTGGAAGCGCGCGACGGGGGCGCGCCAACACGACGGCGTCATTTCTGTCAAAGTGTCCAGTGGCCTCAACTCGGAGCTACCTCCATCGAGATGACAAACATCGTGGTTTGGCGCGGCGAAATGCAGGCAGAAATGGACACATATCAACATTGGCATCACACACACTCCAAAAGCTGACAGCATTTGTAACAATCCTTCACGGTTCACAACGGTCGGACTCCATAATTATTGCAAGCTGTTCAGTTCGCACCTCTATGAATAAGGCTAATCCCCATTGGCTGCGCAACTCGAGCTGCAGCCAACTCTGTTTTCAGCAGTCAACTCTAAAATGGAGCCTCACCAGCACCGCCCACCGCCCGCGCACGCCATGCATCGACGCATCCCTTTCCATGCGACAAACTCCACAAATGCCCTATAAACGATCCATGACACGTTTCTTCTTTTGATTCTGCAGCCTTTACTCGAGCAATCCTGCGGCGATTGTCTCTCCGCCACTTCTCAGAATCACTCTTTGGCCTGCCTCCAGCGGTACCTTGGAGTCCAGCTTGACAACTACACGAGCAACCTTGGCGGGCTGCACGATCTTGGGGTTCTTCTTGAGGGTCACTCCCGTCACCTTGTCGAGAACGGCCGGAATGGCTTCGATGCGTCCAGCGGCATGCAAACGGCCACGGTGAACGTCTACAGGCTGCGGCATCAGATGGTCAAAAGCCAGCACCTTCATCGTCAATCTGTCGCTGGTCTCGATGGGGGCTGCCTTAGTGCTGATGATGTCGCCGACGCGCACGTGAATCGGGTCGATGCCGTACAGACCGATATTGACGTTCTGACCAGCAACTGCCCAGTCCTTAGGTTCCGCGTCGACCTCGATTGATCGAACTGAAGCTGACTCTCCGCTGGGTTGCACCACGAGCGACTCGCCGTTCTGTACTGTTCCGGACTCTATCCGACCAGCGACTGTGAGTTGGCTCTGCTGCGAGCGGAAGATCTCTGAAATCGACATGCGGAAAGGCTTCTGGAGCGCTCTTGTCATCGGTTCCGACTCTTCCAGCGCCTCAATGAGTGTCGGGCCAGTGTACCACGATAAGGCCTCATCGTCAGGTCTTGTTACCAGGTTGTCGCCGTTGAGACCGGAGATGGGAACGAAGGTGACGTTCTTGAGTTGAAAGCCGTTGCCCTTCATGAAGCCAGTGACCTGTTCTTGGATTTCCTCGAAGCGGTCCTTTGACCATCCGACCATATCCAGCTTGTTGACGGCAACGATGACCCGCTGGACGCCGAGACTGCGGAGAAGGAGGGCGTGCTCTCTCGTTTGCCCCTTCAAGCCCTTTTCGAAGGCGCCGGTGTTGGCATCGATGACGAGAATGGCGAAGTCGGCTTGGCTGGCTCCAGCAATCATGTTGGGGACGAAATCCCTGTGGCCCGGGGCATCCAGGATAGTGAACTGTGTCTTGTCCGTCTCGAACTGATTTGTGGCGATGTCGATGGTAACACCGCGCTCGCGCTCTTCTTCTCTCTGATCCATCACCCAGGCAAGTGCGAATGATGACTTGCCGATTTTCTCTCCTTGGCGTCGATACCTGTCGATGACATGCTGCTCCACGAACTTCAGTTCAAGCAGCAGCCTGCCCATGAGGGTACTCTTTCCTGCATCAACGTGGCCTACCACGGGTTAGCTGAGTCCGATGGTCAGAGGAGTGAGGCTTTCACATACCTACTACCACGAAACTTGCGCTCCGCTTCTTCTCGCTTGTCTCGAACTCCTTCAGCACATCGAGCTTCTTATTCTTCGGTGCTGCCGATTCTTCGAGCTGGAGATCCTTCATCTCACCGGTAGGAGCCTCGCCAGCTTTCGATTTCGTGGCCACTTTCTTAGTCGCGCTCTTGGCGGCAGCGGCATCGAATTTATTGCCCGCTGGAAGGTATTAGAGTTAGCTTCTTACTGAGTCTTCGCAAATCGCGAACCTTTCGCCTGAGCAGCGAGCACAATATCATCAGGACTGGGCTGGGCGAAGGCACTAGGTACGAAGGCTGAAGAGGCCATGTACGGCATAGTGTACGTCTGAGAGGTAGCAGCAGAGTCCTGGCCAGGTCCAAAGAGCGTCGCGGCAAAAGCAGATGGCCTGGTAGATGGAACGACAAAGCATTCATCTTCAGCCTGCTCAACTTCCCCATTAGGCGTCCCATTCGCCGTGTCGACATCCATACCAGATGGTGCGTCCGAAGTCGATGGGTCCTGCTGAGGTGGCTGAGAGGATGTCGAAGGTTGAGACTTTGCATCTGCAGACAGCTTCTGTCGTTTGGCCAGCAATCCAGAGCCAGATCTCTCATGCTCTTTGGACGGCTCATTAATCGCCAGGGAAGACATGCGCTTCTCCGCTCGATCAACTTTGTCGTCTGTGACTTTGACATCCGTCTTCTTCTTACGCGCAGCGGCCAGAGCTTGGAGTTTCGAGAGCTTAGGGCCTTCACCACCGCCAAGAAGACCGCCAGGGAGAGGTTGAGGGTGGATGAGGACGGCCTGTCGGTCTTTGGGAATGTTCATCCAAGGCATCCCATGGAAATAAGAAGCCGCAGACAAGGACGCGATCCTGGGAACCGGATATCCTGTGTTTGAACTAACGCCTGCGTCGTTCATAACCTCGTCGTCCAACCCCCAGAAACCCATGCCACCTGCCGAACCTTCAACGTCTGCAACTACCTGCCTGACGGGAACATGTAAAAAGAAAAATAAAGAAAATGACTTACCATCCTTGTTCTTCTTAGGTTCCTGCTTGGGAGCCGGTGGCGGATCGATGAACTTCTTCTTCAAGTATGAGACCGATTTTTCGACGTCGTAGTAGTAGTGCCAGAGTGCTTCTTGGATTTGTTGGATCGTGACTTTGTCGGCGTCAGAGCCTAGGCTGCTTCTGACGAATTGAATGCCTTCCGCCATGGCCTCACGGTCCTCAGCACTGACTTCCTCTTCGTAGTCTTCTCCCTCATACTCATCGAGGACCTCCTCGTAATCGAGGTTGCGGACTGCTTGGTGGCGCGACATTTTGAAGGTGAGTGAAAGTGATGTAATGGCTCTGAGATTGAGTTGTGTTGGAACTGTCTGCTAAATGAGCGGAACAGGGGAGGTCGGGGGGACGTCTTTAAACAATATTCGAGAAGGGTACCGGAGAAAGGAGTCGTTATTGCATCCCGGTGATAGTTGGCCACAAGGGTTTGGTGGTTAAGGTTGTGTGTCAAAAAAGTCGTGGTTCGAGCCGTGAGCTATCCCGGTATGGTAGAAGGTAAAATGACGGCACTGCTTGTGCTGGTCATGAAGGTGGGATGCGTGGGGCTTTTGGTCATGGAGGGGCAATGGCGGGGTACCTCACTGCTGTTGCCTTCCATCTTGTCAGGCCTTGCCAGGCGGTGAGTCGCCGGATTATCTCAGCGCCGGCGACCGAAGCTTCTGGTCCCCCAGAATGGCAGGCACCACCAATTATTCAGAAATTTTGGTCCACCAACGACCCGGTCCTTGGAGCTCAACCCCCCTCAACGCACGATACCTCGATTTCCCCGGCGACGCTTGCATTCGAATCGCATTACCAACCCGATTACCCAGCGACGTGCGACAACCTTCACCATGGCGTTGAGTATGTGGCCCAAGCCCCCTGAATTATTGACTACAGCTAACGAAAATGCCTAGACCTGGATATGGCCAACGGTAAGCGGTATACCGATCCGGAGCTTCGAATTCATATTAACGAAACATTGCGTAGCGGTCGTGACGAAGGACGAGCAAGGTCGTCCCTTCATTGTCGTCAGAGAGTATGCGGTGCACCTCATGCAGAAAAAGGAGGTCATAGCTGACAACCCGCAGTCAGGGAAAGAAGAAGAGGCAATATGGCAACGAAGCTGTCAAGAACCACATTCTCGCCGCCCGTACGGTTGCAAACATCGTCAAGACCTCCCTGGGCCCCCGCGGTCTCGACAAGATCCTCATCTCCCCCGATGGAGACATCACAGTGACGAACGACGGTGCCACGATTCTGCAACAGATGGAGATCTCCAACCACGTCGCCAAGCTGCTGGTAGAACTGTCCAAGTCGCAGGATGACGAGATTGGTGACGGTACGACTGGTGTTGTTGTCCTTGCCGGTGCCCTGCTCGAACAGGCGGCGGAGCTTATCGACAAGGGAATCCACCCTATCCGTATCGCCGACGGATACGACCAGGCTTGCGACATCGCCGTATCGGAGCTCGACAAGATTTCGGACACCATCGAGTTCACAAAGGAGAACACAGAAAACCTGTTGAAGGTGGCACGGACAAGTTTGGGCAGCAAGATCGTCTCCAAGGCGCACGACCAGTTCTCCAAGATCGCGGTGGATGCCGTCCTCTCCGTTGCCGACCTGGAGCGGAAAGACGTCGACTTCGAGCTTATTAAGGTCGACGGCAAGGTTGGAGGAGCTCTCGAGGATACTATGCTCGTCAAGGGTGTCATTATCGACAAGGACTTCTCTCACCCCCAGATGCCCTCGGAGGTCAAGGATGCCAAGATCGCCATCCTTACCTGCGCCTTCGAGCCCCCTAAGCCCAAGACTAAGCACAGACTCGACATCACCAGCGTCGAGGAGTTCAAGAAGCTGCAAAGCTACGAGCGTGAGAAGTTTATCGAGATGATTCAGCAGATCAAGGACGCCGGTGCCAACCTGGCTCTCTGCCAGTGGGGTTTCGACGACGAGGCGAACCACTTGCTGCTCCAGAACGGCCTCCCTGCCGTGAGGTGGGTTGGTGGCCCCGAGATCGAGCTGGTGGCTATCGCGACAAACGGCCGCATTGTGCCCCGGTTTGAGGACCTCAAGCCTGAGAAGCTTGGTACCGCTGGTCGCGTCAGAGAGATGACCTTCGGTACGACAAGAGAGAAGATGCTGGTTATTGAGGAGTGCGCCAACACTCGTGCGGTGACTGTCTTCGTCCGCGGTAGCAACAAGATGGTAAGGCTTCCGTACCACTGAGAATGTACTTGACTAACACGCTCCAGATCATCGACGAGGCCAAGCGCTCTCTCCACGACGCCCTGTGCGTTGTTCGCAACCTGGTTAGAGATAACCGTGTTGTCTACGGTGGTGGTGCTGCCGAGATTGCCTGCTCTTTGGCTGTCGAGGACGCTGCCGTCAAGACCCCCGGTCTGGAGCAGTACGCCATGCGTGCCTTCTCCGAGGCCCTGGACTCTGTTCCCATGGCCCTGGCCGAAAACAGCGGTCTGAACCCTATCGCTACGCTGGCGGAGGTGAAGAGCCAGCAGGTCAAGGCCGGTCCCTCTGGCCGCGGAAAGCTCGGCGTCGACTGCATGAACCGCGGCAACAACGACATGAAGGACGCCTTCGTCATCGACCCCCTTATTAGCAAGAGACAGCAGCTCATGCTGGCCACGCAATTATGCCGCATGGTGCTGAAGGTGAACAACGTCATCATTGCCGGATCTGGCGAGGAGGACTTTTAAAGAATAAAAGTAAAAATGATGATGAATGGAAAAAAGGTTCTAGACGGGTCTGTGGTTTTTGGGATTATACCAAGCTTTTTACTATGCAAATAGAGCGGCCCTGATGTCGAGACCAATGCCAGTCCTCGATTCCCCAAACGCATGTTCTATGTTCGTCTATTGATGCCTTCTAACGTGTCTAGTCTAAGATATTCATTGCATCCAGCCGCGTTCCTTGGAGTACTTGAGGTACGGCTCCATGTCTCTGTAGAAGACGCGCTGCAGCTCGGCCTGCTGTTCAGGAGTGGGACGAGTGTTCTCGCCCTGGCGGCGCTTCCAGCTCTCCTGGGTCTCGGTCAAAAGTGCCTTCTCATCCTTGCCGGTGCTGTCGACGAAGTTGTATGATCTGAACTCAGTGTTCGCCCAACCAGTCGCTGCATGCATGTCAGCAAATCTCATGATCTCTCTCTCACACGCATAAAGACGAAAACGTACCTTTCCCAGCCTCGATACCATGGAAATCGTTCGTCAAAAAGTGCAAGAACCCTCCGTGCGTGACAACGACGACATGCGCATCCCCTTGAACATCCCCCACAAGCTCCCTCAGAGCCCTCCTCGCCTCCGCCGCCCTCACCTCCAGCTTCGCCAGCGTCGGCTCCCACCTGCTCTCGGGGCTTTGCTTGTCCGTCCAGTCGTCCGGGACCCTGCTGAAGTCGACCTTGCCCTCGAACTCGCCCGCGATCTCCGAGACGGCGGACCCCGTGTCGCACGGCGCGTCGGAGACCTCCTGGACCTCGGGGAGCGCGATCACCTTGGGCCCGCCCTCGGTGCCGAAGCCGAGGAGGCAGGTGTGCAGGGTGCGGCGCAGGGGGCTGGCGACGAGGTGGGTGAGCTCGGAGTGGTGGGGGAAGGCGGAGCGGAGGCGGGCGCATTGCTCCTTGCCCAGGTCTGTGAGGAGGGGGTCGCGAATGGCCTCGTTTTCGACGCAGAGGTTGTGGAAGCCCTGCGCGTGGCGGACGAGGTGGACTTGGACGACCATTTTGGATGATGCTGGTGACGATGCTGGTCTGAGAGGTTCTAAGAATGAGACGAGCGGGCCTCTCTGTCTATGAAGGTTGATATGAGACAGAAAATGAGAGAGAGTGAGACAGGCGGGGTAAACAAAACCGGTTGGTGATGCAGCCGTAAAAGTTACCAAATAAAACGCCCGCAAGATGCAAGATGTAAGAAAAAGATGCGAGATGTGGTCTACTTGTTCACAATGGCAACTCCGGTGCTCGGTGTGGAGGAAAAGCCGTGATTCACGATCCAATTATAAAAGCACGCGGTCTCAAGACAACTACGTAATGGGCTCCTGCGCTGCGTGCTGCGTCTCGGGAAAATTCCTTGGTTGGGGCGAATGGAAGAGGTACAGTGCCCAAAGTGGATAGACTTCCTACCGGGACGGACGCGGGAGCGACCACGACGTTCCCTCTAGAATGACTCAGAACTGGGTGGACGACGGGCTCCAGGACAGGAAACTGGCAGCGCCGCACGCGAAACAGCGCCAGGAGGAATGGCTCCGCAGCGGCGCCGATGACCGGGGCGAAAGTGGGTCTCGTCCGCCCGGCGTGGTTGGGCCGGAGGCAGAGCGGTGTTGGTAATGGGGGAAGTTGATTTGTTGCCGAACCAATTGCGATTGGCCTGGTTGACTCCGTGGCATACCTCAGTATCATGGCTCAACGTCGTCTGAAGACTTCCACGCGTGGCCGGTTAACTGATTTGGTCCAATATACGCCGGAGTGTGATACCTGTTGGATGGTTTATCGAAATAGATTTGATGCTATTTGTTGACAAATCCTCACTATCCATGACCTTTACGGATCAAGGCTGGTCCAATGATGTGGCTTTCATTCGTAGCAGACCTTCCTGTTTCTCTATTGTGCTATGAATCTCCTTGACCTAAAACCTTCGCCAAAGGCTCTAGAATGAATATAGTCTTAGTACAAGCCAGCAAAATTCCCTCGAAACAAACATGGCTTGTGTGTATAACCCCGTAATGCAACCGGAAGCCTCCCTTTCTCTGCTGTGCACAGAAAACTACCAAGAACAATAACTGATCCCCTACTCCTCGTCATCATCCGACGACATTCTCCCAGTCCTTCTTCTCTGCTTCGGGCTTCGCAGGTGCCTCGCACTCTTCATCCGAAGACTCCTCAACAATCGGAGTTTCCTTCACTGGTGGTGCCTCCGTAGTCGCCGGTGTCTCATGACTATCAGCAATGGCCGCATTCTTTCTTCCGAGCTTGCTTTTCTCCAGTGCTTTCTGCTTCTTGCTGTTCACATGCTTCGTTATGTTTGCTTGTGCAGCCAAGCGAGCGCGGAGCGGAGCCTGTCGATGAAACGGCGTAGAAGGGTCCGGCTGCGGAAGAGCTTCGCTGATACCTTGCTGGGAAGCAAGTCTTGACGCATTGGCACGTTCCTGTTTGCCTCGCTCGTATTCTGCCTCTCCCCAAGCAGACATTTCACGGGCCAGCTTCACTTCATTTGCGGCGCGTCTCTGTGAGTCATAACGAGTCAGTAAGCGGTTCGATGACAGTGTAAAAGGAGAAGGAAATCAATGGGTAACAGCGGCGCGAAGGCTGCTTTAGGAGCGGCCCTGGGCAATGCACTGGGGATTGGAGCGCCATGTTGGTAAAGGAAAAGCCATCTAGGAAACGAAGGACCCAGGAGGAGGGGGAAAAGATGCATCTTACCGCGAAGTCTGCCGGACCAAGAGTCTCGAAGGGGACACTCCAATCCTCTTCTTGGATCTCGCGATGCCTGTACTTGCATCAGTACCGCGTCTGTGTTCCGGGGGTCGACTACTTACTTGCTACCCGGAAAGTGTTTTGACTCATGATCTAACGATGGAATTTCGTTAGAGAAACCATTCTAACTCTTATCTTGAGAGTGACATGGACTTGGAGGTGGGTGTTGTAGGCTTCAACTTACTCGGGGCCTCTGGCGCAGGCTCAAGCTTCTCCTTCTCCTCCTCCTCGTCGTCGTCATCGTCATCATCGTCGGATGGCGACAGCTCTCTGAGATGCGCATTTTCCGCGAATGCCTTAGCTCCTACACTCAATTGTAAGCTTGTGGATTGTATGAAGAAACACAATGTGCTGGAACTTACTGAGCCTTGCGTACGTCCCGGGAGGCTCCGGCTCTGCGAGCAGGAGGACGCCGCGATTCATTGTTGCGGATTGTTTGTATGTTTGCGCTGGTTTCTCGAGAATTCTCGAAGAAGAAAGCAGAGAGACCTTAAAAATAGGTGCGCCAGGAAGTGCCTAATCCCTTTTCGGAAAATCGAAGATGTGCAATGGTGAAGTGAAGTAAAGTCGAGAGGGCAACGGCTCTTGCCTTTTATAACCACCTACCTTACTTTCAGCTGCTCCCTGGCGACCAAATGCAGACGTCAGTTATGTGGCACAAATTTATTTTCTTTGAATGTGACGGAAACATTACTTTGATACATTGAAGCAATCAAGCTGTTGGCAAAGAAATCAAGTAAGGGGGAAAAAAATCAAACAGTCCATAATAAAGACCACCTACATCATGGTGAGGCCTTCACCTCCCCTCCAGCCACAACGAAGTTTATCGTTGAATCTCCTGCATCTATATATACACACAGCTCCTCTTACAGGCTGTAATTTCGTACTTGATCACACCTAGCCAGCCCCAAAACTTCAGCGCAAAGAACCAAAGCGATCATGTACCGATTCAACGGCGTCCCGGTCCTGGTACGACCAGAATCTCCCACCTTCTACGAAAGAATCAGTAGGTCCTCACACTAGACACAATCACCGCATGAATGACCACTGATGCAAAATGCAGGACGCGAAGCCTTCGCCAAAGCCAAGGATCTCGAGACGGGAGACGATGCAATGATGCTTCAGGTTCTAACGATTGGTACCAGCAGTTAAAGCCGTAGGAGCCCTCATCAGTCCAGATACACATCAACGGCCGAGTTCTCCCATGAGTGATACAAATCAACTTTTCCACCCCAAGTCTTCCAAGTCTCCTCATCGTATAAATCCACGCCTGTTATCCCTCGAAGCTGTCTTGACACACGCAACCTCTATACATCATGTTTACCATGTGTTGGGTGGTTGATTTGATGCGAACGCCATTTGATATGACTGGCCAAAAACACGCCCTCCGCTGCTGCATGGCACGTCACGCGCAGTTGGCCTCGACTCAATAAAAGTAATACTCCCAACAAATACGCAAGAAACAAGGATGAAGGAGCACGACGACTGACTTCACGATAGATTCGGTCTCCTGTATTGCGAGACGGCATCAAGTGTGAGAAACAGAAGCTGATATGAGACCTCTGAATGGGTGATATTCACATCACGCCAACCTGCACTGGGCATTATCTTGAAGAGGCTCATCATATTGTCGCGAGGAGATTTATTAAACATAACCTCTGATCCTCTCTGACAAATCAACCGTCATCTTCTTGATCATTACGCTGTGAACAAGAACAGATTTCAGATGGGCATGACGCCGGAGGATTCGTGCATGTCACGGAACCCGTCTACGTGGTACCCATCCAGCCGAATGGGTGTCTGCGTATTACCGGCCCGAAGCTGCCCATCAGCGAAAGTTTTCTTATAAGTATGGCTGCACGCTAACATTCTTCGAGAGAGAACCGCCAAGATGCTCCGATGTGTGTGACACCTGCGATTCTATCCATGGAGGCACCGTCTCCTTCCCTGCAGCCCCCGAAGTCCCGTCTCTACAATCAACACATCCCACGCTCGACCTCAACTCAATGCAGATAGAAATACTCCAACCAATACGCAGCAGATCTCGAAGAAAGACGACGACGAAAGACAGTGCCTCCGTTCAGCGTGAGGACTGAACTCTCCGCAACTGGCGCAAGTACTCTTGGACTCCATCAATAGTGAATTCCAAAATGAATAACCTCTATACATTCCTGAGACCCAGGACAAGACGTGGCGTCAGTCCTGTCACCAGAAGAACACGGATAGCAAGAAATCTTGGCTGACTTGAATGTTGAGTCCCCGTCGCCAAGCAATATATAGTGGTATGAGAGTCAAAGACTCCAGCGTGGCATGAACAGGTTATATAAACCACGGACTGCTCTTCATATCTGAAGGCGAGGAAATGTGTGAGATCCATTTGGATTTTTTCCCCTGCTCAGTTCGACAAGCCTTGCACTCCATTCTCTCTCTCATCCAGTAGCCAGCACCCACCCAGACGCGCAGATTCTCAACTACCGCCGTCCCCCGCCGAATACACCCCCAGTCATAACCAAGAAACAGGGATGGAGGACAAGAGAGAACACCGGAAAAACAAGCACGGCCAAATTACGAACCAATCTGTGAACCACCGTACCAAACCAATCAGGCTGTCTAGAAGGATGTCAAGGATACGCACGCACCTTTATATCAGGGCCGGCGTTGAACAGACTTGGTGAACAAGTAGCGTTCGTGTATTTATCTTGACTGTCGCTGCTATTCTCTCGTCGCTGCTATCCACCTCGTCATCTTGGTGTCTTGACAGCCGATGCGGTCATTCCCCAGGGTGACCGGTTTTGGTGTCAAAGATGCCACAGGTATCGTTCATGTTGAAAGGGCGGCACAGTACTAAGTAACACAAAAGAACAATCAATCGAAAACGATCAGGTGGGAGATATTAATAGTCTTTGTTAACTCCATCAACTCGGTCACATGTACATCACGGATTATTGTCCTCGGTGCGCCAGTCAAGGGATGCGGAAGTGTCCAACAAAGATATCATTTTACAGCTCATTCTCAAGTCCGAAGATGCAAATTATTCGGCTTGCCCCTCGTGACCCTGAAACGCCGAAAACCCATGAAGTTGACCTGCATGCATCCAGACCGTCCCCTTCCTTCTCTTAAAGGTCAATTAGACTCTCCTCCACTGCCGGCTGCTTGGGTGCGTGCTGTGGCGCGTTCGGGAACGATTCCTGGGTGTAGCCGCTGTTGTACTGGCCCTGCCACTGCTGCTGGGGTGGCGCTGATTGCTGCGGTTGTGACGGCTGCCAGTAGCTCTGCTGTTGAGGCGGAGGTTGGTGTTGTTGCGTAGGCTGAGCTGGCTGGGCAGGTGCTTGGACGGGTGTCTGCTGGTGAGACACGGGCTGTCTGTATTGCATTGATTGCTGAAGATTGGGGTACGGAGAGGGGTTTGGGTCTGCGGTAGGCGGAGCGGAAGGGGGTGCGCTAGGCTGTTGGGGATTGAAGTAGTAAGAAGCATTTGGGTCGGTGGAGGGTGTCCCCGCGGGCTGTCCAGATTGGTTCTGGTGATTCACCGGAGGTGCAGGCTCGCTGGGATACGATGGTTGCTGTGCGTACTGCTCAGGGGCAGGAGGAGCGCCGCCGCTTCTCCAGCTATCTGTTCGTTGAGGTTCCTGGTGAGGATACGCGCCTCCCGGAGGACCGGAAATGGTAGCGCGTTTATCAAAGGTGGCATATTGAGGTTGGGGAGTGTGTTGTCCATGCTGGTAAGCCTGAGGAGGCGGCGCATGGGCGTAATCCATCCGCTCGCCAGTATAAAAGCTCTCCGCATGGCCAGGCGCACTCGCTTGGAGAGAGGGATAAGATCCAGTGGACTGGCGATGGGAAGGGAGATTGTAGCCGCCTCCTATAGCGTGTTGGTTGTAGGCTTTAGAGAGACGCTCCTCCAGCATACGGTCGTAATATCGAACGACAGTAGAAAGTTTGGCATGGAGATCCAGTAGAGTGTCTGGGATTCGTTAGCAACAGCACCTAGTCGAATGACACAGACTTGCTCGTACCGTGTTTGCTCATAGTCTCTCCGTAAGTGCGGGCCAGCTTCGGTCGCAAAGTACCAATACTGTCGTAGAGCTCCTGAATCTGCGGCTCTCGAAGAATAGTGCCAGGAGGCTGAGTCTGCAATCGGTCGACGAGAGTGGCGAACAAGTTGATGTTCTCGGCCTCAACCGGGGTAAGCTCGTAGTCGTTCTTGGGCAATGAGAAGTGTTGCGTCGATGACGGTCCAGCGCTTGACGTCTGCTCCTTCAAGACCGCCGCGTGCCTCTGCTTCTGCTCCTCCATATCGGCTAGCGAAGCGGCAATCGCGGCCTTGAGATCGGCGTCCTCTTCTTCCGCGCCGTTGGTCGGAGCAGCTGTAGAGTTACCGTTGACTTGAGCGCCCGAAGGGCCGTTCGCAGTGGGAGGCACATAACCCTTAGAGTAGTTCTTGACCTCCTCCAAGCTCATGGCCAGGGCCTTCTTTAGGTCCTCGTCAAAGGCGTCGTCGACGCGCGCATTCCGCGGCTGCATGGCAGACGTACTGCGAGTCTTGTAAGGGTATGTGGGAGATCGGTCTTGGGTAAGTGGCGGGGGCGCGCCTCCCTTGGAACCGGACGATTTGTCCGTGAGCTTCGCGTGGCAGCCATCGTCGACACGAACAGCCTGCAGGATGCCGAGGTGAGGGAGGGGGATCGACTTGGCGGAGCACTGCTGGTCGAAGCAGTTACCGCAGTTTCGGCAGTGGTGCTTTCGGTTCGTGAAGGTGAAGGGAGTACGGCATCGCATGCAGACATCTGAATCGACCCATTCCGGGGGCTGAGGTTTGTCAGCTTGTGTGATTGTGGGCAGTCAGACGAGAAACCTACCGCGCTGCTGTCGATCATGCTCCTGGAGACGGTGACTCTGGGAGGGAAGTGGTGGCCTTCTCTCTGCAACGTCTTGTAGACCTCTCCGATGTATCCAAGTTCGTGGCGGCCCTCAGTAGCGGCAGCCCAGGACTGTATCAACTCGAGGATCTTCTGCTTGACTTCGTGATTGACGGCGGCGGGACCGACGGCTTTGAGGAGGGAGGTCAGGTTGTCCATAAACTCTCGGGAGGCGATCTCGGCGAGGAAGTGGGTGCCGCCATTCTTGACGCACGTGTCGGTAAGCTGCCATCCAGGTTAGCATAGTGGTACAGGAGCAGGCAACAGCGAAAGCATGCATACGTTAAGGGCGCTCAGCTGGGTGTTTGGGTTCTTGTTGCCGATGCGCCTTTTGAGGGAGCGCATGGCCTCCTTGGGCTGAACCGTCTTTGATCTAATGACATCAGAGATCTCGAGGTTCAAGGCAATATCTTCCCTGTTGCACGATTAGAAGCGAACATTTGGATGGTTGACGAGGGGTCGCACAAGCTGCTGCTGGTCGCTTTCTCGATCTGCTCATCCAGGGCCGTGTTGGCCGAGCTAGACCACCAGCCCATCATCTTGAAGGCTGAGGACTTGGGATCGGCGGGGAGGTGGAAACAAACGAGCGTATCTCGATGGTGGTATGTTGGGTATGTATGCGTGGAGGTAGGCGGTTCGTATGCGGTTGCGGTCGCGATGGGGACCTTTTGGGATTACGAAGCGTTGGTCGAAATGATTGCGCGTAGGGATATTGATGGAAAACGGCGGAGGGAAGCCTGGAGTGCGTGTCTTGTCGGCTGGGCTAGATGCAGCAGGTCCTTAGCCTTGGGGTCTGAGATGCAGCGACTTGGGAGGAGGCTAGGCCGATTATGTGAGGCACCTAAGGTAGGTAGCTGCAGGCAGGCTGATGGTGGTGAGATACTTTGGTGGTGGTTACGTTGGCTCAGTGCGAAGCCAGGCCCAGTATGTATTACGGGTACCTAACCTTACTGCGTACTGCGGTACGTATGTGCAGGGATTATACAACCGCTGCTGCCTTTCGGTTTTCAGGCTGTCGTCGCAGACTCGTGGCTGTTGCGGTTCAGGTCCGCTTGGAACATCGCCCTGTGACGAACGGAAATCTCCGCGCTAAACCCAAAAGACCGAGAAAGGACGTGGAAGGGAATGGGAATGGGACGGCTGGGACGGGTTCCCCAGAGATGACGACGTTGGGCAAACTTAGGTGGGGTCCTGTTGTGGCGCATGGATTTGCCAGTTTGCCCAAGATTGCTGCGGGAACTTGGCATTCAGCTTACACTGTATTCTTGCTGATTGCCTTTTCGGAAACTCATGTTCCTGTTCCTTTGGCATTAACCTAACTTTACTCTGGAAAATATCTCATGTATTTTACTTTACACATGAAATAAAGATGTGGACCTATATACTAAAGCGAAGTCATAACATGCCGGTTGTGGCGCCGTGTCGCTGAGTTGTCATTCATCCTTCTCCAATAGAACCTAACCTTGAGGTGACATGCGGATTATCTAAGCAATCCAACATGCTGAGGTGCACCTTAGGGAACCAGCCCGTCCGCCCGCCTTCAGTGTGATACCCTTGAGGGACTGCCCGCCCTGCCCGCCCGTTCCAGGGCCCTGAACCACTGAAGAGGCCGGATGCGTCAGTGATCCCGGCTGTCCTCCAGCACACCTCAGTAAATTGCCAATAGGTACAGAGTAAGGTACCGATCCTCTCGGATCAGATACCGTGACGTCCCCTCAAAACACAGCCGCTACAACGGTACCGTTTCCTCTCCACCATGTCTTGCTGCTGTTGAAACTGTTAGCCACCAGCGACAACGACGACGAGGCTGTCCTTCCACCACACCACGGACCATCTTCCTTTCACAAGATCGTAGCACACCACTCCGTACAGCTTCTTCACTACTTGTCAAAGACGCCCTTTCTTTCCTCCGACCATTCTACTACCGACGCATCCTATTCAGCGAAATCATGCCCAGCACACCCCGTGATTCAGCTGCGAGATAAATCGCCTACTAGAGCGTCATTTCGCCTGCCACTCATGACGAACCCGCCGCCGACTTTCGTTGCCTCCGAGTCCCGTCCTCCGTACATCGACTCTTCCGAATCCCACCACCACCACCACCAACAAGCCCCCGACGAGCTGACAGCGACTTTCTCTGCATACCCCCGAGCAGCCACGTTTGCAACGACATGATCCAACCTTCCAACCCGACCCAAAGACACCACTTCTCCTTCACATGAGTTCGACGGCTCCCTCAGCCACCAGAACCGTCCTCGGCGGCGGCGGCGGCCCGGCCTTATCCAACGGCACCTCCATACACTCCTTCGCCATGGGCGGCGATGGGGGAGCTGCCGGCCGCGGCGGCAAACCCCCGCTACCACATATAGACGACCTCACATCCGCCTCCCCCGACATCGATATGAAACTACCCTTGCGCAAGATCCTCGAGGCGGGCGACCATGCCATGCGACAGGCCGAGACCTGCCGCGACTTCGGCCGACCAGACTTGGCATTTAAGGAATACATCAAGGCCTCCCTCATCGCCATCAGATATGTCCCTCAGCATCCAGATGCTCTGGCCGTCAGGGGCAATCACGGAGACATGAGTCGCATTCACGCAGCTCTCATGAAGAAAATAGAGTCACAGCACGGAATTTTTGAAAAGATCAAGGCCGATATCATTGCCGACAACCAAAGAACTGGAGTCAGACCAACAAATTCGAGACCTTCTTCCACAGTCAACGGAGGTGCGAGCCGACCGATGACACCCCAAGGACAGCCGAGCGCGCCGGTTGCGAGTCCTCCGCGATCCGACGCAGGCACACAGCTCAATGGCTCGCCGTCCGGGAAGCCAAAACCCGCGGTGCAGCCGAAGCCTCAGGCCTTACACGGCAATGCTATACGTTCAAGTGCCGGGCTTGCTGCCATCAAGAGCAAGGCCGCTGAGGACCTGGCAGCCCGCTTCGCCAATCTCAGAGGGCCGGTGGCTTTGCCCGGTCAAGATCCTCGCATACGAACACACCCCTTAGTGCCACCGAGACCAGCGGGGCCGAGAGCCATGCCTGAACCGACCGAGAAACCGAAAGTCGCCGTTGTGACGAGCTTGCCAGATCTCCCCAAGATGCCCGATGCCATCTACAGTCCGGCCAGGGGTACGGTATCGAACGAGGCGGCCTCGCTCCCTTCGAGCACACCGCGCGGCTTGTTCAGCAGGACAGGCTCTTCGGCCACGATAAACACGGTCCTTGCGAACAACAAGTCTTCCGACTACTTCGTCCCAACTCACCCGCAACCCAACGCCGTTCCAGCGCCAGCCAGATCTCATAGCATTTCGATACCCGAGGGCGACTCTATCACAGCCGAAGACCTAATGGGTTTCATTAAAAGGGGTTCGGCTGCCCTTCAAGTCCTAATCATTGATGTTCGAAGCCGAGATGACTTTGACGAAGGTCACATTCTGTCACAGGCCGTCATCTGCATCGAGCCCAATATCCTTTTAAGAGAGAATATTTCAGCCGAACAAATCGCCGAGAGCATGGTGCTCTCTCCGGCCCAGGAGTATCACCATTTCGAGAGGAGGGACGCTTTCGACCTGGTGGTTTTCCACGACCAAGACTCAGACTCCATCCCTCGGTATATGTCTCCCGACATGGATGCCGCTGCGCTCTTGTCACTGCAACGCGCATTGACTTACTTCAACTACGGGAAAGAGCTGAAGAACCCTCCTAAACTGCTCCAGGGAGGTTTGGATGCGTGGACTGACCTGATGGGTCGCGCTGCTCTCGCTACATCTCAGACGGCGGGTGCTGTCCGGGCTCCTCGGGTTCGGTCTCCGTTGAAACCCACCATATCAATTTCCAAGCCGACCAGGAAGTACAAGGTCACGCCGTTGAAGCCCGAAGAAGTCAAGCTGTGGGAGGAGACGCTACACAACGCCGACCTTGAGACTGCGCGTTCTCCTGGCTTTATGCATGTGCGCAGTACGGAGGAGTTCTTGCGGAGATTTCCCGCCGTTTCTACTGAGCAGGAGTCTATGCAGTCACCCGTCAGCCCCGACAGGCCACCCCACAGCTACGGTCAAAACCACGTCGACATCTACTCGGATCTCCCGTCACCGCCCACCCGTCCTGCTCCAGCCGTGCCTCGTCCAAGCTACAGCGGTTTGTCACAGACTCAAGATGATCATGAGGCTCCCCAAGCATTGGCTTTCCCTGCTCAAACACGAAACTTGAAGCAAGGTCCTTTGGCTCGTCCTGACTCTCCTTCTGTCATGGGCGCGGTGAAGGATGGTCCTCATATTACGGGCTTGAATAACCCCGGCGTTTGGTGTTATGCCAATAGCTCCATCCAAGCTCTCCGAATGTCACCTGGATTTGGAAAGGAGTTGGCTTCGTTTGACTGGCAGAACACGTACAAGGTCCCGAAGAAGGCTGATGAAAAGAGCGACCCGCCTCAACTCATGTCACGTATTCTGTCCAACTTGTTCCATTGGTTGGAGTCCGGAAAGTTCGACGTCATGAAAGCGCAGACATTGATGGTAAGTGCCTTTAACCCTATCTGCTCACTCATTACTAACCATTTTCAGGACTACTCCCGATCAGTCTGTGAAAAGAGTCGAATCAAGGAAAAGGGCGATGAGTTTGGTGGTAGCCGACAGCAGGATGCTCAGGAGTTCATGTCATGGCTCATGGCTTACCTCCACGACGAAACCAACATGCGAAGGGACCGCGGGGGAGACGACAACTCAACCATGCCGCAGATGAAAGTCGGCAAGTCAATGCTGCAGGGCGCGTACGAATGGTGGGGACACTACTCGAGGACTAACCAGTCCATCGTCGACAAATACTGGCGAGGTCTGGAACTTTCAACCGTGGTGTGTTCCAGATGTCGCAACAGGACGTACAACTGGGCGACGTTTGACTTCATCTCGATGCCCATCAACGGCGGCACGCAAACCATTGAGGACTGCCTGCGGTCGTACATTGAACCCGAGATCCTCTCCGACTACAAATGCGACACCTGCAACATGAATGTTCAGGGACAAAAGCAGATCGCACTAGCGCGCCTCCCGGAGCTCCTGTGCTTATCCTTCCGCCGTTTCGACTACGACTCCACCATGCAAATACACAAGAAACGCGACATGATCACCTGGGACTTCAACAACCTCAACCTCGACTCCTTCTTCATCCCCCCTGAAGAGAGGAACACCATCGGGCCGCCGCTGGACGAGAAGTTTGAGCTGCCCTTCGACTACGAGTGCTACGCCGTCATCATCCACACCGGAAACAACATCACCAGCGGCCACTACTACGCCTACGTCCGCGAACCCAATAATCCAGACCCCTGCGCCTGGTACCGCATCAGCGACGCCCGCGTCACCCCGGTCCGAATCGATGGGACCGGCAGGGGCGCCGACGCCAGCCGCGATGTGTTTAAGAAAGGCACCAGTGACGTGCCATACTTGGTCTTCTTCCGCAGGAAACAAGGCCGGTCCGCCAGACGATGAAACATTTATGCTGTTGTTGTAATAGAAGCATGGGGAGAGAAAAGAAAAAGGGGGACAGAGATGTACATGTGACGGGAGGGGCAGGTCTTTCTACACACACACATATAGAGCTTTTGCAATGACGGCGTGCGAGTTGCTTGACTGTTTTGTCGTTTTCTTCAAAGCGCTTTTTACCAAAGCATGGCGTCTGGGTTCTTTTTTGGAGGGGATCGTGGAACGTCACGTTGGGGGATGGCTCTCTTCTTTCTCTTCGGATGGTAGTTTTCTTTTTCTTCTCTCTTCGCAATGAGGCCATGACGACATAGTTCTATTGAAATGAGAATCGAATACTCCGTGCTGTCCCGACAATCTTATTGTGTGTCATGGTGGATAGAACGACATGTGTTGGAGCTGTGACTTCACTCGACTTTGCTGTCGAGTCTTCTGATGGTGTGATTGCGCTTGTTGCCTGCTGTTACCAAGTTCTGCCCGTCTTGTATAACGGGACTGGCTACGGAAGACTGGTGGTCATTTCTATCGTTACCATGGAAGACCTGGGATATTTGCGCCGTTTTCGTCGTCCCGAGTACTCACAACATTACCGTCATCCTATAAACAAGCCGCTACAGAGGCTTTGTGTCTTCTTGTTTCTGCACATCAAAGAGGCGTCGTCTCGTGTTGGATAGAGTGCCCTGACGTTATCGTCGTGAGCCCGAGTCTACACAAGTCAGTCACCGATACCATCACTCAACTCACAACCATAACCACATCATGGAAAACCTCCCACAGCGCTTCTCCACCTCCTCTCTCTCCGGGTATTCAATCCGAAACCTCAATGAACGCCTCGAATCGACCGAGCCGCGGATGCCTTCGGACGGACAACAGCGAGAAACGAGAGTAAGGCCGGGGTACTTTTTCCCCCTTCACCGTGCCACATATAGAGGACGACATCCAGTTCCATTGCGGAGGAAGGTCTTGCTAATGTAGTCTACTCAATGTGTACTTATAATTGGAGACTGGGAGATTGACATAGTCGTTGTCCAGAATACCGTGGTAGGTCTTTGCGTCCGCAGCTCAGGGCATGTCCGGGGTTTCCCAACCGTACCTAGTGTCTTCTCCATCTCCGCATCATTTAGTCGGAGAGTCATGCTCCACTCCGGCCCCGAGCGCGGGCGCCCTCTCCGGTATCCGTCTCCATCTCCGTCGCCGCCGGTTTCCCCCTCGTCCACTCGCAGAAAGAGCATCATCCGTCTACGTACCTCATACTCAAATCTCATCTCCGGTGTGTGCAAACTCTCCAAGCTCCGAATGGCCCACGCTCCGAAGACTTTCCCTCCTCCGAATGTCCGCCCTCTATTTCACCCTCCTATCATTCTACTCTCCCTCCGGACCCTCGCACCCTCCGATCACTGCACCCAACAAACCCATGCCAGCCCGAAAACACCACTCCCTCGGGACGGTATGCCATCCACAACCCTCCGTCTCCCCGTCGCGTAATGAAAGAGGCCTCCGCCGGCTTACACTACCACGAATACCCTCACCACCCCCAGAAACCCTAACAGCACGATACATTCTACACCACACAGCCAGAACTCTCTCCAAAGAGCACGAACAAGCTGGCTGCGTAGAACCCGCAGTACCGCCTTCAGAAAACGCATTCCCTCAGGAATTCCCCCCCCTCCCCGCATAACAAGAAACGCCAACACTGCATCGCAGTGCAGTCACCAAAACTCACTTGATCCATCCGCTCCGCCGTCGCTGACTAACTGATTGACTGCTTACATGCGCCCATCCTCCCTCCGGACCGGGTATTTCACATACCGCTGCGTGGCTGAACTTGACACTTCCCCCTTCCCGCAGGATAAACAAAACGGCATCGCATACACATACACATACACATACTCTCGCATCCCATTTACATGAGCCAAGTGACGAGCGAGCATATGCCCGTGGAAAAAATCCTTTCTACGTACACACCTAAAACTTCACTACCCGGACGTCCATCGACCCTTTAGCCCCGGGACAGATAACGTCTACCGTAAGCCACATTTTCGTCCGCGCGCGCGCCTGACGCTAGGATACCACCGAGATTCGGGTGGGGGGGGGGGGGGGACGAAGCC